GCTTTGGTCAGACCTAGACCTAGCTTTGGTCTGACTTGATCTAGCCCGTAAACCATTTGGATTTCATCTAGCAATTGTTGATTTCTTTTGGATTTCAATGAAACATCAAATCTTTACATTTAATAGCTAGATGACTCAAGTCAAAGACAAAACCAAGTGCTTATTCAATCAAAGACTTAGTCAAAGACAAAGACCTCGACTTAAACGAAAGCCTTATTCAATTCAATTCAATCCAATCCAATCTAATCCTTATCAAATCAAAATCTCTTTTCAAAAGCATCTTACATTCCATTCTTTCCTGTTTACCTTGCAAATTTCTATAAAACCCATCAATAAACTCATTCAACAAAACAAGAATTGGTAAATGAAATGAAAAAAGTTTACATTTACGATTGCCTCATTGTTTTTCTTTTCTTTAATCTCTAATATCCTTTGTAATTATTCAATTTCTCAGAAAATTCATGAAAGTTTATGAAAAAACGCAAATTTGAAACCCTTTTAGAAGCACTGCAAGATTTGTTTATCACAAAAAGAAATTGTCAATTATTAAAGCTGATGACCAATCTGAGTTGGGTAATTGAACGTAAAAGATTAGTTCTTGTTTTCAATACTTTCAAAGTCTTTCAGCAAGATTGTTTCAAAAGTTTTTATCCCAAAAGCCAGTTACAATCTATTTTGGAGAAGCAGATTTCCTGAATCTAGATAATTAAACGAAAGTAATTAAAGAAAAACTCGAGTGACTCACAATTCCTTCTCTTCTTTTTCTGAACCTTGTTATTCTTGTTACAAATAATTCAAAAACTGTTTTAATTGGGGAATAACAATCTTTAAATTAAGATTTCTTATTTGAAATTTTGATCTTTGAAAGATTAGGTTTTATTTAGGTAAATAATTGTTTTTAGAAAGCCAAAGCAAAAGCCAAAGCCAAAGCTAAAGCCAAAGCTAAAGCAAAAGCCAAAGCCAAAGCCAAAGCCAAAGCCAAAGCTAAAGCCAAAGCTAAAGCCAAAGCAAAAGCCAAAGCCAAAGCCAAAGCCAAAGCCAAAGCAAAAGCCAAAGCCAAAGCCAAAGCCAGAACCAAAGCCAAAGCTAAAGCTAAAGCCAAAGCCAAAACCAAAGCCAAAGCTAAATCCAAAGCTAAAGCTAAAGCCAAAGCCAAAGCTAAAGCCAAAGCAAAAGCAAAAGCCAAAGCTAGAGTTCAAAAGGCGTACCTAGGAATTCTTAATCTCTCTTGCAAGAGGACAAATATTTAGTCAATAAAAAAAAGGTCGACTGCAAGTATCCTATTTCAATTGACCTGTCGGTAATCGAAGGGATTCTCGATGACGAGATTGTTTACAGATATTCGTACTTTGTGTACGGAAATGCATCCTTTCTGGCGTAGTGGTGTACTTTGTGCTCTAAATGGAAACACATATCGCCTGGTGCACTTTTTGCTTCTGCTTTTTGCTTTAAGTGGAGCATTATTTGGCGCACTAGACTTGTGTTTTGTGAGCTGAGATCGTAAAAATCTACCTTAATTACCCAAGTGTGCGTACCATTGATGTCGCGTGTAAGGGAAAATGACGTCTGGCACATTGCCCCAGGTGTTAGATTGCCCCGAGCTTAGTCTTCCGGTTTAATTACCCAAGTTTAATGTTATTTTGTTGCAGTAATTCTAGGTAGAATAAAAACCATCAAAATCTTTTCAAATTTGAAATAAACAGTTTTAGAGAAAAACTTATAGTTTTTTCTTCATTTTATCGGAATAAGCAACTTCTTTTGCTTTGTGCTCAAATGAATCAAAACTAACGATTCATCAAAGAGTTACGATTCTGTTTTCAAAGATTTTCTTTTGACTTTCTTTTGAAATCATAACTAATCCATTTGTTCAAAATTTTTCATTTCATTGTAACTTGTGCCTCTTTTGTGTCTTTTGCCTCTTTTTTTGTTCTCATCATGATCTTTGTTGAGTCAATGATGGGAAATGTTAGAACCCTAGAACACTCATGTGAAAATTTCGATGAGAAAGGGTGATCGAAAGGGAGAAAGTGTAAGCAAGTGAAGTAGAAGAAGTTTGGAAATGAAAAAGGAAAAAGGGGAGAAGCATTGGTCATTCATTTCAGCTCAAGTAGAAATAGCATTTCAAAATGAGAAATGAGGAAAAGGAGGGTATTTGAAATTTTTGGAGTGAGCCGTTCTTTTCTCATGAAATTTTTCTTTTTCCAAGATTCACAAGGATGCATTTGAGCTTTGGGTTTTTTCTTTCGCTTGTAAGAAGGATCGATTCTAATTCTAAATCTAATTTCAGCTAATTTCAGCTAATTTCATCTAAACCCTATGTCATTTTCCCATATAAAAGTGTAAAAATATGAAATTTTTAAACAAAAATGGTCCTAAAACGTGTTTAGTTGTTCTTTGCTTCATTTTCTTTCTTTTTTTTTTGAGGTTTACATGAAAACGGAGATCGGTGTGAGTTTCGTGATCTCGTGTTGGAAAAAAGAAAAATTTCAGCAGAAAAGAACGGCTGGCCTGACTCCAAAAATTTCTAATCTTTTCTCATTTCATTCATTGAATTTCATTTCATTTCAACTGGAATTTAACAGCTTTCTTTTTGCTCTTGCTTGCTGTTGCTCTTCTCATTGATGCTCTTCTCATTGATGTTCTTGATTGATGCTCTAGTCATGGATGCTCTTGTCATTGATATCTTTTTATTGATGCTCTTGTCATTGATGCTCTTCTCATTGATGCTCTTCATTGACGCTCTTCATTGATGCTCTTCATTGATGCTCTTCATTGATGCTCTTGTCAATGATGCTCTTATCATTGATGCTCTTCATTGATGCTCTTCATTGATGCTCTAGTCATTGATGCTCTTCATTGACGCTCTTCATTGATGCTCTTCATTGATGCTCTTCATTGATGCTCTTCATTGATGCTCTTCTCATTGATGCTCTTCATTGATGCTCTTCTCATTGATGCTCTTCTCATTGATGCTCTTCATTGATGCTCTTGTCAATGATGCTCTAGTCATTGATGCTCTAGTCATTGATGCTCTTCATTGATGCTCTTCTCATTGATCTTACAATCAATTTTACTCTATTTTCTTTCAAATTTCAATTTCAAATATCGTTTCGAGCATCAAATATTTCAAAAAAACCCGAAGAACTGTTTTTTTTATTGAAATTAGTTTCGAATTAAGTATTTGAACGAGTTAAAATAATCAAATTTGAATTAATTTTTATCTGAAAAAACCGTAAATAGAAAAATAGAAATTTTTCTTTTTAAAAACAATTTCTTCTCTCGAATTTCTGTAGAATTAAGTCAAAAAATTGACTCAAAATTCGTTCTTCTTTGAAAGAGTCAAATAGAAAACGTCAACCATTGTCTATTTTATGAGATCTCTAGTCGAATTAGTCGAGTAATTAGTCAACAATTCGAGAATTGCCCTGCTAATCTGTTCACCTCATAGATCTCTCAAATATTCATTTATATTTTGTGCCATTGTCTACCAAATTCCTTTGATATTTGGTAGATCGTTTTCCAGCTGAATTGCTTTTCTTTGCGTTTACTAATCCATCAAAAGATTGAAAAGTCCTGAAATTTTTTTCTGAATTTCTGGGATCAAAGTCATAATCAAATGATGATTTGTAATATTTTTGATTAAAAATATTGTGGATCATCATTGGATTATGACTGAAATATTTGAGAAACAATTGAATTCAATCTGCTGACGATATCGAGTACTACCGGGTTTATTAATCAGTACAAAATCAAACTAAACGATTTTTGCTATTTATATTCATTTCTTTTGAACTGGATCTAGATCAGACTAGATCTAGATCAGACTAGATCTAGATCAGACTAGATCTAGATCAGACTAGATCTAGATCAGACTAGATCTAGATCAGACTAGATCTAGATCAGACTAGATCTAGATCAGACTAGATCTAGATCAGACTAGATCTAGATCAGACTAGATCTAGATCAGACTAGATCTAGATCAGAAGCCAGGCCCAGGCTTCGCTACAGGCTTTGTCTTAGTCTTGTCCTTTTGGTCAGGGATAGATTTGTCAGCTCGAGCTCTAGCCAGGATTGATCTGGAAATCTGGATCTGGAAAAAGCAGTTTACAACAGAAACTTTAATATGTTCAAAAAACTTTCACTGACTGATCTTTATGAATAAGTCAATTTTTGATCTTTAAGGCTTTAAGGCAGATCTTTAAGGCTCGAACTTAAGCATGATTTTGATTTTGGTTTTGGTTTTGCTTTTGGTTTTGGTTTTGATTTTGGTTTTGGTTTTGGTTTTTTGTTTGAAAGCCCTTAATCATTGCTTATTGCTTTTAAACTTTAAAAGTTGATTTTTGATGATTTCCTTGTCTTTAATTATCGTGTTAACCAGCTGTGAATTCTTTAATAAAAAAAGAAAGAATTTTCCCAGAACACTTTTCAGCTTTTCTGGGGAAATCTGTCAATTTTCTACTTCCTATAGCTTTTTTTTTGTAAAAGTTTTTAGAAAAATCACTTTTAAAGCTTATTTGATCTTTTTAAGACATTAAGCTTTTAGATTTCTTTAGAAAACTTTTATTTTATTTTATTTTATTTTATTTTATCTCAACTTTTATCAGATTTTATTAAGAAAATTCATAAAGTTTATTTTTTTATGATTTCTTTGTCTTTAATTATCGATTTAATCTTTTAAAATTTGAAATAAATAATACGTAAAATTGTGCAGCTTTTGAAATCAATGGAAATCCTTTATGCAAATTGCAGGATTATCTCTTTACTCTCAATTCATTCATCGAAAATTCCCCTTTCAAACGTTTTCCTGATTGGAAAAGATTTAGGATAACGATATTTATTGAATATTCTATTCTACAGCTATCCTACAGCTATTCTACAGCTATTCTACGGCTATTCTACAGCTATTCTACAGCTATTCTACAGCTATTCTACAGCTATTCTACAGCTATTTTACAGCTATTCTACAGCTATTTTACAGCTTTTTTTTTCTTTGGCTTAATATGCTTGATTGGGTGGATTTGTGTACGATTGGAGCAAAGCTGCAGATTCTTATCTTGGCTTTATACTGTATTTATTCACTTCGAAAGTTCAGGGTGAGTGAAAGGCGTTTAAAAGGTTAAAGTTAAGCCAATTTACACAGTATAAAGCTAGCCAAGAAAGTCTTACAAGCTCTTTATCTTACAAGCTCTTTACCTTACAAGCTCTTTACCTTACACAAGCTCTTTATCTTACAAGTTCTTTACCTTACAAGCTCTTTACCTTACAAGCTCTTTATCTTACAAGCTCTTTACCTTACAAGCTCTTTATCTTACAAGTTCTTTACCTTACAAGCTCTTTACCTTACAAGCTCTTTATCTTACAAGTTCTTTACCTTACAAGTCTTGTTCATCACTTAAAAACCCTAAGCTCTAAGTTCATAGTGAAAATTGAGTCTTTGAAAGGCATTATGAATAATTTTTTTACTTCAAATCTCAACTCCACATTTTCAGGATCACAATCCGACTCTCACTCTAAACTATGCTCTTCTTTACTTGGATATTTCAATGATCATCTCACATCTTTTTCATGATACAATCATTCGCGTTGCTGAAAAGGATGTTTTCAGTAAGTTGAGTTGAATAAACATTAAGAAATAAGTTGAGTAATTAAAGAAAATGCTAAAATCTTGCTTTCTCTCATTTCAAACAAATTTCAGGTGATCTTGGATTCAAAATCATTCAAACGATTATGTTCTGTCGTTACTTCGGTCAAACATATTTTCTCATTCTTCTCTCTTTGTTCCTGATCTTGGCTTGTTATTGGCCGAACACTTACAGAACGATGAAGCAACCGCACACCATTGGAGTCATGCTGATACCAGCTTTAATCACAATAGGTAGGAAATGATTTGAGTCGATTATTTTGTAACTATTCTAGACTCTAGTGTACTTCTAGTGCACTGGAGTTGACGAAAAACGGACGAATGTAAGCCAAAAACGTTAAAACTCTTCTAAAACTTCTTTATTTGTTAATGTTTCTTTCAGAAAGAGGTATTGAAGAAATGAGTGTATTAGAAAGAGCTTAAAAACTCTATTTTGTTATTATGTTTCTAGATTTTAAGCACAAAGTACACTAAATCAAATGAATAATTAAAATCAAAGAGTTGTTGCGGAGAAAACCACGAAAAACCTTGGATTGTCAACGGCAAAAGTTAAGCCTCGCCCATAATGTGCGGGGTTTAGGTTTTTAGCCAAAAACTTTGCGTGGATATTATATTTTGAGTTGTTTTTTGGTGTCATTTGACGCGCAATTTCATTCTGCATCAAATCAATAGCTAAAATCAAAGGGTTGTTGATGAGAAAACCAAACGAAAAACCTTGAATTGTCAACGGCAAAAGTTAAGCTAGGTTTTTAGCCCAAAAACTTTGCGTGGACATTATATTTTGAGTTGTTCTTGGTGTCATTTGACGTGCAATTTCATTCTGCATCAAATCAATAGTTAAAATCAAAGGGTTGGTGCTGAGAAAACCATGAAAAATCTTGGATTACCAACGGCAAAAGTTAAGCTAGGTTTTTAGCCCAAAAACTTTGCGTGGATCTTATATTTTGAGTTGTTTTTGGTGTCATTTGAAGCGCAAATTCATTCTGCATCAAATCAATAGTTAAAATCAAAGGGTTCGTACTGAGTACAGGGCACAAAGGTACACTAAATCATTAAAACATAACTCAAAAGATTCTCGAGTTTTATCTCTTAAATGAAAAATTCTAGTACACGTCACACTTTTCGTATGGGAATGTGATTGCATGATCTTTCGTGTCCCTGAATATGTTTGGGATTCGAATCTATCGTTGGATTCACCAAAAATGATTTACTATCTCTATTCAGAGGGATTGAAAGTGAGTTGAAAGTGAAATTTCAGAGATTTCAGAGATTTTTCACTCTTTAACTGTAAAAAAACACTTTCTGATGCACCGAATTCTCTAGTATTTTCTCGAAATGAAAACTTCAGTGCATTGGGAAGAGAGTGTTTATGTGTTTAGAGCACAAAGGATACGAGTAGGATTGCTCTAGAAGTATCTAGAAGTATCTAGAAGTATCTAGAAGTATCTAGAAGTATCTAGTATCCAGAACTTCTTTAGGTTCTCTGTTTGGCACTTCTTGTGGTCACTGATGTGGCTTTACTAATCAAATTGTATCGTCATGGTCTTTATAGAGGGCCAAAGTATCTCCGAACTCAAACAACTGATCAACAAAGTAAGCTTAAAGCTTTAAGCCAACAAATTTTTACAATAAACGATAATTCTTCTCGTCGATAATTTGTAAACGGTAGCTAAACATTTACTTTATAAAATCCTACCGTAAATACTGGAATAGTACCCAACCATAATGACGGTGCGGAGTGTTGCGTAGTCTAGCTTTGAACGAGTTTTCTCGACACTGGTTTATGCTAAATGTACAACATATATCAAATATGAAATTCAGGGCTATTTTTCATACCGAGCATTTTTTGAGTAGCGCTTGATGAATATATTTTGGCCACTACGACTTTAGATGGGGTCAATTATGTATTTACGGTAATTGAATAATTGAACCGGTTGATAACACAGAAAACAACTATTTTAAGCATTTTAGTTTTAGTCACCTCGAATCTTGGCAATTCGAACAATGGTTTCAGCATGATGAGCAATGGAATAACCTCGGAGATTGTAAGGGTATGTTTGAAAAGTTAAATGGAGTGTTTGAAAAGTTAAATGGAGTGTTTGAAAAGTTAAATGGAGTGTTTGAAAAGTTAAATGGAGATTTCTTTTTCAAATTGTTTAACTAGAGTGGGTAAACAAATCAATCAAAGTCTTAAAATTTACATTTAAAAACTTTATTTGAAAGTTGAAAGCAATTATTCAACCAACCAAATGAACCAATTAACCAGATAAAACGTTAATCAAAAGACCGATAGATTTGTAGGCAAATTACTGAAGATCTTAAGATATAAATAGTTATAAGTTTGAATAGATTTGTAGGCAAATCACTGAAGATCTTAGGATATAGGTAGGTAGAAGTTATAATAGATTTCTAGACAAATTACTGAAGATCTTTACCTATAAACAATAGACAACAACAAAAAACAAACAACAACAATGTTATAATAGATTTCTAGAGAAATCACTAAAGATCTTTAGCTATAAATTGTATTTATAAATTACTGCTTCTAAAATTGAGAAATTTTTCTTTTCAGAGAAGACCGCGACTCCGAATCGACGCTAGATTAGCGCTTGGATTCACCTACTTGTGCACGGCTTTCGTTTGCAGCTCTGTGCACTATAAATTGAAAAATGAGTAAGTCTAGCTTGCTATTAGTTCTTTAACTTGCTATCTTAGAAGTCTAGGAGTCTAGAAGTTCTTAGAGAAGTCTAGGAGTGGGTTAGAGAAATCGAGAAAAAAAGTTATACTTCTCTGGAGCTGATTGGCTTGGCTAAGGGAATTGGCTTCAAGTTTTGTAAAGTTTGTAAAGTTTGTAAATATTGTAAAGTTATTGCATTATCTTTACTACGTAAATCAAAGCTGCTGCTGAACAAAAATATCATAAACATTTCGATTTTAGTATGGATCCAATGTTGCACAAAATCTTTTACCATCTCGTCGGAATTCTTGAGCTTTCCAAGTGCTCAATGTACATTTTAATCGTCACAAATCGATAAATTTTTGATTCTCAACATGATTGATCTCACATTTTTGCAAATAAACTATTTATTTGAATTCTAGAAAGAAATTTGCACGGAAAGCTTAAAAACTTGGTTTCAAATTTTTTTAAAATTAAAAATTCAAAGTGATTCAAACAAAAAGCTTCAAAAAATTTTGATTTCAAGCTTTCAAATATTTCAAAATTTGTTTTCCATTTTGGTGATCAAAGCTCTAATTAGCTTTTGATCAACTTTGATTAAAGAACCTTTTTGTTCTTTTTACAGTTTACTATATATGTTGTAGCTACAGGGTGCGTCATAATTATTGCAACAAGAGTTCAAAGACCGTTTTCCAAACAGGAAAACGGGCGTGTCATGGGCGTGTAAAGCCAATAACAATCAAAATTGGACCTTCATGCAAGATGGAGCTCCTGCTCACACGAAGAAGACGGTTCAGGACTGGTGTGTGGCCAACTTTCCCTCAGTGATCACCAAGGATGAATGGCCTCCAAACTCACCGGATCTCAATGTGATGGACTTTCACATTTGGGCAATCTTAGAGGCTAATGTCTGCTCTCGAAAACACACAAGTTTGGATTCTTTGAAGAAGTCTTTGACCAAAGGATGGAAGGCGATTCCTCAAGATGACATTCGGGCCGCAGTGGAGGCATATTCGAACCGATTAAGGGCTGTTATCAAGGCAAAAGGCGGTCATATCGAATGATCTCTTGTTTCCTTATTTGTTACTGTTAAATAAAGTTATTTCTGTTTAAAAATCTTCTTCCAGTGAAACTTCTTGGTGTGCAATGCCTTGAGTATCTTGTTGCAATAATTATGACGCACCCTGTAGAGTGTTTTCCTCGCGAGTAATGCGTTTTTTTAAAACGCACACTTGGGAAAAAATTATCGTACTTTTAGCAAAAATTATTGCAAAAAAATGACGCAAAAATGACGAGCCCCGCATTATATACGACACTTTTTAAAGATACTCAGCCGTTTAACTGATTTCGTGGGAAATTCCCTTCCAATGTAAAAAATGAAATTTTTCGAAAAACCTGCGCAAAAAATTGTTTTTATATCTTTTTCGCGCAGGCGCACTTTTTAGAAAACGCATTACTCGACAATTACCCATGCAAATTTACTCGAGTAATTACTTACTCGCGTGGAACACACTCTAGTTGTACCCGTTTATGAATTACAGCCGATTATGAATTGAGTGAGTCTAGGGGCGTTCAACCATCAAGTATTTGGTATCATTCAACGCAGAATCATTGATAATTATGTTCAATTTTTTTAATTAGAAAGATTGGATAAAAAGAAAAAAATTACGGGGCTTCAAAGTTTTCTCTCGAAAAAAACATTTTTTTGCTCTAATTTTTTTTTCTTTTCATCAAATCTTGCTAATTTAAAAAATTTAATACAATTATCAATGATTCTGTGTTGAATGATACCAAATACTTAATGGTTTGACGCCCCTAGACCCAGTCATTCATAATTGGCTACAGGGATCCTGCTAATTTTGAATGAAACGTTGTAGCGCCGGCAATTTTTACCCTAAACTCACAAATTTGATACGAATCCATCCATCCGTCCATCCGTCCATCCGTCCATCCGTCCATCCGTCCTTCCGTACATCCGTCCTTCCGTACATCCGTCCGTCTGTGCGCAGCCATTGGCAAAAAGAGTCGGGACTTAGATTGCGTGGAAAAGGTGAGAAAGAGAGAGAGTACACCCATAGTAGTACTTTTAGGTCACTTTGAAAGTACTTAAGGAGGATACTATAGTACTCATGGGGTAGGCTAGTTTCCACCATTTTATTTGCGCAACTGGGTCGCAAATCGCCATAACTTTCTTCTAAGTGGGCTAATCTTTTTTTGATTTTGGTGTCATTTTGTAGATCTCAATAAGTGCAACAAAATGACACTAAAATCAAAAAAGATTAGCCCACTTAGAAGAAAGTTATGGCAAGTTGCGGAAATTAGGGTCACGAAAAACCTCATCTTCACTCATAAAGAAACCCTATGAAATAGCAAATTAGCATACGATATCGCGACGGGAAAACGTTGCAAAATCTTTTTTTCATTATTCTCTTTATTGAGAATCTTTTGAACTTTTTCATTTCATCGGTTTTTTTTTCAAAATCAATAGGTGCGTTTCATTTTTTTTCAATCTTAATAAGTTATTTTATTGAAAGTATTGCTTTTAAAGCTAAAAATGACTTGTTTTATATGAAACTGGCTAAATTTTATGATGATTTCAAAGTTAAACGACTAGTGATGTACTTTTTGAAGTGTTTCTTGCCAAAATTTCTCGTTAACCTTATGGAGAGCTAGATTTATTGAAGCTTTCAATCAGTAAAACAGTGAAATTTATGTGAAAAAGTGCTTTTTAATGATAAAATAAAAATCTTGATCACTTTTTTTGAGTTTATGGTTTATAATTTTAAATTTTAGATAAATTTCTTCTCGTGTATGATGTTGAAGATGTTGGTGGTGTTGACGTTTTGTTCGTTTTGTGCGCTTTTTTCGCTTTGTTCATTGATTTCGGAAGAGCAAAGAATACACGCTCAACTGAAGCGGATCGGAAACTTCAAATCGATCTTCTCAACGATAAGGCCGTCTTTCCGAGAGCCGATTTATTGAATCAGCGATATGGTGGGCATTTTGTTCTACAGAATTATTATAAACGATTGAATTAATAATAGTTGTTGCTGGAATTCGAACAAATCTCTTCAAATTCAATGACCAAAGAGTTTAACGCGTTGCAAACCTGAAACAAAAGTGTTGAAGCGTTTAATCTGTCCGTTATCACTTATTTAGCTTGCACGTTCTTATTGAATTTGTAAAAATAATGGGATTTTCAATTTGTACTGAAGCTTAGATTAAAATCTTTCGTAAATTTCGTAATCTTTTAGTTATCCTGATCAAGCCGATGGTTGTGAAGCACGTTTTGACGATGCCGGCTTTCGTAGATTTTCTTCTTTATTACTCCGAGAAGCTCAACAAGGAGTTTGTGAGTGTTTTAAGCTTTTAAAAGTCATTTTAGTTATACAGTGGTCCACAAATGTATTGTCCCATTGCTATCCAAAAGTTTCTTTCGTACGAAAATCTTGCAAAATAACGATATTCCCAAAAAGTGTAGGGTATTTTGCTTACCCATAATACTCTACTTTTCAAGATTATAAGATTTATCCGTATACATTGCATAAAAAGTAAAGTGTAAAACAAAAACAATAAGTTACTTAACAAATAGCTCCACAAAAGTAATGTCCCATTTGCAAAGAATTAACAATTTTTTCAAAAAATTAATATTTGGTTGGTCCTCCTTTTGCTTTTATCGCTTCATTGAGTCGTTCCGGCATGGAATCCACGAGATTTTTCAAAAGACTTGCGCGGATGGTGGCCCAAAGACGTTGAATGTGAACCCATAAGGCGGCCTCCGAATCGAATTTCTTTCCCTTGAGGCGCGACTTCACAAATGACCACAAATGTTCAATTGGATTGAGATCCGGTGAGTAGGGAGGTGGATTGATCAATTTAACACGATTTGCCGCAAACCATCCGGGCAGACGAGCTCTGGTACCATTTGAAGTGTCACCAGCCGTCCCAATCAGTCTCGACTTGTGTTTCGGGCGTTGTCCTGGTAGAGCACCACCAGGAGGCATGGTTCGAGTTGCAAAAGGAAGCATTTGAGTCTCCATAATGTTCTTGTAGGCCACAGCATCCATCGTTGAGTTGACGTGAACTAATGGACCTACTGAAGTTCGTGACATCGCTCCTAAAGAAAAACAGTCAGGTGACAAAATACTAAAAAGGTTCTTACCCCAACACATTATGTTTCCACCGTTGAATTTCACGGTAGGCCGAATGTACTTGAGTGAGTATCGCCTTCCAGTTGGTCGCCGAATAAGATGGTTTCCATCCGCGTGAAATAAATTGATTTTGTCTCATCGGTAAATAATATTTTCGCCCAACACGGTCGTCCAACTTCGGTAGGTCCGTGCAAAGTCAAGGCGCTGCTTCCGGTGCTTAGAATTTGTCAGAGGTTTACGGGCAGCCCTTCTTGCAAATAATCCAGCTTGATTTAATCGTCGTCTGATCGTTTCCGGCGATACAACCTTGTTAAATTGATCCCTCATCATTTGGCTTCCATCGGTTGATGTTTTGTTAGGATCGTTTTTCACCATTTGGATCACGGCTCGATCTTCTTTTGTGGTTGTGATTGGTTGTCGGCCACTCTTGAGGCCTCGATGAAGGTTTCGGTAGACTTTTGATTGAGAAAGAATGCGGCGCACCGTCCTTATCGAGCAATTGAAGAGGTTGGCCACATCCTTTTCCCGCATCCCATTTTCCCGGGCCTTGGCGATTTGGAGCTTCGTTGGAGTGTCAAGGTTTTTCTTGCCAGTCATCTAAATAATAAAATAAAATACATTTAATGTTCATAGAAAGCAAAAATAAAAAGAATAATCAAGGAAAACATCAATGGGACATTACTTTTGTGGAGCTATTTGTTAAGTAACTTATTGTTTTTGTTTTATACTTTAATTTTTCTGCAATGTATACGGATAAATCTTATAATCCTGAAAAGTAGAGTATTATGGGTAAGCAAAATACCCTACACTTTTTGGGAATATCGTTATTTTGCAAGATTTTCGTACGAAGGAAACTTTTGGATGGCAATGGGACCAATACATTTGTGGACCACTGTATTATCATTTTAGAAAAACGCCTCAGAGTTTAAGCAAAAGCGGATCATTGAAGAGGCGTTAGATAACACGTTCGACATGCTAATTAAACAATACGGACGCTTCAAGGCAGATGTAAGGCTGATTTTGTTTTAAGGCTGAGCTTGAGAACCAAGAATTGCATTGGTTGCAGCTTGCTGCAGCTGATGTCAATTTATTTAACCATGATTATTTTTTTTCTTTTTAGGATAACATCAAATCTCTCGAGGGTTTGTTTAAGAAACAAGAGCAAGAAAAACAAAATCAAACGAAGCAACGACGTCATCCCAATGAACAACACAAAAAAACGAGCTATCCCGCCAAAAATACCATGGAATTCAAGGATTATCTTCTTTCGCAGAGTTTTCTTGATGTGAGTTGTTAATTATCTATGATTTTGCTACATTGATTTGCTTTAGGAGCTTCTAAAAGAAACGGGCAAGTATCTAGAAGAGAGGATTAAAGAGCAGCATGCTCAACAACATCGTGACAAGGTTAGAGGTGTTTTGTTAGATTCTTAAGTTACGTGTTGCTAATTCTCCCTAGGTTTTTTCTAGTTAGCATCTCTTAATTGTTGTTTTTAGGCAGCAGCTGGAATGGCGAATCAGGAGAAGAATCAACGATGAGAGTGACCTTTTGTTTACGAATTTGGTGAGCTCTTTGATCAAATAACTATTGATAAAACAAGCTCGATGACTTAAAAACCATAAACCTGTAGATTTAATTAATATTTTCACACAAATTTATTTCTAGGATTGCATACGAGTTTCTCAATTATATATTCTTTAGATTTGATCTCTTGCGTTCAAATCTTCAAATCTTCAACTCTTCAACTCTTCAACTCTTCAATCATCTCACGCTTATTCAAAAGAAGACAACCAATTCATCGAATGTACATATTTGAGTTTGCAATTTTTCTCTTTTCTAATAAAATTTCTTTTTGGATTTCGTTGGAAAAAGATATTTAGGACAAGATTGAAGGTCGAAAATGCTATTTCCAGTGAATTTTTCTAAAGTTTACCTTCCTTTCAATTTTTATGCGGATTTCAAATCATCAGATGAATTAACTTTAATTGTGACTTTTAGTTTCACCAAAAGGTCAACTCGTCGAGCGAATTTGGCCTCAAAAACACCTGTTGTAAACCCGTCAATTTTCTTTTTGATCGCAAAAGAAACTATTGTACAACAGGAGAAATTTCCGAGAAAACATATTTATCAAATGAATCCACAAATTCTGATGTTTGTCAATATTTCTGTTGCACATGAGGATGGAATTGAGGAAATCGTTTGGATTGCTTATGGAATGGAAATGGTTTTCTATTTGTTGTCTTTTGCTACAGTACCACTGTTGCATCATTTTTTGAGGAATAGCAAGGTGAGTTGGGGCAAATTGTCGCGACGATGGGAAAAATGAGTTTTTACGATCACGGTATCTAGTTACAGTATACCCAAGAGCTTTTTTTTTTGAATAACTAGGACATGTTAATTGTTACCGTAACCTTTGTATTGACAAGAATTTTGAGCTGCAACTTTGCAGATCTTCCATGTGAATCTGCAACTCCTTTTCCTTGTTGCTTGTTACAATGTTTATCCATTCACAGTCGCTCGAATTGGCATCATTTACTATGAAAGTCAACGGGATTTACAATGTGGAACTTATGAGCCAGGTATACATTCGTCTTTCACAAAAAGAAATCAACAGTTGACCCACTCTTCTTTTTTTTCCAAAAAAAAATAAGACCCTAGCGGAATCGAACCCTCGCAGACAGGCAGACCCCTTGCCCCTTCCCAGCAGACGCTCTACCACTAAGCCAGAGGCACTTATTTGACAAGCGAAAAAAAAGCGCTTCTATCATGGTTTCTGAGTAAATAACAACGAAAACCCTGAGCTCGAAACGTAGCTATATACACCAATTTAGCCAAAATTTATGAATTAAATATATTCTTAAAATTTTGAAAGTGTTTTAGAATCGAACTCTTGTCCGATTGGATTGATTGTCGTCTCACTTCTTCGCGTTTTTGTTCTCTCCTTGGTGCCAGGTTAGTGTGTGAAAAAGAGTAGTGTAAAGAGAGTTTGAATTTCGAATTTGAGAACATCTTTTAACGCCTTCCTAAATTGCGTTACCGTAGCCCATGAATCGTGATCGTTGACTGTAACCATTTATATAATATTACCGTAATCTGTGACACAGATCGTTATCGTAATCCTTTATAGCTTTACCATAACCTTGTTTACGTTTTCGTAAACCATAACTAGTAAGATTTAAGTGACGATAGCATGCTTTAGATCTGGATCGGTTTGTACTTAATTAAGTCGGCTTTTATTGACTTTTATTGACTGTTTTGTTATAGTTCTATTGGTGGCGATCTTTGTCGAACGGAGTGTAGCAACGGTGAAAGTGGAGACTTACGAGTTGCACTTTTATCGACCATTGGCTTATCTAAGTGCCTTGCTTTCTCTCTGCATTGCCTTTTTTATCGCCACTTCTTTCACTTTTGGTAGAAAGAAATTGTGCTGAAATCTAGTCATTTAGGAATTGTTAGCAGGACTGTCGCTGATTGTTTGGCCATCTCCGGCACTTGCATGGGTGGAGTGGTTTGTGGTTCTTGGAGTTCTTGGAATTTCCTTTTTGTAAAGTTAAACACAACTACGAACAATTCTTGATGCTGAATTTAATCCAGACAATAAAAGATATCATGATCATGATCATCATCATCATCATCCTTTAGTTTACTCTCATCGTCAGCCAAGTGAACAATGAGAAATTGGCTCGAATCCACAATTCTTGTTACACCCTTAGCAAGCGGTATCAATTGGGTGAAAACGTGAGAACTATGCAGGTTTGTATTAGATTTGTAAGATAGCTTTATTCTTTAGCTTTATTCTTTAGCTTTAGTCTTCAGCTTATTCTTTAGCTTTATTCTTTAGCTTTATTCTTTAGCTTTATTCTTTAGCTTTATTCTTTAGCTTTAGTCTTTAGCTTTATTCTTTAGCTTTATTCTTTAGCTTTATTCTTTAGCTTTATTCTTTAGCTTTATTCTTTAGCTTTATTCTTTAGCTTTATTCTTTAGCTTTATTCTTTAGCTTTATTCTTTAGCTTTATTCTTTAGCTTTATTCTTTAGCTTTATTCTTTAGCTTTAGTCTTTAGCTTTATTCTTTAGCTTTATTCTTTAGCTTTATTCTTTAGCTTTATTCTTTAGCTTTATTCTTTAGCTTTATTCTTTAGCTTTATTCTTTAGCTTATTCTTCAGCTTTATTCTTCAGCTTTAGTCTTCAGCTTTATTCCTTTTATATGCTTCAGATTCTCACCTTCATCACTTCGTTCACAATACTCAATAACGTTTTTCTCGTGCTGCTCTTTTACATTCACGCATTGGAAATCTCGTGGACAATCCGCAATTATATTGGAATCTTTTTGAGTTTATATATGAGCATGTAAACTTTTTGAAGAAAAAGTAAATTGAAATTCTTTTATAGCTATTATTTCTTCACAACATTCATCGGTCTCTTCGCAAATCAACAGATTTACAAGCTGGCAAAGCGAATGTTTATACAGAAATTTGTTCAACTACGGTAGGATTAGTATTATCCGGTTATTGCTCTCAAATTTCAGAGATCGATCTGAAAAAGAGAGAGAAAACAAGCAGATCTTTGACACCAAAGGACAGGTGAAATTCAATTTTTGCTAGATTTTAGTAGCTTTTAGTAGCAGTTCCTTAGTTTCTTAGTTTCTTATGACTTTCCAAGAGTCAAGGATTGATTCTAGATGGACAGATGACAGATCTAGGCTAAGATTTCAGATGATGTACCTGGGTGCGAATCAGGACGATTACTTTACACAGCTTGAATCACAGTGGGCCGCTTGTCGGACGAGATGAAGGAGATAAAAGAGAAATCGATTCGGAAATAAAGCTTTTTTCAAATCAATTCAATTTCTTACAAAGTTTTTGCATTAAATCCAGCTAATTGAAGCTAAATGTTGAGCTAATCTCGTCTTTCAAGTTATTGATTAACTTTAAATTTCATAAATTCATTTCCATAAAGCTTCATTAGAACACTGGTGACTTGAACATATAAAAATTTATTAGATAAACCAGAAAGAGTGCGTTTGTTAGAGTGAAAAGTATCGTTAGAACCGTTGAAACCGTTTAACAAATGTTTAAACCATTCCACAAACGTTTAAACCGTTTAACAAACGTTTAAACGGTTTAACAAACATTTCACAAACGTTTAACAAACGTTTAACAAACGTTTAAACCGTTTAACAAACGTTTAAACCGTTTCACAAACGTTTAAACCGTTTCACAAACGTTTAAACCGTTTAACAAACGTTTAAACCGTTTCACAAACGTTTAAACCGTTTAACAAACGTTTAAACCGTTTCACAAACGTTTAACAAACGTTTAAACAACATTCCAGTATAAAAAGAATAGAATCGTTAATGAAACCAAAAAATCTATTGGATAAAGCAAGATGGGAAGTCAATTTTTACATTTACATTTAAAAATCTATTTAAAAAGTGGCTCAACTTTCAGAAAACACCTGTAAATGTTTTGGAGATGAATTGAATGAATTGAATGAAGCAACGAATTGAAACGAAAGAAAGAATCGATTTCTCTCACTAATGCAACTCCAACTCTTGCTCTTCATCAATATGTCGATTGTTTACGATGATGGCTGGGAAGCGTACATATGGATGGGCTACTGTATCGAAATCCTTTTCTATTTACTAACCGCTTTTGCTGTGCCGATCACGTACAAGCTTTTGAGTAGCACACCGGTGAAATCTTTGACAATCTTGACAATCTTGACAATCTTGACAATGATAGTATTTGCTTTAAAATTCGATCTTTGACTTTTAAAACATTCTGTAGCTTGGCTTCTTTTAGATCTTTCACCCAAACATGTTGATGATCTTCTTCACTGCTATTTTCAGTATTTACATCTTTGCCGCTTCTCGATTAGGGCTTATCTATTACGAGGCTCAACCGGATTTGACTTGTGAAATCTATGCGGAAAGTGAGTATGGATTGGAAATCCAATTGAATCCAAAAATCCCGATCAGCTATCCAGCAATCCAGCAATCCAGTAATCCAGTAATCCAACAATCCAGCAATCCAGCAATCCAGTAATCCAGCAATCCAGCAATCCAGCAATCCAGCAATCCAGTAATCCAGCAATCCAGTAATCCAGCAATCCAGTAATCCAGCAATCCAGTAATCCAGCAATCCAGCAATCCAGAATCCAGCAATCCAGTAATCCAGTAATCCAGTAATCCAGCAATCCAGCAATCCAGCAATCCAACAATCCAGCAATCCAGCAACCAGTAGTCCAGCAATCGAGCAATCCAGCAATCCAGAGCAATCAAAAATCTTTCCAGCGATTGATACTTGTCCTACGATGTTGATTGTCTTCTCGATTTTGAGAGCTTTCGATTTCGCATTAGTGCCTGGTGAGTGTTATCCAGCAACTGACATTAATAAATCATGATCTCAATAAACAAAGATCATGACTAGAAAAAAAAATCTGAGAAAAAAGCATCAAAAATGGAGCAAGCGGGATCGAACTACCTGAGACCTCTCGACTAAGAAACCCGGCTTTTAGCCAGTTGGCCATGACGGCGATATGGGGGCTTTATCAGAACAGTGTATGATTCCAGCTCTTCTCGGATTCCTTCTCTTCGAGCGACTCATCGCGACGATTCGCGTGGAAACATATGAGACAGTTTATCATTCAAAATTATTTATTTTTATTCTATTTATTATTAGCCTACTCAGCGGACTTGTTTCCATATTATACACTTTTGGTAAAACCTCAATCAATCAAATTTCAATCAAATTCCATTCCTAGGTTTCATCTCTCGAATTCTAGCGGTCCTTTTAGCGTTGTGGATCTCGTTTAGCTCGGCTTTAGTTCGTTTTAAACATTGATCTAACAAAATTTTAGATTTTAGACTTGTAGTCTGCATAAAAAGTTTCCACTTTCTTGACTCTCCTTGTTTCTTTCAGAGCACTCAACTCGTGATTCGAATTAATGAAAAAAAAGAGGAACGATTGCATATTTCTGATTATTCATTGAGTAAAAGATATCAATTATCGGAGAATATTCGATCAGCACAGGTGTGGAAAGGGTTTGAATTCTTAAAAAGATAAAGAAATCTTTTTATTACCAAAAGAATCGCTTTCTAAAAGGTTTGGAAAGCTATCGTAACCAATTGATCTTAAAAAAAAAGTAATTTTTCCCAAAACAAACGCACAACTAAGCATTGAATCGCTTAAAAAGACATTAAAATCATTAAAAAGAGATTCAAATCATTAAAAACAGATTCAAATCATTAAAAACAGATTCAAATCATTAAAAACAGATTCAAATCATTAAAAAGAGATTAGAAATCTCTTTAATCTTTAAAAATTTTTAAAAAGAAATGTAATCTTTAAGCTCCTTTCATATCTTCTCTGGTTTACAACAGTGAACAATACAATTATTGGAGGTGTATGGATCGTTCACTCAACAAACATTTCACCATCAATGCGTAACATCATTGGAACTTTTCTCACAATCTTTATGGCTTTGTATGTTAGATATTTATCTACAATAATAAGGGATTACTGTTAACTAACTTCTTTAACTAACGAACTTCCAGCTACTTTTGCGTGACGAGTGTCTTCGGGATTTTCGTCAATCGCCGTATTTATATTCTTTGGAAAGCGCTTGCTCGTGCGAAGCTACGAAAATTTTTGTGAGTGAAAGAAAGAGAAAGAAAGAAAGAGAAAGGAAGGAAGAGAAAGGAAGGAAGAGAAGAGAAAGAAAGAGAAAAGGAAGAAAGAGAAAGGAAGAGAAGAGAAAGAAAGAGAAGAGAAAGAGAAGAGAAAGAGAAGAGAAAGAGAAGAGAACAGAAAGATTTCAAACTACTTTAGTCCATTATTTCGAAGGATCTCTGGTGAGACAAGTCGTAAAGTGAGTGTCGCCATTTTAAATGTGAAGGGAAAGGTGGGGAAAGAACTTGTTTAACTATAAAATAATAAAGAAAAGAAATGAATAGCAAAGAATTTACGATTTAAAAGTAAAGATTAAGAGTTATAAATGTCAATTCGCATATAGTGCTTGACGAAATAATCGGTTTTTGTCTTTTGCCCCAAAAACTAGGAATTTTGAATAAAAATTCAACTTTTATTCAAAACAAAAGCCTCAGTGTCATCTATAATTATCTTGTGTAATCCTTTTTTATTCATAAAAAGCGTCTAGAACAATCTAGACATCTAATCTAGACAGAGACGTTGTCAAAGGCTCACTTTTGAGATGAGAAAACCCATTTGAACGTCTTTTGACCGATGTTTAGCCCACTCAAATAAATTTTCGTCAAGAATTTCTGATTGAAAGTTGTAGAAATGAGTTCAAGGATCATTTTGGTACCTTATTTGGGTTAATCCGAACATTTTTGACCGAGTTACAGCGTTTTAAATTTCAGGAAACAAAAATTTAGCCTTTCACTGTGTTGAAAGGGTTACTTTCTGGGTATGCTGGCTTGTAGCTCGGTATGCTGGCTTGTAGCTCGGTCAAAAATGTTCGGATTAGTCCAGATTAGGTATCAAAATGATCCTTGAACTCTTTTTTACAACTTTCAGTGAGAAATTCTTGACGAAAATTTATTTAAGTGGGCTAAACATCGGCCAGAAGGCGTTCAAATCGGTTTTCTCATCTCAAAAGTGAGACTTCTTCTCTCTTCTCTTTGTCTCGATAAATTCTTGTTCTAGACGTATTCAAAACTCCTTGTTTTTGGGGCAAAACACATGGTGAACCTATCATTTTGTTACGCACTGTATAATTTGATGAAAGATACAAGTTGTGGCGTACAAATGCACAAATTCGGCTTTGACTATGTGATTCTGACCTTAAAGTCGACGTTTTTTTTGAGCTAAGAATTTGCCAGGAATGGTTGAAAAGCAATTTTTGAGTTTCTTTTCTTGAATTTGATGATTGTTTACCTTTCCATTGTATTCTAATTCAGTTTCAGGTACTCTACACAGGCGCTAATCAAACCGATTACTTTGAGCAACTTCAAATCCAATGGACATGATGAAATAACATTATGTGCCTGGTGAGTGCCTGGTGAGTGTTATCCAGCTCTGACATTAATAAATCATGATCTCAATAAACAAAGATCATGAATAGAATCAAAAATCTGAGCAAAAAAGAATCAAAAGTGGAGCGAGCGGGATCGAACCCTTGGCTACCTGAGACCTCTCGAACAGGAAACCCGGCTCTTAGCCAGCCGGCCATGACGGTGATTGGCGGGCTCTGCCAGAACAGTGTATAATTCCAGCTCTTCTCGGATTCCTTCTCTTCGAGCGACTCATCGCGACGATTCGCGTGGAGACTTATGAGACAATTTATCATTCAAAATTATTTATTTTTATTCTATTTATTATTAGCCTACTCAGCGGACTTGTTTCCATATTATACACTTTTGGTAAAAAGTTTCTTTTCTTGAATTTGATGAATGTTTACCTTTCCATTGTACTCTAATTCAGTTTCAGGTACTCTACACAGGCGCTAATCAAACCGATTACTTTGAGCAACTTCAAATCCAATGGACATGATGAAATAACATTATCGCATTAAAATTTAGATCAAATTTAGATCAAATTATTGAATATTTAATTCAAGAAGTTGTCTGAATGAAGATAAATAAAGCATAAAAAGCACAAAGCACACTACTGGACAATGAAATATGATATTTGAAAAACGATCGTCACTTTCGCGCGCCTGTAACTCCTTTTTCTTTACCGTATTTCTAAATATTAATATTACCATTGGGTAGCCCTTGAAAAGAGCTTTCAGAAAATGTATAACATTAATAGTTTAAACGCAAAGACAAGGGAGTTACAGACGCGCGAAAGTGACGATCGTTTTTCAGATATCATATTTCATTGTCCAGTACTGTAGCTTTCAAGTGGAACTTCCAAGCTTCTGTAATGGAATGCAAGAGCTAAAAAATTTGCGTTCTCTTTTTTTCCAATCTCTCCCGGCATCTTTAAATCACAAAATTCCTGTTTTAATCATCGATCTTCTTGTTTTAAATTCAAAATTCTATGGAGTAAAAGGTAAATTTCGAGTTTAATTGCATAGTTCAAAGCAAGTGCCCATTTCTGTTTTGCCATTTGTTTTCCATTTGTTCGCTATTTGTTTGCCATTTGTTTGCTATTTGTTTTCCATTTGTTTGCCATTTGTTTGCTATTTGTTTGCTATTTGTTTGCCAGTTGTTTGCCAGTTGTTTTCCATTTGTTTACCATTTGTTTTCCATTTGTTTACCATTTGTTTGTCATTTGTTTTTCATTTGTTTGCCTTTTGTTTTCCATTTGTTTGCCATTTCATTTCCATTTCATTTCCATTTCATTTCCATTTCATTTCCATTTCATTTCCATTTCATTTCTATTTCATTTCCATTTCTTCTATTCAATTGAATCACAGTTAATCCGTTTTTTTGCTCATAATTGGCTATTTTCTTTGCATAAAATCATCACCTTGAAAGGGAAAAACCAGCATTTTTCTCAAGAAAGAGCTAAGCTTTTACCAGAAAAAGCAGGTGAAATTTTTGAACTTCTAAAGGGAAAAAGTCATACAGTTTCTTTTGTTCTATCGATTTTTGACAAGAATGAAACTGCAACTCTTGATCTACATCAATATGTCGATTGCTTATGATGATGGCTGGGAAGCATACATTTGGATGGGTTACACCATCGAGATTGTTCTCTATCTGATGACAGCTGTTTCTGTGCCGATTACGTATCATCTTTTATGTCATACACCAGTTAGTTTCAAAATTAATTTCAATAATTGGATTAGGATTGATATATAGGATTGATAAATAGGATTAATAAATAGGATTGATATATAGAATTGATAAAACAAGACAGTCATTGCCATTGCTGTCATTGCTGTCATTGCTGCCATTGCTTTTCCAGTTCATTTCTTTCAGATGTTTCACCCGAACATGTTGCTAATCTTTTTCACTTCAATATTTAGTATTTATCTCTTTTTGGCGGCTCGTATTGGAATCATCTATTTCGAGTCTCAGCACGGGTTAACTTGTGAAATTTACGCAGAAAGTAAAGCTTTTTCTCAGTCTTCAAAACAAGAAATTTAGCAATTGAAACTTGTCCTTTGATCTTGATCGTCTTTTCCTTTATCCGAGTTTATATTCTAGGCTTTGTGCCAAGTGAGCTTTATTTTACACAAGCTTAAGCAAAAGCTAGCAATAGCAAAAGCTTTTAACAAAAGCTTTTAACACAAGCTTAAAGCTTTTAACTTTAAGCTTCAAATCTCTAGATCTCCTTGGTTTATTGCTTATTGAACGAATTGTGGCCACGATTTGTGTGGCTACTTACGAGAAAAGATATTATCGATTACAATTCATTGCAGCTATTCTCTTTCTCGGAGTATTTTCGGCTTTTAGTGCCTATCGCTTTACGATTGGTGAGTGGAGTTTAATAATTTGTTTTCACACTTTTTGATTACTTTCTAAACATACCCTTTCTCGTGCACTTAATTCTGCATCTTTATGAATTTAGTGCATCAGAAGTGATCTGTTTACACAGAAAGCTTTTTTAGAATCAATACCACCTCGTGCTGAGGCTGGGATCATAGGTGTTGGAATCTCTTGTATAGCATCTTTGGTAAGTCTTGATGAATGAAGAAGTAAGAGTTAAAGCTTCAGTTGATTCAAATTGTTATTCGAATCAATGAGAAGAAGGAGAAACTTCATGAAACAAATTATTCGTTGAGTCGACGATATCAATTGACAGAAAACATTCGATCAACACAGGTAGAACGACGTTAAAAGATGAAAGAAGGATAGCAATTGAGCTCTAGACAAGGCTCGTCTTGAAGGAACAAGCCAGGCTTCAGGCTAGAGCCTGATTCCTGCCTTTCGAATTCTCTTTTGATCAACTCCAGGGCTTCAGGCTAATCTAGAGGCTACCAGGCTAGAATTGCCTTTCGATCAACTCCAGCCTTCAGCTAATCTAGAGCCTGATTCCTGCCTTTCGAATTCTCTTTCGATCAACTCCAGCCTTCAGGCTAGTCCAGAGCCTGGCTCCTACCCGGCTAGAATTCCCTTTCGATCAACTCCAGCCTTCTGGCTAGTCCAAAGCCTGCTGCCTTTCAAATTCCATTTCGATCAACTCCAGCCTTCAGCTAATCTAGAGTCTGATTCCTGCCTTTAGAATTCCCTTTCGATCAAGTCCAGCCTTCAGGCTAGTCCAGGGCCTGATTCTTGCCTTTCGAATTTCCTTTCAATCAACTCCAGCCTTCTGGCTAGTCCAGAGCTTGGCTCCTACCCGGCTAGAATTTCCTTTCGATCAACTCCAGCCTTCAGCTAATCTAGAGCCTAGTTCCTGCCTTTCGAATTCCCTTTCGATCAACTCCATCCTTTTAGATCTTAGCATATCTTTTATGGTTTATGACAATCGCTAATTTCCTCTACGTAACTGCTTATCTCGTTCACATGCTTGACATTTCTTGGTCTCTTCGAAATGTGATTGGATTGACACTCAATATTTTTATATCATGGTTGGTCAAATGTGCTTTGTGTTAGTGTAAACCGTTTCTCGTGCACTCAAACTCTGCTTTCATCACTAAAGCAGTGATACTAGAATGCGGCATTGAAGAGCCAAAACGCAGCTTTTCTAGTGCCCTAGAAAAAGTGTGTTTTTGCTTTAAGCACAAATTATTTAAAGGCTTCATAGATTGTTCATTTCAGCACATTTTTCATTGTAAGTATCTTTGGAAATTTCATGAATCGTCGAATTTTTCTCTTGTGGAAGGGATTCGCTCGAGTCAAGTTGAGGGGACTTTTGTGAGTGTGCGAAATGGGAAATTTGATTTCAAGATTGATCGTTTTCAGAGTTTAGCTTTTAATTGTAATATTAAGGAAGCTTTCAGGGTATTCAGTCGAGTGAGCAGTGAAGAATTGAGTCGAAAGCCGAGTGAACCGATTCTTGATAGCCGGGGAAGGGTTCGTTGTTGTTTTAAATGTTCATTTGTCGGTGTTTCTTTTCAATTTTGACTTCTAATGCTTAAAATCATTAGGAATTTTATGGGTTTTATCGAAATTTTAGATTTTGTACATTGGCGCAAAGCAGGACGACTATTTCAGTCAACTCGACGCTCAATGGGCATAGGAAATTGTGGAAAAACTTTGCTTATGATTGCTCTAATAAATATTGCTTGGAAAAAAGATCTAGAGATCTAGATCTAGAGAAATTAGCCAAGTGGTGGATTGAAATGGAAATCTTCGTCTTGTTTTCTCTCTGCTTCTGTCAAAATTCCCATTGTGACAAAAGCAGAGAGAAAACAAGACGGATTTGAGCATTTAAACAATAAAGAAGAGTCACAATTCCCATTTCCCATTGTGATGCGTGTTGAGGAGATTGTTCATTAAATAGCAGCAATCTGAAAGACAGCAATCTGAAAGACGTGGAAGAGTTGTGTGACCAAATCCTGGGCACCATTTGAATTGTCTTCCACTTTCTCCGTTTGCCATTTGTCACCGTATTCTTTCCGAAACAACTCACTGATTTTGGGATTGGATTTTGGAAAACGAATTTGAGCATTTAAACAATAAAGAAGAGTTGTTTCTTCTCGAAAATCTGGATCACAATGAAAAGATTCATATTTTGTCAAAAGATCTGAATTTCCGAGAAGTTTTCTTTGAATTGTGTTGTCTAGTATTACAGGTAAGCTCATTATCTGCGCTGAAATAAAGCACAAGATGTCGTGACGATCTCGTGATCGAGATCACCACGGATGGAAATGGCCAGCCAGATTCCTTTGTGGGCGAACGCCTATTGTGCGAGATTTAATATGCGTCGCTATTCATTCAACCTCATTGTGTGTAAGACGAGACCAACGCCTGAGTTTCGTATAAAAGCAATGTGAACGAGCTGCCGAAATGTGCCGTGGAGTCGTCTCTACTCTCCCAATCTCAAACCACTGAACCAACTATTATTGCTGTAATAAAGATTATATCTAAACCATCAATAATCACTACAGAGAAAGATAAATGAAACATCAAACAACTCAGTCAAAGTGAACACTTTTATGTATTTTTGTACAGGAAAAACAGGCTCTTGAAAGTTATTACGTCAACAAGAGGTATTGCATGCTTTTGCAAAGGATTTGCTCTCATTTGTGGGTCTTGGGCTGGGCTAGACGGACTAGACCAACAGTCTAAAGTTCTGTAAAAAAAGCAATGTGAACGAGCTGCCGAGGTGTGAACGAGCTGCGTTCTTTATCTCCTCGACACTCCCGAGATGTGCCGTGGAGTCGTCTCTACTCTCCCAATCTCAAACCACTGAACCAACTATTATTGCTGTAATAAAGATTATATCTAAACCATCAATAATCACTACACAAGACAAATAAAGTACAACATAAAAGTGTTCAAAGAAATATAAAATTGTTACGTAAGATGTTAAGATGAGACAAAATAGCAGCAATCTGAAAGACGTGGAAGAGTTGTGTAACCAAATGCTGAGCGCCACTTTGCTACTACTTAATAATGACTCAAAAAATAGTAGTGGAGTGGTCCCTAAGTCCAGGATTCGATTACGCAACTCTCCCAAGTCTTTCAGAGCGATTAGTGGGATTTCATCTCCTATAAAGGAATTGGATTCAGCGATCTCCTATAAAGAAATTGGATTTTCTAATACAAAGCTGATTCCAAAAGTTTCAAATTTAATCCTGTGAATTGAATTGATTCTTTAAATGGTATCATGACATTTTGAGTCTTATCAGAAGGATCAGAAGGATCAGAAGGATCAGAAGGATCAGAAGGATCAGAAGGATCAGAAGGATCCGAAGGATCAGAAGGATCAGAAGGATCAGAAGGATCAGAAGGATCAGAAGGGACACAAAGTGTGAGTTATCTAAAAGAAAGTAATTCTACAATAAAAGCAGTTGTATCTAGAGTGTATTCCTTGTGGATAAGCGCTTCTAAAGCGTGCGCTTCAAAAAGGCTGTCGTAGTTATGCAAATTTCTTTAAATGCAACTGTTTTTCCTCAATAGTTCAATAGTTCTCATCTTTTCTAACATTCTTGCTTGTTGATGCTTTCCGGGAGATAGATTTGAGCTTTTTCGTCGACGTAACGTAATCGATATAATTAGGTCGTTGAGCTAGGCGGACTCGGCTCAATTATATAGGTTCTATGTAGGTGATCTTGAGGAATTTCGTTTAAAACTAATCCTATACCAAGTTCTACATAAAGATATCAATATATTTTATAGTTTACAGCTAAAATTTTCTTCCAGCTACCAAACAGCCAGTTGGTTGCGTCGAAAAAAATCGACCTTAGCAAGTTGACCGCTAGAGAAGACACTTTGAAGCTTTTAAGAGATTTACGAAGCTTTCAAGAGATTTTAAAGAATTTACAGATATTGTAAACGATTTTACTATAAATATTCAATACAATTACAACTTTTCAATCAAGTTTTCTGAGAATTGAAGGCCCAGAAGGCCCAGAAGGCCTAGAAGGCTGTCATCAAGGTATTCCATTGCGGGATAAAGGATTAGAGCTTTTTAAATGAAATATTTTTAGTTTTTTTTATTTCCATGACCTTTTAATGTAATCGAAATAAATCTTGGCTTCTTCCTCTTTGCTGAATGACATATTGGTGCCGAGCGAACTGACAATAGCCTTTGATGGCGAGTGGAAATATGAGAGAAACGCTCGGCGAAGAGATTTCTCCGCGAAGACGGTGAGGAACATTTGAAAGAAAATCTTAAATCTAGACATTAGATCGATTAGCAAGATTGCTATTGATCAGAGTTTTTGCTTTGCCTTAAAGTTTATACTAATTTGCGAGAAACCAAGACCAGGCTCAGAAGCATTTCCCTCACCTGAATCTGTAGAGTTTTTGCTTTGCTTTTAAAGTTTATACTAATTTACGAGAAACCAAGCTCAGGACCATTTCCCTCACCTGAATCTGCAGAGTTTTTGCTTTGCTTTTAAAGTTTACACTAATTTACTAAACCAAGGCCAGACTCAGAACCATTTCCCTCACCTGAATCTGCACGGCATACCAAACAAAATAGCAATTATAAATGGCCGTCTGCGGTTTCTCTCCATCAACCCAAAAGCAGTAATTGATATACAAAACCACACTCGTCAAACATTTGTATGGAGCTAGGAAAAGCAAGAGTCGAGATGCTCGAATGTTCATCACGGTTCGGTATCTGTGAAAAGTTTCGAGTTTAGCTTATTCATTGAAGTTTTTCCCTTTTTCTGGTTTGCTTTAATCAGAGAGATCATTTCAGCCATTCAATCTCATCTTCACTCCTCACTCTCACCTTTCCTCCACCGTACAATTTCTGTTTTGGCTTTGATCAGAGAGATCATTTCAGCCATTCAATCTCATCTTCACTCCTCACTCTCACCTCCCCACCGACAATTCTGTTTGGCTTTGATCAGAGAGACATTCAGCCATTCAACTCACTTCACTCCTCACTCTCACCTTCCTCCACCGTACAATTTCTGTTTTGGCTTTGATCAGAAAGATCCTTTCAGACATTCAATCTCCTCTTCACTCCTCACTCTCACCTTTCCTCCACCGTACAATTCTTTAGCTCATAAACCCGTATGTAAACTCGTCTGCAGATTCGGTGAAGTTCAATGAAAAACTGAAGAGAATGGCTTTGCATTTCAAATTTGTCAAACCAAGCTAGCCAGGGAATAGTTGACATACACAGCGCCAAAAACAAGTTGTGATGAGAGGATGTTCACGTGGTAGCCCAGTACCTCGATGCTCGTCAAGCTCATCTGAAAATCGATCCTTTATTTTGTTTTATAAGTTGGTTTTAGATAAATTTACCATTATAGCCATTAACATCTTTGTTAATCGATTTGTGGTAAATCGTTGATGATAGTGTTCCCAATTCCTCATCGCCACTAGCCGCTCGATCGCATAGCACATGGTGAGTTGAAGGGAACAAGCGGTGCCTAGGCTTTCTGTTGACTACTACACAAAAAACGACATTTAATACTCAATATGATTTTAAATGAAGCTGTTTGGTCAGGGATTTGCTTGAAACAGGCTCTGGCTTGAAACAAAACTTTGTTTTCTCTGCTCGATTACCTAATAGGCCGTTGGCCGAATGGGTTGGCTGAATTTTTAAAAGTTAAATGTAAAAGTTGTTACCAATATCATTAAGCAGAGTCAATACACCGAAGGTAGTCGGTGAAATGAAGTCGAGTTGCTCAAGGAAATGCCGAATCAGCCGCGGGATCATACTCAACGTATAGAGAGTCGGCTGGCAAATGATAAGGGTGGAAAGGTTGACATGGCAAAACTAAATTTGATTGGCAGATGATTCACTTTCGACCAAATCAGGCTATGAGTTTTTAGAAATGTTTTCTGAATTCCTAGCTTCAGCTCTTCAGCTCATTCAGCTAACTAAACCTTGAATAGGCTCTTGACGTTCTAACTCAACTCTTGTTTTTCAAAAAGCTCATGACTACCGTATAGCTGAATGCTAAGATATGAGCAGTTCTTTGAGTGTAAACTTAGACTACGCGACGCTCCTATATGGATCTCCTATAATGCTTCTATTTATTAGAGTATTTACAGAAGTAAGTCTCATCTCTTAAACTTCTCTCACCGTCTTCTTTTTCATCAAGTTTATGTAGAGAACACAAGTTAGAAACAAGATGAGAAAGTTTCCGCATTCAGCTAACTAAACCTTTTTATATTTCAACCAAGATATTTATTTTTTGGAGCAAAAAGCAAAAGAATTAGCGGCGAGAGGAGTCGAACTCGCGACTTCTCTCTTCCGTTCGTTTGAGAGACGCGCGCGTTAACCACTCGGCTATGCTTTATTGCGCAATGCGAGTGCACTTGTCTCTAGCTCACACGATCCGTTGGCACTTTTGGTTTTTGAAAAATTTAAAAACATGTTGCACAACTACATAAAATTCTAAGCTAAACTAAATATAAGTCATTTGAAACGGCTCACTGGGGGTTGAGGAGTAGCGCGCACAGACAAACAGAAAAACAAACAAATTTCTTAGTCCCTTTATACAGGGTGGCTGAAAATTACGTGCGCCAAAGAAAACGCCATAATTTAATTTTCTTTCAAAGAACATGTAAAAATATTTATTTATATGTTGTAGCTTATTTATATGTTATTTATATATACCGATTATGAGTGAGAGTAGCTTTTGCTAGAAATTTCTCTTCAAATGCAATTAAAATTAAGAAATTTATGGCAAGTTGCGCAAAAGAACCAGTTGCTTAAAAAAATTTGGCGCAAAGGCGTATTTTCACCCCTCCCCGTTAATCGTGCTTTATATTTTTGAGCAAAATTTAAGAGTTTTTACGTTTTTAACTTTTTTCTTTTATATTTTCATCGGATTAAATTTTCTTTTTAGGATGGAGAATCGATTTGTTGAAACCTTCACACAATATTTTCTTGAAGGGCGAAGATTTTGATACCGTTTGCCAATAAATATGATGAAATCGTCGTGCAAATCAAAGAATTCAGCAAGGGAAACGATAAGATGAAAAAAAAATCCCGCGATAATGCGAACTTGCTAAATCGTTTCTTTCTTCGATACCAACAGGATCTCTACAGCTTTGAAGCTTTGAAGAAAGCGGCTTTGAAAACGCTCGGCTTTGAAAAAGGAGCTAACAAATCAAGGTGAAAACGAAAAAGTGGTAATAGAATTAGATTATTTTAATATTATTTTTGTTGATCAAATGGTTCTTTTCCAATATCGGGGGAGCGGTCCGATTATCGGGGGAGCGAAAGGAAAATCGGGGGAGCAAATTTTGCCCCCTCGAAAAATGCATTTCTGGGACTTTTATTTTAACTGCAACGTTTTTTTTTTAATTTTTTGGCAGCGCTACATATGTCCTATATTATCCAAAGTACTGCCATAAAATCCGCGAATTACCCGTTATTCTCACAACCTTTATATTAGATCACAAAAGTGACTTAAATATCTAACACTTGGGGACATTTCGCCGTGCGCAAGTGTCACATACCCAGCGAAATAGATCTTTTCCCTTTGAGCGGACTTTCATCGATTCGCCACAGTTGCAAATCCACGACTGGATGACTCCTTTGGTGACGAAATAATCGATTGCCGTCGATTCCTTGAACGCACAAATATCGGAGAAGCGCATCGTCGTTAAAGTTTTAAAAAAACGTTGCAGTTAAAATAAAAGTCCCAGAAATGCATTTTTCGAGGGGGCAAAATTTGCTCCCCCGATTTTCCTTTCGCTCCCCCGATTTTCTTTCCGCTCCCCCGATAATCGGACCGCTCCCCCGATATTGGAAAAGAACCGATCAAATTTATTTATTTGCCTCAGATCGATGAAAACAAAGAAGATGAAAAGAATTTGACTGGAGTGAATCGACTCGAGCCGCAATCACAGAAAATCCAACTTTTCTCCCGAACACGAGTGACGAAGCGGACGAGAAGCTCGAGAAAGCAACAGGCAAGTCATAGTATTAATGTCTTATTGTAAAGTTAATTTAATATTTTGACTCAGAGTTAAAACAGTGTGATGAAAATATTCTGCAACACCGAGAGGGAGCCCTACAATGCCAGAAAACAAAGAAGATGCCAAGAAATGCAGGCTTCAAAGATGTTGAAAGCTTTAAAAAATAGGTATAGTTTGTTTTTGCATTTAAATTTAATCTATTTTGTTAGATTTGAACCGGTTGATGTGGGAAGAACAGTCCGAATACCGATTGATTCTGTTGATCATCCGAAGATTGACCATTCATCGCTTTTTTTGGGTCGTTCTGGAATCAAATGAGAGATTTTATCGGATTGGCACTAAAAACGGAATTCTTCAACAAAAGTAAATCTTTAAATGGTTGTTTTCAAATTTTATATGATAGTTAAAATTATCTTTTGTTCTAGGTTAACAAAAAATCAATTCGAACCGGCTAACAACAATTTTATCACCGCTGAAGAAGTGCCAAATGTTGAGACGTCGTTCCGAGCCGCTGTTGGAGCTGAGTCTTTGACTGGATCGAAAGGTAAATCTCTTTTAATCTAGTTCAGCAATATTAAGTTAAATTCATTTCAAAATTAATACTAGTTTTTATTTTAGGCTATAAGTACTGCACAAATGGATATGTGAATGGAAGGTGTGCCTGTCGAAAAACCAACATTCTCGGCAATAGCTGATGTCACCAATTCCTGCTTGAACAAAGGACAATTTGGTTTGTCGTTATTGTTTATTGTTTAACCCTAGATGATTTGTTATTATGTTTTTGTTTACGTTCAATAAACGTGGATAAAACGTCAAGTTACCTTGACAAATACAGCATTAAACAAATTCAATATCAACATACTAATTCGCAATTGAAGACAACTTTCTAGAAACTTTCTAGAAAAAGCTACTTTCACTCGCTACGACATATATATGTCTTATTTTTCAACAGAAAAGCAAACTTTCCTACTTCACCAACTTGTAGATGGGCTAGATAGGGGACGGTCGGACGGAGATCGAAATACTGGGCGTGGGTGAAATTGAAATTCATTTTGAAGCAATACTTTAGAGCAATACTTTAGCAAGCAATACTTTCTGTCTACAGAGCTGTCTAGTCTTCTGTCAATTTGCTGTCATATAGTCTTTAAGTGAAAAAAAGAATCGATTCCAACACCTTTTCGATCCCTAGAGAGCTATGAAAAAAGCAATTCCTCGTCACAAAAAGAGATTTTTCGCGATCGGATCTAATTACCCGATGGAAAGCTCAAATTTTTGAGGTATTTCGCAAGGGTTTGAGTTCTCGCCTTAATGATACGGGGAAAGAGCTTTTCATACTTCTTTGTAGTTCTTTCATCATGTGTACCATGCAATTAGGTAATTTGTATTTTTGTACACACAATTAGAGGTAATAGATATTATTGGATAATAATATTGGTATCTTGGATGTTGAATAATAATCTTGATATATATTGGATGTTGGATAATAATATTGGTATATTGGATGTTGGATAATATTGGTTAAATGAATCAAGTTGCCTCTCTGTTCAGGCAATGTCGACATTCTTTGGTAATGTCATTCGATTTCTGTTCGATTTCTGTTCGATTTCTGTTCGATTTACCCAAAACAACAGAACAGATGACACTTGTTTGATTTTAAAACGCTATATTCGCGTTGTGCGTTTTGAATCAAGTAAAGTGGGCTGATAAAAAATGAACTGGGTAGGGGAATATCCGAAAGATAGGTTAACTCGTTATGGATACAAATGGACAATATCAAAAAGCTGTTGTAATCTCGATGGAACTCTTTGCTTTCACTGGTATCCTGCTTGTGAAAATTTGAATTTCAACTTGTTGCTTGCTAGTTGAACAGTACAACTGAACAGTACCAAAAGTGGTTTGTTCTTGTTCAGGAAAGAGTTTACTGATACCGCTTAGCCCTAGCTTTCTAATAATTTTCATTTCAGTTTGTGTAACTTTCCATCCTTTGTAGCGGTCCACTTTTCATTTCTGTCCAATCCACTCAAGACTACGGAAAAACACTTTATTTGCATCAGGAAATGAGACAAGAGAATCAAAGTGAAAGAACATTTGAGCATCTTTAGACGGCAATGTACAAGTACCCGGAGAAGAGATTTGTAAGCCGAAAGAGAAACATGACCGTTTTTTAGATACGAGCGCGTCGGGCGACCTTGCGCACCACTTTGCGAGCCTTGTGACGGAACACCTTCTTGGCCACCTTTCTGTGCTTGTGACGGAAGACTTTGCGATGTTTGTGACGGTATCCACCGGATGTGGATTGTGGAGCAACGGGCTCATCTCCATAAGAGTTCTGGGCAGGGGCTGGAGCGGGCGCTGCTGGTGGTGGTGGTGGGGGGTGGAGGAGGAGCCTGAGGAGCAGGTGGAGAGTAGGCTGGTGGAGGTGGTGGAGGAGGTGGTGGAGGTGGAGGAGGCGCCTGGGGAGCTGGTGGAGCGTAGCTTGGAGGAGGAGCCTGTGGTGGTGGTGGTGGTGGTGGAGGAGGAGGAGGTGGTGGAGGTGGAGGAGGTGGTGGAGGGGCTTGAGGAGCTGGTGGAGCGTAGCTAGGAGGAGGTGGGGCCTGAGGGGCCGAGTATTCTTGAGGAGCCATTGGTGGTGGAGGAGGTGGAGGTGGTGGAGGTGGTGGAGGCGCCTGAGGAGCTGGTGGAGCGTAACTAGGAGGAGGGGCCATTGGTGGTGGCGGTGGTGGTGGAGGCGGTGGAGGCGCCTGAGGAGCTGGTGGAGCGTAGCTTGGTGGAGGTGGGGCCTGAGGGGCCGAGTATCCTTGAGGAGCCATTGGCATTGGTGGAGGAGGTGGTGGAGGTGGTGGAGGAGGTGGAGGTGCTTGAGGGGCAGTCGCATAGCCACCGCCGCCGCCGCCGCCGCCTAAAGATTTTGTTTAAGGTTTTTAAACGTATTACATTTTATTACAGTATGAGTCTTGAGTCTTACCGTATGATTGAGGTGCTACTTGGGGTGCTCCGCCATATTGAGGCGCTCCGCCAAATCCACCGGACTGCGCATATTGGCTGAAATTGTAGATAAAGATGTATTTCTAGATCACTTAAAGGAGATACTTTCAAGTTCTACACTACAGTAAGCTAGCTTAGTCAGGCTGGATACTAAAAGCTTATCGTACAAGAAAGTATTAGTTACAAGCTTTGAAAAGACCGACCAGTTGGCGCTCAAAAGCAATGCAGCTAGAAGCCCGACTCGGTACATGTCGAGATGCTCGAGTGATTTCTCCACCAACCACGAACCCTTTTATACTCAAACAAGACCCAGCAAATTACATGTTTTCTTAAAAAAACACTCAATTCTCTCTCACTAAGTCAGTCGGTCAAGAAAGGGAAATGTTTTTGACCAAAAGAGTTTTCCCTTGCTCTTCTCTTTCAAGGACACCTTTTTCTCTAGGTTTTCTCTCAATTTTTGAATTTCTCAGCAATATTTGCTTGATCCGAGATCCAGAAATTTCGTGGACATGATTTTGCATGAGATTTTCGGATGGGATAAGCTTTCATCCCATTTCTCAAGATTTTCTCTACAAACTTGAGAATTGAAAACTTGGAACCAGAGCTTAATTACACTCGATTTTTGAGTTTTACGATTTTAGTTTGAGATTTGAGTATTGCTAGGTAAAGTAGAGTGTTTTTTGAGTAGAATTTGGGGTTTTCATGAAGCTTAGTTTTTGCAAGTTTCCAATCATTCTTTGGTAAGCCAATGCAAGATTGAGAGGTCCAGGCTTTAACCTCTAAAACTTGTATCCTGTAAACGCTAACCTGTAACTTGCTTTAACGCTTTAATCTTTAATTAAAGCTGTAAGACTTAGCTTTAATCTGTAAGCTTAGTTTTTGAAGGGTGTTGACTCAAAATGCCCTTTCGGGACAAAGGACGAAAGATTGTTTTTGCAAATTTTGAACAAGAATTTGCTTTCAAGAACAAGAATTTGCTGATAGATGCGAGAAAAAGCAGAAAGATTGGTGTCTGTTGGCTGTGTCGTCTATTCAGGCTGTGTTTAGACGATAGCCAGTATCGTAACACGTAACACGATAGCCAGTATCGTATATTGCAACATTCTGGAGAGTTTAGGAGTCTGGATAATGCGGTAAACTTGAGAAATGACTTGGGATTGTGTTGTTTATGAGGAGGAAAATCGATATCTTCTAGTAAAACATGTTCATTCACTCTTTTCACAATAAAAAGACCGACAAAATAGCAGTCTAATGGCTGGATTTTCCCCTGTGATTCCCGTTGGAACGTTTGCTATTTTCAGACTTCAGCTGGTACTGTACCTGGTTTAGATTTGATTTATTAGATTATAATCTAGCTATTTCTAAGTTCAGCAATAAAAAGATCGACAAAATAGCAGTCTAATGGCTGGATTTTCCTTTCCAACAAAACCCTTAATCAAATTTCTGCAAGACTACCCCACTAGCTCACTCTAATATCAGAAATTTGACTCTAGCTCTTTCTCTTATAAGCCCTGCTGCTCATTTGCTACTGTAGGTCTAAAGTTTTGTGATCAAAAGCTAGATTCTAGATTTAGACGGACTTTGAGACTTGTGCAAGATATTACCAGCAGCTAGTACACTTCTCCACATCATTATACTCTCATTTTATTCCATTTGTTATCATCTTCTTTCTTTCTGTTTGCATTTTCTATAAAGTTATGATTTATTTTTTATTTTTCCAGGAAATGCTACGAGGAAAACTGTTCTTCGATTTCGAGAAGGGGCAAATTGTGACAAAGAAGGCTCAAGACTTGACCTGAAGCTGAAGACTTCAAGACTTGACCAAATTGTGAAAAAGAAGGCTCAAGACTTCAAATTGTGACAAAGAAGGCTCAAGACTTGACCAAATTGTGACAAAGAAGGCTCAAGACTTGACCAAATTGTGACAAAGAAGGCTCAAGACTTCACCAAATTGCTCGAGATTTTGGTCGTGATCGGTCGGTCGAGAATTCTTTTGTCTAATGTCAATTCAGTCAATTCCCTTATCAATTCTTTTGTCTAATTATGGTATAATTATATGGAGCAATGTATTATATTAAAGTTCTTAAGTCTTATTTCCGAAATTCAAACACTAACAACTCTTGTTTACTTACTAGACTGTTTACTTACAAACTTTGAAATGAAATGTTTTGAAAGCTTTTCGCATTGAGAGAAAAACGTTGAAGATCTCTCATTGTAGACTAATTAAATGTTCAATTGAAAAACACAAACAGAGTGAAAGGGGGAAAAATTGGAAAAAAAATCGAGAAAATTGCTTTGTCTTTGAAAGGAACGCTTGTATCTCTTCATTATTACATTTAATGAAAAACGAATTGGTGTGAATGGTAAGATTTAGAGATAGTATTAGTATTGGTATTGGTTTGTCAATGTTTTTTGACTTTTGTGAGCGATCACCTTGCTTAGAGAGGATGGGAAGTGCTTAGAGAGAGGATGGGAAGTGCTTAGAGAGAGAGGATGGGAAGTGCTTAGAGAGAGGATGGGAAGTGCTTAGAGAGAGAGGATGGGAAGTGCTTAGAGAGAGGATGGGAAGTGCTTAGAGAGAGGATGGGAAGTGCTTAGAGAGAGGATGGGAAGTGCTTAGAGAGAGGATGGGAAGTGCTTAGAGAGAGGATGGGAAGTGCTTAGAGAGAGGATGGGAAGTGCTTAAGAGAGAGGGATGGGAAGTGCTTAGAGAGAGGATGGGAAGTGCTTAGAGAGAGGGTGGGAAGTGCTTAGAGAGAGAGGATGGGAAGTGCTTAGAGAGAGGATGGGAAGTGCTTAGAGAGAGGATGGGAAGTGCTTAGAGAGAGGATGGGAAGTGCTTAGAGAGAGAGGATGGGAAGTGCTTAGAGAGAGGATGGGAAGTGCTTAGAGAGAGGGATGGGAAGTGCTTAGAGAGAGGATGGGAAGTGCTTAGAGAGAGAGGATGGGAAGTGCTTAGAGAGAGGATGGGAAGTGCTTAGAGAGAGAGGATGGGAAGTGCTTAGAGAGAGGATGGGAAGTGCTTAGAGAGAGGATGGGAAGTGCTTAGAGAGAGGATGGGAAGTGCTTAGAGAGAGGATGGGAAGTGCTTAGAGAGAGAGGATGGGAAGTGCTTAGAGAGAGAGAGAGGATGGGAAGTGGATTGCTTAGAGAGGATAGGAATTGTGGAGAACTGAAGAGGGAATGTTCTTTTTGTTTTGATTTCTTTTAGATTTCAAATGGAAACAGTTGAATTGGTTATAAATATGCAAATTGAACTTAAAGGCTAGTTAAAGATTGAAGCTTTAAACTTAAAGCTTCAACTAAAGCTTCAACTAATGCTTCAACTAAAGCTTCAACTAAAGCTTTAACTTAGAGCTTCAACTAATGCTTCAACTAAAGCTTTAACTTAGAGCTTCAACTAATGCTTCAACTTAGAGCTTCAACTAAAGCTTTAACTTAGATTATTCCTCTTCAATGAATTATTCCTCTTTTTGTTTAAGAAGACAACAATCCAAAGTTTTCTCATCCGAATCAATAAACGAATTAATTCACGAAAAAATATCACTAGAATATAATTCTTTTCAAAATCTACAAAGAAATCACAAAGTTTTCTTATAACTTTTTGATAATGAACGAATTTTTGGTGTTTTGTTGTGTTACCATGTTAGTGCTTGGCGAGGCTAAGGCCATACGAACAATGGTAAAACTTGGAAGGCTTAGGAATCAAATTTAATAGAATAAAATTGAAATTAGAACAAAATTTTAGATTAAAAGCATTTTCTATTGAACAATTTAGCCCCTTTGCAAAGAAATAACGGAGAAATGTGTGTCTCCAATGCATTGTGCTCCTGCTTGGCCAGATGCTGAGACTGATACCGGGTGCTTTATCGTAAGTAGTTTTATTTGAATCTTATAATAATTGATGAATTCTTTAATCACCCTTACGATTCTTAATTGAACTATATTGTGCAAAATAAGTAGTCGACAAGCTTTTGTTTTCCAAGCTTTTGTTTTCCAAGCTTCTGTTTTCAAAGCTTCTGTTTTAAAAGCTTCTCTTTTCCAAGCTTCTCTTTTCCAAGCTTCTGTTTTCCAAGCTTCTGTTTAAGTTCTAAAGCTTTAGTTCATTTCAGTACTAGAGTTATCTCAGTTTTCTTTTAAGCTAACATTTTCTAGCAAAAATGTGGCGGTGAGATGGGATTTGGGCCGATTTATGGATGGTGTGAGAAAGCGGATGAGGAGTGTAAAGCTTGGTTTAAAGATGATAAGCAATCAAGCTATGAGTGTGCTAGAGTTGCACCTTCAAAGACTACCACAACTACCACAACTACAACTACAACAACAACTACAACAACTACAACTACAACTACAACAATCACTAGATCAATCACTCTTACAACTAGTTGAGAAAGATTACAAAATAAATATCTTGATCATAGGCTTATTGTAAGATGCAAAGCGATTAATTTTTTTACTTTTCAAATTTGCCATGTTTTTTCAACGAATACAAGCAATCTTTTAGTCTTTTTGTGTTGCTTTCCAAATCGATTCCCCTCTTTTCTTTGACTTTCCTCACCTCTTATCAATTCTGCATCCTGAATCTGAAATCTTCGATTATTCGTTTTTCTCTCAACAAAACCCTATGAACTTATCGTCAAATGCCCAAATACACACTATTGCTCAATACAAAACTTTTCCCCAGAAGAAAATGGCTATATTTACCCCAAATTGGCCTGTTTCTATCACTGATCTTTATCATAGCAATGACTTTACCCAATCTCTTCCAACAGCAAATCGAACAAAGGAAATTGCCTAGAAAGCTGCCGGATTTCACTGGAAATCCGCCGATTTTGATAGGTAAATCAATAGCTTTGGTAGGTAGGCGCACCTTGTTTTGCGTACTTTGTATGTTTTGTTTTGTATACGCCAAGTGGGACTTCGATCCAATTTAATCTAATCCAATCGAATCCGATCCAATCTACTCCATCGGACATGATCCAATCCGATCCGATCCCCCAATCCAATCCAATCCGATCCAGAGAATCCGGGGTTGAACCCAGATCCAGATCCAATTCCAAAACGGAATGGAAAGTTTGGATCTAAGGGATCACCTATCTATCGGCGACTTGTGCCAGATGGCGCGCGATTACACGGTCGCACAAAAAACACCTAGCCCATTCACATTTAAGATAATTCTTCATTGAACTATATTGTGCAAAATCTTTCCCTTTTGCTTTGTAAAAGAAGATATTCAGCTAAAAACTTGTATCCGGGGCTTTTCTGAGTCTTTTTTCCCCAATCGATTGGAGCTATTTATTTTATTGAGTCTACCAATTGAAACTCGGGTTTTAAGGAAGCTAGTGAGTATCTTTAGATTTGGATTAGAATTTAGAATTTAAATAGATTAGAGTTTAAATAGATTAGAGTTTAAATAGATTAGAATTTAAGGAAGTGAGTATCTTTAGATTTGGAAGTTCTCCAAAATTACGAGTATTTCAAAGAGAAAAACTTTCAACACAACCGCCCAATACGGCTTGCTTTTGATGAGGCGAAGAAATTGAGAGTGAAACGTGAGTGAACAACTTTTACTACTTACTTACTTTAGACTATCAAAGCACTCTTTCTGGCGCACTTAATTCTTTTTTCCCGCTTTTTACGAACTCGTTTAGGTGCCATTGAAATGAGCTTCAATCTAGATTTTTATACAAATTTGAGCAATGTTGACTTTTTCGAGTTTTCAATGGGTGAAAGATTGATATCAAAGTGAGTGATGTAATGTACTTTGATGTAATGTACTTTGATGTAATGTACTTTGATGTAATGTACTTTGATGTAATGTACTTTGATGTAATGTACTTATTGTAATGTACTTATTGTAATGTACTTATTGTAATGTACTTATTGTAATGTACTTATTGTAATGTACTTATTGTAATGTACTTATTGTAATGTACTTATTGTAATGTACTTATTGTAATGTACTTATTGTACTGTACTTATTGTAATGTACTGATGTTGTACTTTGTGTATGTACTTATTGTAATGTACTTTGATGTAATGTACTTATTGTAATGTACTTTGGTAAGTACTTATTGAATGTACTTTGGAATGTACATTGTAATGTACTTTGTGTATGTACTTATTGTTGTATTTGTGTATGACTTTGATGTAATGTACTTATTGTAATGTACTTATTGTAATGTACTTATTGTAATGTACTTTGATGTAATGTACTTTGATGTAATGTACTTATTGTAATGTACTTATTGTAATGTACTTATTGTAATGTACTTTGATGTAATGTACTTTGATGTAATGTACTTATTGTAATGTACTTTGAAAAAAAACTGAAGCACTATGGCTTTTGAAAACGATTTAATGCCCTGAATTCTCATTTTCTAGAGCTTTACGTTTAAAATTCGACAAAAAAACCCAAATCTATTTGCCGGAAAGTCTCAACGAATTCGCGACGTTTTGGAGGAATTCTAGGTTCATCAAATGCAAGAATATGGGTTCGTTTAACAAAAGAAAAAGACAAAATTGAAATCGCTTATTTGATTTTGTTTAAATGTAGTCTAGATCTGAACCGAATGGGAAATCGAGAATGGGAAAAGGAAAACTTCTTGCCAATAAACAAGAAGACCAAGTATACAATGGAAATCGTGAACAAGAGTGAGTGAGACTGAAGCACTGTGGCTTTTGAAAACGATTTAATCGAAACTATATTGATTTCTATGTTCTCATAGACGAATACAACTGTTTTTTGATTTCAAAATGAACGATCTCTTTTAGATTTTTAGATCTTTAGATCTATAGATTTTTAGATCTATAGATCTTTAGCTCTTTAGATCTTTAGATTTTTAGATCTTTAGACGTGGCTTTAGATCCTTCTGATCTTCTGTCCCTTCTGATCTCCTGTCCCTTCTGATCTTCTGTCCCTTCTGATCTTCTGTCCCTTCTGATCTTCTGTCCCTTCTGATCTTCTGTCCCCTGATCTCTGCCCTTCTGACCCCCTTCTGATCTTCTGTCCCTTCTGAACTTCTGTCCCTTCTGATCTCCTGTCCCTTCTGATCTTCTGTCCCTTCTGATCCTGTCCCTTCTGATCTTCTATCCCTTCTGATCTTTTCAAAGCATAGCTAAGACTCAAAAATGTCATAATATCATTTAAAGAATCAATATGCTTATCACAGGATTTGATTTGAAACTTTAGGAATCAGCTTTTCATTAGAAAATCCAATTCCTTTATAGGAGATGAAATCCCCCTAATCGCTCTGAAAGATGTGGGAGAGTTGCGTGATCGAATCCTGGGCTTAGGGGGCTACTCCACTACTATTTTTTGAGTCACTACTAGGTATTACTGCTAATTTTTCTAATCTTAACTTTTTTCATAACAATTTCACTTTCATTTCATTTCATTAGCATTTCATTTGAACATTAGTCATCTAGATTTCATCTTCATTTAAAGACTTTTTCAGGCTGGTATCGCGAGTGCACAATAATACAAACAAATGATCTCGATTTTGCTATTTTGTAATAGCAAAAGACTTATGGCTTATGTGGCTTATGTTTTTAAATTTTCAGAGCAAATGAAATAAATGATAAGTTATTGAACTTTTTTGATGAGTTAAATGGAAAATTCAGGGTTCAGAGAAGGCTTGGAAGGGTTAGTTTTTGAAATCATTCTTTTAACAAAAAATTAATTCCAGAGAAGAGACAGTCTTCAGTTCACTCTTGAGCACAGTAGAGATAGATTCACGATTGATATCTTCTTTTTGTATGTGAATGGAACGAGTCACTATATTTCTTCACAGGGTGCTGACTTGGAAAGATATCGATTCGATTATCCGAGGTGAGCTTTCGAGGAAACTTTTTGAATACACTGATTCACTGATTTGATTCACTAAAACGTATCACTAAAAGGTAAAAGATTTGAAACAATCTATGAAATGAATCTTTGCCTAGAAATACAGTGCTTTAGCTTTATACGAATCAATTACTCACGCATTTTCAGCAAGCTTTTTGAAGAGATTTGCACGGCTAATCTTCACGGTCATCTATTCCATGTACCTTGCCGATCTCAAGAAGTCATTGAGGTAGATTGATTGAAAAAGTCTTTGAGAAATCGAATCTAGCTTGAGTTAGCCATTGAACTGTTTGCTTTGTTGTCTTGTGCTTTATTTCAGCGGTGACGAGCTTACGAAGCTTACGACACCTACCAGAGAACCCAGTTCAATGAAATGTTCTCGGAAATTCGAGTGTTTCAGGAAAAAATACGAATCTTTTCATTGTGACCAAGATTTCCAAGAAGAAACGATCCTTTATCGTTTAGATGTTTAAATCCTTCTTCTAAATCGAATCCGAAAATCTGTAGAATCTGTTTCAGCAAACGGAGAAAGTTCAAAACGATTTGAAATGGAAGAATGTCCTCAACGTGCATTAGAATGGGAATTAGACAGAAGCAAAAAGAAAAGAAGTAGAACATTTCTATTTCAATCCATCACTTGGCTAATTTTTTTCAAATTTTGTTTACTCGAAATGTTACGGGTATAAAATGTTTCTAAAGCAGCGATTTTATAAAGTTGAATGCATTAGAAAAGTATTTTTTTTGAAGTTATCAACAAAACGGCATGGTTTTATAAGCTAAAAAGCTTTTATAAGCTTCAGCACCAGGAGGTAATTCGAAAAACCTTTCACCTCTGTGTTAACACACCGCTTCTAATGCACCAAATTTCACAAAAATGCAGAATTGGCTGTACCAGAAAAGGCTTGTTTGCACGCACCACAAATTAAAGATCAAAAAAGTGTGGAAACAAATTGTTCAACTATACTCACTTATGCATAAAAGCTCAAAAATAATCCGAGAAATAGAATAGCTGCCATGAATTACAATTGTTAATATCTCTTCTCGTACAAACCGTACAAACCGCCACAATTCGTTCAATAAGCAATAAACCAAAAAGATTTGAATGTAGTTAATTTGATTTGTAGTTAAAAGCTATCTACAGCTCATTGGCAAAAACCCAGGAAAACTTACGAAGAGCTAAATTAGAATAAACCAAATCTAAATCTAAGTTTCTTTAGATTCAATGATATTTATTGAGTTTTACAGTCTAAAGCGTTAAAGCAAGTTACAGGTTACAAGATTTACAGGTTAAAGCCTGGACCTCTCAATCTTGCATTGGCTTACCAAAGAATGATTAGAAACTTCCAAAAACTGAGCTCCATGAAAACCCCAAATCCTACTCAAAAAAGACTCTACTTTACCTAGCAATACTCAAATCTCAAACTAAAATCGTAAAACTCAAAAATCGAGTGTAATTAAGCTCTGGTTCCAAGTTTTCAATTCTCAAGTTTGTAGAGAAAATCTTGAGAAATGGGATGAAAGCTTATCCCATCCGAAAATCTCATGCAAAATCATGTCCACGAAATTTCTGGATCTCGGATCAAGCAAATCGCTGAGAAATTCAAAAATTGAGAGAAAATCTAGAGAAAAACGTGTCCTTGAAAGAGAAGAGAAACGGAAAACTCTGTTGGTCAAAAACATTTCCCTTTCTTGACCGACTGACTTACTGAGAGAGAGTTGAGTGTTTTTTTTGAGAAAACATGTAATTTGCTGGACCTTGTTTGAGTATAAAAGGGTTGGTGGTGGGTGGAGAAATCACTCGAGCATCTCGACATGTACCGAGTCGGGCTTCTAGCTGCATTGCTTTTGAGCGCCAACTGGTCGGTCTTTTCAAAGCTTGTAACTAATACTTTCTTGTACGATAAGCTTTTAGTATCCAGCCTGACTAAGCTAGCTTACTGTAGCTTCAGTTTACTGTAGTGTAGAACTTGAAAGTATCTCCTTTAAGTGATCTAGAAACACATCTTTATCTCCAACTTTCAGCCAATATGCGCAGTCCGGTGGATTTGGCGGAGCGCCTCAATATGGGGGAGGGCCTCAATATGGCGGAGCACCCCAAGTAGCACCTCAATCATACGGTAAGACTCAAGACTCATACTGTAATAAAATGTAATACGTTTAAAAACCTTAAACAAAATCTTTAGGCGGCGGCGGCGGCGGTGGCTATGCGACTGCCCCTCAAGCACCTCCACCTCCTCCACCACCTCCACCACCTCCTCCACCAATGCCAATGGCTCCTCAAGGATACTCGGCCCCTCAGGCCCCACCTCCACCAAGCTACGCTCCACCAGCTCCTCAGGCGCCTCCACCGCCTCCACCACCACCGCCACCACCAATGGCCCCTCCTCCTAGTTACGCTCCACCAGCTCCTCAGGCGCCTCCACCACCTCCACCACCTCCACCACCTCCACCTCCTCCACCACCAATGGCTCCTCAAGAATACTCGGCCCCTCAGGCCCCACCTCCTCCTAGCTACGCTCCACCAGCTCCTCAAGCCCCTCCACCACCTCCTCCACCTCCACCACCTCCTCCTCCTCCACCACCACCACCACCACCACAGGCTCCTCCTCCAAGCTACGCTCCACCAGCTCCCCAGGCGCCTCCTCCACCTCCACCTCCACCTCCACCACCTCCACCGGCCTACTCTCCACCTGCTCCTCAGGCTCCTCCTCCACCCCCACCACCGCCTCCTCCTCCACCACCAGCAGCGCCCGCTCCAGCCCCTGCCCAGAACTCCTATGGAGATGAGCCCGTTGCTCCACAATCCACATCCGGTGGATACCGTCACAAACATCGCAAAGTCTTCCGTCACAAGCACAGAAAGGTGGCCAAGAAGGTGTTCCGTCACAAGGCTCGCAAAGTGGTGCGCAAGGTCGCCCGACGCGCTCGTATCTAAAAAACGGTCATGTTTCTCTTTCGGCTTACAAATCTCTTCTCCGGGTACTTGTACATTGCCGTCTAAAGATGCTCAAATGTTCTTTCACTTTGATTCTCTTGTCTCATTTCTTGATGCAAATAAAGTGTTTTTCCGTAGTCTTGAGTGGATTGGACAGAAATGAAAAGTGGACCGCTACAAAGGATGGAAAGTTACACAAACTGAAATGAAAATTCAGGAAAGCGGTATCAATAAAATCTTTCCTGATAAGCCTCCGAAAAAGCTACTTTTGTCAGTTGTACTGTCCAGCTAACAAGTCCCAAGGTTAACTGAAGAGAACTTGCCTATTCTACAATTATTCTAGAAGTTTGTTTTATAAAAATACTCACTAAATTGTACTAAATTGTACTCTTAGTTTTAGCTTAATTTTCATTTTCCGCTCAAAATCCGTGCCAACGTCCCCCGCTCATCACGCTTGATTCTCGTTTCCATAACAGCGCTTCGGTGGATTATCAAGGATTTCCGCTTCCCTCTTTACAAACATGGTTTTAGATTCATTTTAGTCTTTAAAAACAAGATTTGGCTAAACACTTCAACCCTAAGCACTAAACTTTCGATTTCTAATGGATTTTGAATGTTTTAAGTGTATAGAGATCGATATCTGATTGTTTGAGCGCTTAAAAAGTTATCCAATAATTTTGAAATTTGCAAATTCTCGATGTTCAATCGATTTTCGATAACCTTTCCAATAAATGTTGAGATTTTGGGAAAAAGTTCCCTCCAAAACATTCCACCAATCTTTAGCCTCAATAGCTTTTTTTTTGCGAAAAGACGCGTTTATCGCTTCACTTTTTAAACTTTTCCAGAGTTTTTGGGGGGTTAAAATTGTCAAATTTTACCGTCAAAACCAAGGAAATCTATTGAAAAGATTAAAAAATCGTTTAAAAAGTTAAATTTTAGATATTTCCAAGAGAAAAAGTCGATAAAATAATGAAAAAGTTCAGAAAATTCTCCGATCTCCCATTTGCGACTCAATTTTTGATCGATTTAAAGAAAAATTGGCAATAAAATCGTGATAGCTTGATAAATTGAACATTTTTCTAACATATCTGAAAAATTCTTGCTTTAAATCCTTGAAATCGTTTAGATATTCAGCTGGAAAGCTGAGGTATTTACAGGTTTTTTGGGGAAAACTGCTTTGCAAAGGGATACTCAGGCAGGCATCCTGACCGGGCTCGGCACGCCCCTTTATAAAAGAAAGCGGCGCGAAAACAACCAAGCCATTCGGGCAAACACATTTTTTGGCAGTGAAAGGTTCTTGGTAGTTTTTGGCTGTGTTATCCGACTTTTCTTGACTAGCTTAGAAATTAGCTTTAGAATTAGCTGCTATGGTTCAATTTGTTTTGCCAATTAGATCAGTGCTATCGTTTATCCCCAATTCCTAGAAGTTTTTAACTTTTTTATCCATATAGCCTGACGTTTTTGATCTTAGATTATTGAGTTTAGGTTTTGTTTTTTCTTTTGACCAGTTTATTGCTCTACTTGAAGCCAATCTTTTTCATTTAGCACTCTTTGCAAGCAAGATGTCAGTTGTTGCCGTTCAACCCGCTGCCGCGCCAGCTCCAGCCAAAGCCAAGGCACCAGCCAAGCCCAAGAAGACTAAAGTCGCTGCCGCTAAGGGAGAGAAGGTAATGGCTTTGGAATTTGTAAGCACTTAAAATAGTGATTGATTTGGATACTTTGAGACATTGGGTTTTAGCTATTTGTTGCCAAGGTTCAATGAAATTGACTAGTATTCTTAGTCAAGGGAGGAATCAATTGTTGTCGTTTAGCTACAGATTAGAATTGAAGCGATTTAATAAACCTCACTAATCTTTTACTTTAGAAAGTCGCTGAGCATCCACCTTACTCTACGATGATCCAGGCGTCGATCAAAGCCATGGCTGATCGTAAGGGATCTTCCAAGGCCGCAATCCTTAAGCACGTCCTTCAAAACTACAGGGTTGGAGGAGACATCAAGAAGGTTGGCATTTGATTTTAAAGATTAAATGTGATTAGTTGCTTTGTAAAGTGTTACAATGTGAAATTTCTAAAAGAAGGCTTTTCAAATACAAGTTCTGACTTTAGGTGAACGCTCGTTTGTGCATCAGCCTGAAGAAAGGAGCCGATTCGGGTCTCTTCAAGCGCATGAACGGTGCTGGTGCTTCGGGAAGCTTCCGTCTTGGAGAGAAGGCTGTCAAGAAAGTGGCCAAGAAGACACTAAAGAAGCCTGTCGCCAAGAAGATCTCGACTGGATCTCCAAAGAAGGCTGTTGTCAAGAAGACTACAAAGGCCAAGGTTGGTAGCCTTTTAGAGTCTTTAGGTGGAGTGAATACCTAATAAGATATAAAAGTGTTGGGTTTTAGAGTAAAGCTGGGTTAGAGTAGTTGAAGTATGAATGCTTAGAGCTAATTACAAATAAGAATACATTGAAATTTTAACCTAACTTTTGGTCATAGCACGTTTACTAATGCAAAATGGTGCTCTATGTTAAGCTAGTGGTGCATGACATGAATCTCATCTCAAAGCCCCTCTTCAAACTTTTTATCATTTTCGCATTTTCAGAAGCCAGCCGCTGAAAAGAAGGCCAAGACCGCCGCTTCACCCAAGAAGGCTAAGACAACCAAGCCAAAGTCTCCAAAGAAGGTCAAGGCAACCAAGCCAAAGTCGCCAAAGAAGGTCAAGACAGCTAAGCCCAAGAAGGCCACCACAAAGAAGGTCGCTCCTCCAGCCACCACAGCCTAAGCGCTTGTCTTCTCTTTTCCTTTCTTTGTATTGGTTCATTTTGTTCGAAATTTCTCCCCTTGGAGCTGGCCTCATTATCTTCAATATTTTCTAAATTTTGATCTCACCCCAGTATTATACATATTCCCCCGGTTCCCTTGTTACAAATTTTTGGGCTTCACACAATTTTTCAAATGTCTTGAAATAAAAAAATTTTAACTACTGCTTATACAATACAATCGATCGACAATGAATACTGCCTTGTTGAGTTCAAAAAATGAGCGTTAACAACATCCTTGGATCTTTGGTATGCCAAGTTTTTTGACGGCTACTTGGTTTTAGTTTCAGACGTTTCAAGAAACACTTCATTCATTAAACTGTACACAGCATGGTCCTCGTTCCTGGTTCTGTGTTGACCCCAGGGCCGGTCTCTATTTTTTCACCTGTTCCTTTTCCTCGTTCAATCATTGTCCCCGGGGTCCTTCTAGCGACAATAATCCCGTGTTGTTTGCGCACGGCTTTTTAGGCTAATGGTGGAGGGGTTTTTTTCTGGGAAATCTACAATTCGTAGCCTCCAGTCCGACAGTTTTTCATGTTGCGAACAATTGTGTCCTTGACTTTACCAATTCTATCGTTTGCTCAAATCTTCTATAGACCTACGTACGTCTATTCAAGGGGTTTATCGTATTCATCACAGCCATGGTCACACCCGCGACTCCATTACAGTCCGAGGGGACATCAGGTGCAAGGATATCAACAAGTTGTGCGTTTAAAAAGCTTTCTGAAGAAATGAAATTGTGCTGTATCTTATGGTACTGACATTGGAAAGTTAGCTGAGCCAAATAAAGATTTTTGTTTCAAAGGCTTTTAAGCAACTATCTGCCAACTTTTGATCAACTTTTTGAACTCCTTAAGCTTTACTGGTCAACCTCAATTTTAGAATCAATATCAGCAGCCTATAGCTGTCTCTGGGTATCCGGTTTTCCCATGGGGAGTCGGTGGGATCTACGGGAATTCGTATCGACCAAATCCTAGTGTTGTGCAACCGCCGAATAGTGGGGTTCGTTTAGAAATGAATCTACCTCTTTTTTTTTTTCACTCCTAAAATCTAAAATCTATTCTAAACGGTTCTAGCTGAGAATTTCTAGAGTCAAAGCGGTTCCACTTGTCCGAAAGGCCCATATGCGACGTTTTTGAGTCAACAAGAGCAGGTTTGTGAGATTGAAATGAATCAAATGCACAAGATCGATATACGATCGATAATTCAAAGCTGGAAGCCGCCACAACTTTCAGGAAGGACTTCACGAGTTGGTCGTTGAAGCACGAAAATCGGGTGCCTCAGAGGCACAAGTGAAAGAATACATCAATCGCTATATGCAAGTGAGAAAAGGGATTTTCTTTGCCGAGCTCAGAATGATTCAATTACCACAAACAAAGCTAATCAATCAGGGAATCGAGTATCGATCGATTTTCCTCAATTTACCTCCAAAAAAAGGGAATAAGATTATCGATTATCAAAGTTGGTACAACTTTAGAAAGGCTAAGCATTGATACAATTGATACAATTGATACAATGCTTAGCCTTTCTAAAGCGGTTTTTTTATGATCGATTAGTGTTTTTTAAGCATAAAACTCAAATCTCGACAATAAAATTCGTTTTTTAGAGGTGAAAAACAGAAAAGAGATTGAATGATTCGATCAAAACGATTGACTTTGACGATTGACTTTCAGGCGGTGCTTTCAGAAGAGAAATTCGAGAAATTCACCGAGGCGATGAACAATTTCAACGCGGCTCGATCGACCTTTCGAAATTGAGTGAAATGAAAAAGCAAGATCTCGGGAGTGGGACAAATGTGAGCTTTTTTTTGCGCACCCGGACATTTGCGTACCTTTTTTTCCGCACCTTGCCCAATTAGCACACCTTTTTTCGCGTTTTAAAAAAGCTAATATTAACTAAAGCTCTAAAAAGCTAATATTAACCAATTTCTATTCCAAAAGTTGTTTTTCTAGGTAATTTTAGGGCGTAGAATCGAAATTTTGACATATCAGAGCTTGTGGAAGCGAACGGACGGAGTTATACAAAGAGAAAGATCGACAAATTTTATTTTCTGTAATTTGATCTAGCCGTTTTGTCTTTTGTCTTTCAAATTGCTTCCACACGCTCTGTTATGTCAAAATTTCGATTCTACGCCCTAAAATTACCTAGAAAAGCAACTTTTGGAATAGAAATTGGTTAATATTAGCTTTTTAGAGCTTTAGTTAATATTAGCTTTTTTAAAACGCGAACAAAGGTGCGCCAATTGGGCAAGGTGCGGAAAAAAAGGCGCGCAAATGTCCGGGTGCGCAAAAAAAAGCTCACATTTGTCCCACTCCCCAAGATCTCTATCAAATATCTGTCAAATATTTGTCAAATGCCTGTAAAATAACAATAAAATCGAAGCAATAAACGTTTATAAATAAAACAAGTAGCGATTTTCACGTTGAACATCAAAAAGTCTATACGATGTTATGATGATTTTTTGTTATGATGAATTTTCATCAACACAATGTTTTTGATTTCAACAACCGCCCTTTTCTACTGAATTTTGTCCATTTTCTGAGGCTGATCACTGAAATTTTCTCCAAATCTAGACCAGTAGACCAGTTGGCCGACTGGTTAGGAATCTTCTCTCCTAATCGGAAGATCCAGGGTTCGATCCCGCTGGCGAAATCAAGTGTGTGTTCTTTTTCCCATTAAGTTGGGTTTTTTCTTAACTACATTGTAGGGGTAAAATTTGTGTCCTCCGTTGTGTTGTATCCACTTATTCATGTTGAATAAAGTATCTTTTTAAATCTATCACTGTTTTGAAAGTTTTTTTGAAAATTTTATCTTTTTAAAGCTTTATTAGAATATTTAAGTGCTCTGAGAGTGGAAATCGGTGAAATTTCGCTGTAATTTCGCTGAAATTCCACCTAATTTGTTTGAATTGAACGAAATTTCGACTAATTTTTCAGTAAAAACCCTTGTAAATTGAAGAGAAATTAGGAAAATTAGGAAAATTGCATTATCCTCCTCCTCCTCCTTATTAGAGCCCCCCCATCAATACAAAATCAACACAAATGTGCGACCCGATAATGTAGTTTAATGGTGAGAAGCTCTATTGAAATATCCAGACATTGCATTATGGCTCCCCACTTTTGTATTAGTCGGCGATTGCACCTGCCTATGGGTATCGCGCTTTTTTTCGGTTTGTGTTTGGGTTAGGCTCGCGCTTTGCCGGTACGAGTGGGCACTAGTGCTGCTAACTCTTACGGGCGTCGCTTACTGCACCGCTGTATGTGCGAAGGCAAATGCTAGGTAAATAACAGGTTCAGCACAAGGGAAGCCTCGCATGGGTCCACAGGGGAACAGTCTAATTTGCATATGACTGGCTTATTGGCTTATTGGCTCTTTGACATTTTTCGTTCAAAGGCTTGTGGATCGCCCCCTCCGCCCCAGCATTATCGCATGTGGATCGCCCGATGCATTATCGCCCTCCGCCCCAGCAATATCACCCTCTCCGCCCCAGCATTATCGCCCCCACTGCCCCAGCATTATCGCCCACTCTCCTATCCTCCAGTGGCGGGGGCTGTAATGCAATGTTCGGTGGGGGTTACTAACATAGCCCCCAGAAGGGGCGATAATGCAATGTAAGGGTTGCTATAATGCAATACTCTCCAGAACTTGTTAAATGTTAGCTTTTTTCGCTTTTTGCATGCTTTACTAACGAAATTTCCTCAAAAGCCCTAGTAGAAGCCAAATTTTTAGATAAAAACTCGGCTTTGTAGTCATTAAATCATCAAAATATTCTTAAAATTTCAACTTTTTTCAAATTTTCAAGTTTTTTGATCTCAAGAGAATGGAAATTGGAGGCAAAATCCAGAAATTTGCAAATCATTGAAGCTTATCGCCGATTCGGATCGCGCGAGCGTTAAGGCGAAGAAAAAAGAAACGAAATTTTCAAGAATTTCAAGAAAATCATTTCAATATATGCATAAAATTCTTTATTTTTATAGTTTTTTTAAAATAATTCATTTAGATGGCGAACAAATTAGGGGAAATCCAGGCGTTGCGAGCTTTAGCGATTTTCTATGTCTTCTTGTATCACTTGAACGAGAAATGGGTGCCGTTTGGGTTCTTGGGAGTCGATATGTGAGTAGTTTTTGATTTTGATTGAAATACTCATTTTGAATTCATTTTGAATTCATTTTGAATTGATTTCTCAATGAAATCTATTTTAAAATAGATCTAATTCGAGTTCTATGATGATTTTGATTCAAAAAAGTCGTCAAATTCGTCAAAATTCGAGGTTCTTTGGGTTTAAGTTATCAAAATTCGAAGTTCTTTGAGTTTAAGTCATCAAAATTCAAGGTTCCTTGTGTTTAAGTCATCAAAATTCAAGGTTCCTTGTGTTTAAGTCATCAAAATTCAAGGTTTCTTGGGTTTAAGTCATCAAAATTCGAAGTTCTTTGGGTTTAAAGTCGTCAAAATTCAAAAAATTCGAAAAATTCGAAAATTTCTTTGGATTTTGGGCTGAATTTATCGAATTCTTGTTTAAGAAATAGTAAAATAGCAAATTTGTTAAGCGATTTATATCAATTTTTAGGTTTTTTGTTATTTCTGGTTATTTAATGGCAAAAATTTTCTATGAAAAGCGAACAACATGCAAAAATTCGATCACTTTTTTTGAGAGGCGATTCAAAAGAATTATGCCTTGTTATGGGTGAGTTTTTGAAGGATTTATGAATAAGTTTAGATCCAAATTATTCTTTTTATCTTTTATTTCATCATATTAGTTGCCGTAGTGCTACAGTAATGGACAATGAACATGGACAATGAAATATGATATTTGAAAAACGATCGTCACTTTCGCGCGTCTGTAACTCCCGTGTCTTTACCGTATTTCTAAATATTAATATTACCATTGTGTAGCGCTTGAAAAGAGCTTTCAGAAAATGTATAACACTAATAGTTTAAACTCAAAGACATGGGAGTTATAGACGCGCCAAAGTGACGACGCGCCAAAGTGACGACGCGCCAAAGCCTCGCAGCCAATGGAGCTTGATCAGGAATCAGTCGGGGTTTTAAGCCCTAGAAATTCGTCTATTATATAGTAGAAGAACAATTATTGTTTTATAATTGATTAATAAGGGCATTTACATGCATTAATCCGTCTTGGACAATCTAGACTGAATACATTAATTTAGACTGAATACCTTATCTTAGACTGGATACCGTAATCCAGATAATCCAGACTGAATCCCTTAATCTAGACTGAATGCCTTATCTCAGACTGGATACCGTGATCCAGATAATCTAGACTGAATACCCTAATCTAAACTGAATACCGTAATCCGTAATTCGGCTAAAACTTTGTCACGGTTGTTTCAACGATTTAAACTGCAGACAGAACGTGAATTTGCTTTCATTTCTTTTCAATTATTAAATATTAAGTAGCTACAGTACTGAACAATGAAATATGATATTTGAAAAACGATCGTCACTTTCGCGCGTCTGTAACTCCCTTGTCTTTCCCGTATTTCTAAATATTAATATTACCATTGTGTACCATTCAGTCTAGATTGTCCAAGACGGATTAATGCATGTAAATGCCCTTATTAATCAATTATAAAACAATAATTGTTCTTCTACTATATAATAGACGAATTTCTAGGGCTTAAAACTCCGACTGATTCCTGATCAAGCTCCATTGGCTGCGAGGCTTAGGCGCGTCGTCACTTTGGCGCGTCGTCACTTTCGTCTTTCGTCCTTTGTCTTTGAGTTTAAACTATTAGTGTTATACATTTTCTGAAAGCTCTTTTCAAGGGCTACACAATGGTAAAATTAATATTTAGAAATACGGTAAAGACAAGGGAGTTACAGGCGCGCGAAAGTCACGATCTTATGATATGAGATTTCATTGTCCAGTAGTGCTATAGCTACCAATGAATTACTGGTAACCTCCAGTAACTCATCGGGTTTTGCCAGTAACCTGGCACTGGTAACCTCCAGTAACTCATCGGGTTTTACCAGTAACCTGGCACTGGTAACCTCCAGTAACTCATCGGGTTTTGCCAGTAACCTGGCACTGGTAACCTCCAGTAACTCATCGGGTTTTACCAGTAACCTGGTACTGGTTACTGGTAAAAAGCTAATTGTAAGAGGTGAACAAGAACGTTTTTAATAAGTAGAAATCAACAGCTGAAAAAGCTTTGTTCACTTAAATTCGGGAATTTACTGAGCACTGATATTCGGGAATTCATTGACACGTTCACATTATTCACATGACACAATAGCTACGACTATTCTGCCGTATTGCCTCTAATAAAAGCAGAAAAGGTAGTTTAGTGAAGAAAAAAGTGAAGAAAAAGTGATGTGAAAGTGGTGAGTGAAAATCTGCATTTTTCTATAGAAATCAATGATTCTATAGTGCTTGAAAAGATCAATTTTTTTTAAAAAGCCTAAAGAAAGCTTAATTTCTAGATTAATGATCTTGTGCGTGGTGCTGATTGGTCGTTTATGTTTGACAAAGATCGATCGCGAGAATCTCTTTATCGATGCCGTCTATTCTCTATCGATCGTCTCAAATATGCAATCGCTTTTCACAACGGCTGACTATTTTGAATTGGTGAGTAGTGGAGGTATGTAGATGAGGGGTTTTAAAGGTTTAAAACTCTTTAAGGCATCAATTGAAGCAAAACTTTTACCGTAAACAAGTCTGTACAGCTTACCTGATGTACTTTGTGCTCAGGAAATGTAGACACATCCTTTCTGGCACAGCAGAGCTAACAGATCTACGTGTACAGCTTAGTTGATGTACTTTGTGCTCAGGAAATGTAGACACATCCTTCCTGGCACAGCAGAGCTAACAGATCTACAACTTACTTGATGTACTTTGTACTCAGGAAATGTAAACACCCCCTTATTAGCCAATAAACTCGAATTCAGATCTCTGAGTACAAATTCCTGACTCATTCATGGTCTCTCTCAGCCGAGATGCAATTTTATATGTTCGTTCCATTGTTATTCTGGGTTTTGCAATCGATTTCCAATCAAAATAAATGCTTTCTCCTTGGCACAATGGCCGTCGTGTCAGCGCTATCTGAAATGGTGAGTTTATTAAGAAAAATTGTAAAGCTCAACAGCTGATAGATCTCCAGCTGATCGTGACTTGTTTGTAAAAATTTCAAGGCCAAAGCCATGTCAGGGTTGAAGTTGGAGTATGACCCTAGTCTAGTAAAGTTGGTTCTCAAGACAAGTTCTAGTAAAGTTGGTTCTCAAGACAAGGTCTAGTAAAGTTGGTTCTCAAGACAAGTTCTAGTAAAGTTGGTTCTCAAGACAAGTTCTAGTAAAGTTGGTTCTCAAGACAAGGTCTAGTAAAGTTGGCTCTCAAGACAAGGTCTAGTAAAGTTGGTTCTCAAGACAAGTTCTAGTAAAGTTGGTTCTCAAGACAAGGTCTAGTAAAATTGGCTCTCAAGACAAGGTCTAGTAAAATTGGCTCTCAAGACAAGCCAGTCATTCTTATAGTTTAACTTTTTCTTTTGAGTTGAAAGGACAGATTTAAGTCTTCTGATATAAAAGTTTAAAGAATATTCAATGATTTTTGATAAGCATGATAGCTGAAAATCGAATTGAAATCTTTTCCAGGCTCTGCCAACTTCAGTCGGCTTCGGTCTTCTTCTATGTCGTTTTTGGCAGTTTATTTTCGGAATCTCAATTCATATCTTCAATAAATCAGAAAAGTTGAATGGAAAAGAAGTGGAGAATCTAATCGAATCAGATGACTTAAATCGGAAAACAATGAAAGGCGGGTTTTCATTAAAGATTCATTTCATTTCATTTCAAAACAACTTTAGATTTCTATTGCGAAGCTGGAGAAGAGAAATTCGTCTATTTCTTCTTTCTTCTCTGTATAATTATTCCATTTCTTTTCTTTTTAAATGTCGGTATTCTGAGGCTTTTCGCCGTTCTTGCCGCTAGTGGATTGATCTATTTCTCGCAAGGAGGTCGATTGGATTAAAGATTATATAGAGCTTACAGCTAACTAGATTACATTAGTCATTTAATCAAGAAATACTGCCTCTTTAAACCTTCAATTATCGTTATCCTTTTAGAAGTTGTCACCATTTTATCCACTTATCCTCTTCAATACGTTGGCGACATTTCGTACGTCGTTTATCTCGTTCATTGGCCGGTGATCGCTTTCTATCGGAATCTTTGGCTTTTGGAAGAATTTGAGTGGAGTGGTGAGTGGTGGGGATGGAGTGGTGAGAATGGATCTTCTAGGGGTTTTGGACTTGTAAGTCAGGCTATGGCTGTCCAGACAGGATCAGGTCAGATCTAGTTCTTGTTTCAAGGACTTGTTCTGGGCTAGGTTTGCAGTAAAACCAGTCAAAGGCCGGGTAAATCGAGAATCTGGCTTCTGATCTTTCCGGGATCTGGCTCAAAGTCTAGCTCAAGGCCTGGCTTAAAGCCTGGCCCAAAGCCTAGCTCAAAGCCTGGCTCAAAGTCTAGCTCAAAGCCTGGCTCAAAGTCTGGCTCAAAGCCTGGCTCAAAGTCTGGCTCAAAGCCTGACTCAAAGTCTGGCTCAAGACCTGGCTCAAAGCCTAGCTCAAAGCCTGGCTCAAAGTCTGGCTCAAAGCCTGACTCAAAGTCTGGTCCTTGGATCTAGTTCTGGTTGGATCTCAATCAAACAAACCGACTTCGACTTTTAGACTACGCAAAGCTGATCCTTGTCATCTCTTCACTCTCCATTGCCATTCATCATTTCGTCGAGCAATTCTTTCTCACCAGTGACTCGAAAGTGTGTCTCTATTTCACGATACTCTGCTACACTCTTTCATTTCTGTGCATAGCTTTGCCAGTGTCGAACTCATTTGAAATGGACATTGATGGGCAACGGTCAAATGGTATGAGAAATAGATTGATGTTAAAAGACAGAGAAACTTTTCAGACACAATTTGTGCGGCTCTTCGAATCTACCCAAAGCCGGCTTCTTTTGAGCATTATCATCACGATGGGGAATTCAGAGAGTCTTATGGAGAGCTAGTGAGTTTAAGAGCTTTTAAAAGATCTTTTAAAACATTCAACGGTTCAAGAAACAAGAAAGAAAGAAAATCTTTAATCGTTAAGACTAGGAAGAATTTCGATTTGGTCTGTAGTAAGGGAAAATGATGTTTTTTTCATTTTTCACAAGTTAACCATGAAACGTTTTCTTTAAAAATCTTTATTTTAAACTTTAGAAAGGAAACGGTACATTCGATGTGATGGTGATCGGGAATTCGTATCTGAAATCCTATCAAGCTTACGCGGAAAAGCCATTCCGAAACAGATACAACAAATTTTATATGATGGCTAGAGGAAGTGGGGTTTTTTGTTCTAAACATCTAAAGAATCTAAAGAATTCTAACCAATTAACATAAAATTAAATGATGGCTAGAGGAAGTGGGTTTTTGGTTCTAAACATCTAAAGAATCTAAACAATTCTAACCAATTCTAACCAATTCTAACATAAAATTGTCAATTAAAAGGTTAAAACCGAAAAAGTACTGTTTCGTCAATGGAAATTCACGTTTCCACTGAAAATTCACGTCTTAACCCTTTAAAATCAACTTTTACAAAGGCTGTTCTTTAAAATGATGGGTTTAAACAACTTTTACAAACCCTGTCTTTACACCAGAGCTTCTAAAAGGCGATTTAACGAGAATAAACGTTTGGAAATGTTGATTGTGATGGTTTAAAATGTGATTTTCCGTTGCATATCTATTAACGATCGAAAATGAATGTCTAGTGTGCACTCCGTTTGTCAACTACGAAGCGCTGAAGTTGACTCATGATTTCCGAACTTTGGCTGAGGGATGCGAAGAATACAATGAGCATCTCTTCAAAACGATCGAAAAGATTCAGCCGAAGATTTTGTTGATGATCATGGGGTTGGTGCGCATCTATACGCAACCCATCTGGCGTCTAGCATCTAATCAGCATCTAGCATCTCTAAGAAACCGAAATACCATTAGAATTTCTGAAAATCTGAAAATCATTGTGAAGAAAAGCAAAAAAACATTTGCGGGATTCGAACCCAGCAAAATGAACTACGACATTTTTCTAGACCATCACACTATCCACTACACCACAGCTGCAACTAGAAGAGAGCTCATAAACTCGAGTCAATAGAGTGTATAGAGAAAACTTTCGAGTCAAATTTCAAGTCAAATTTTCAAGTCAAACTTTCAAGCCAAACTTATGACCATTTGCGAGCTATTCCAGATTTGATTACAGATTTGGAATCCGCATTTAATTTCCTATCGAATGAGCTAAGTCTCATTTCAAAATCCTGTAAACTACCCTAGAAAACTGTAAACTATCCACTACACCACAACCGCAACTTGGAGAGGGCTCATAAACTCGATTGAAGAGTGTATAGAGAAAACTTTCAAGCAAAACTTTCAAGCAAAACTTTCAAGCAAAACTTTCAAGCAAAATTTCCAAGCCAAACTTTCAAGTCAAATTTCAAGTCGAACTTATGACCATTTGCGAGCTGTTCCAGATTTGATTACAGATTTGAAATCCGCATTTAATTTCCTATCGAATGAGCTAAGTCTCATTTCAAAATCTTGTAAACTACCCTAGTAAGAACCGCTTGACTGTGAGACGAGAAATTGATAAAATTCAGTGTTTCAGACGGGATTTCTTCGTGCAAATTCTCTTATAAATGACAATAAAAAGTCTAACTAAGTCTAAAAAGTCTAACTAATATAATAATCTAGTATAAATGACAATAAAACACATTTAGTTTGGGTAAGCCGAATGATTTGCTTGGCGAGAAGGCAAACTGGAATCAAATGTACCAAACGGCAAAGGAAAGATTTGAGCGAATGAAGTAAACGAATGAAATTACGATTGAAATTCCAATTGAGATTCCAATTGTAATGAAAAGCTTTCAGAAAATCAGTTGATATTCTGTTGCTCACAATGCCGATGTACTATTTGAGTAATTCCTTGGCTCACAAATACAATCGAATCGTGGAAAGTGGGAAGAGGTTTCCAGAAAGGAACGACACAATGTATGCTTATCAGGTGAGTGGGAAATGCTTTAAGCTTCGGTTGCTTTTTAGTTATCATTTTCTTTAGGACTACATCACTCAAATGAAGCCAATGCTGAGTTTTTTGGAGGAATTAGCAAAAGAGATCCCGAATTTGTATCTAGTTGATGTTCAAGCGCCATTTTGTAGAGATGGGTGAGATGGGTTTCCTTATTGGCATTCTTCTTCGTTTTGTATTCGTTTTTCTTAAATCCCTAAACACAGAATCTCCTAGTTAATAGTATTAAAATCTACCGTAATCTTACCGTAATCTTGTCTGTAATCTTGTCTTGTCTAACTTATCTATTTTCTAGAATTCTCAAAAAGATATCAAAGCTTTGAAAAGTAGATAGAGTTGAATAGAAGTTAGACGAGAAGTTAGACTACGATAAGATACGGTTTACGTTAAGATGATGAGATAAGTTTGCGGTAGAATACTAGTACTAATTAGATGTCTAGTACAAATTAGATGCAAGTAAACGTCGAAAGCGTTATAAAAAGCTCAAAAATTTTTAGCTTAACTTGTGATGTTTACGACTACGAATGCGGTGAGTTTTTCTTCGATTGGGGCGGCCGACATCCGACGACTTTTGCGAGGAATATTGTTGAGGTTTCTTTAAATATTATCTATTTAACTTAAACAGAAGAAATTCACCCTTAAAATCCCATCTTTCTTAGAGCAATTTTTTTTTACTTTAAAGTTGTAGATAACCTCTTCAAATTAGACTTTAAAGTTATGCCTTTGAAATCCTTTGAAATCTTTTGAAATTAACTTCAAATCTTTCAGTCATCTCTTCGAATTCGGCTCGATCAAGTCTACAATTTATTGGACGAAAAATGAATAAAAGATAAAAGATAGGAAGAAATGGATATTGAAAATATACAAATTGCAATAAAACAAGCAAATCAAAGCAAGGTTTACTTGACTGAAATTTGACTGAAATTTGACTAGGAATTGACTGGGAATTGACTAGGAATTGAATGAAACTTGGATAGCTTCATTTAATTCCTATTCCTAGTCAATTTCCTAGTCAATTCCCAGTCAATTCCTAGTCAATTCCTAATCAAATTTCAGTGTAAAAAGGAGATCAGTTGAGTTGAAAAGTTGAAAGAATATCTAGATAAAGATATAGAAAGTAAAAGCTCATCTCTAGATATCATTAGATTCAGTTAAACTACAGTATAGCCTTTTCTTGGAGTCAATGTAGTTCGTCGATGTGTTGTCGTCGTAGTTCGCACAAAAATCGCTTGCATTTGGGTGTTTGGTGAGGGTTCTGGAAATGTCTTCAGTTAAAAGATAATATTGAAGCTTTAAAGATTTAGCCGCAAAAGGATCGAAGCCGAGGAAAAAAGTGCTCGCTCGCCTTTCAGACAAGCCTCTTATCCACTACACCACCCAAAACCCTTTTCGCTCAGCGTGTGAACGCCTCAAATAGACGCTAAAAGCGAAAAAGGGAAAAGCGCCAAGTGTGGACGCGAAAGCGTTTTAGTCAAATATCTTGCTCTACAAGGCTCAAGGGGAAAAACTAAAAACTGGATCGGATTCCCCGTGAAATTCTCTACAAGACGTTTCCCACGTTGATAATTCGGACTTGGTGTCTGCACTCGATAAGTGTCGTGAAGTCGATGTGGTGAGAGGAGGTAAGGAGCCTGGAATTTCGATGGAATTTTGATAGGATTTGGATAGGATTTGGATAGAAATTGGTCACTTTTCACGATAAATCCTTTAATCTTTACATTTCTCAATTTATTTACCCTAATTTTACCGAATTTAGAACTCCTCTGGAAGTACAATCAGCACTTCCATTCTTACAATCTCTTGAATTTCTCCGCTTGACTCTAATCGACAAATAGCTAAGTGAAAAGCTAGTGAAAAGCTTTATTTTTAATAATTCTTTAAAACTTTCAGTCTTTCATATGCTTTTGAATTCAATTATTAACATAAATCTTTAATTTCTAACCTGTGATTCATTCGGGAATCGAATTGCTTGTTGTGAGTGTGATCGAGGATAGGTGGCATATTGTGGTTCAATCTGGAATGAGATTAAATGAAATTCTAATAATTAGTTCTTTACAAATGTCCCTTTATCTAAAAACTGTATAAATCTAAGATTTGAAAGCTTAAAAAGCTCAAAAAAGGCTTAAACTTGTGTCCAATCGTGTCCCTATAGCTCAAAAAAGGCTCAAAAAAAGGCTTAAACTTATGTCCAATCGTGTCCCTATAGCTCAAAAAAGGCTCAAACTTGTGTCCAATCGTGTCCCTATAGCTCAAAAAAGGCTCAAACTTGTGTCCAATCGTGTCCCTGCGAGTACAGAACATTCCCTCCAATTGGGCTTCGAATGATCGGTTCTCTGTAAAATTCAGAAATCATTTTGAACCTTAAAATGCTATTAAATTAAAGATATAAAGATAATCTTGAGGCTAAATTTCAATAAAAAACTATTCTTTTATTGTAAAAGTGACCTCTCTTCATTTCCTTTTTGATAATCGGTGATTACCGAGATCGGGATTTGCTGAAAATGGAATATAAATGATTCTAAGTATTTAGAAATGTTTAGTTTATTAGTTTAATTAGTTTAATTAGTTTAATTAGTTTAATTAGTTTAATTAGTTTAATTAGTTTAATTAGTTTAATTAGTTTAATTAGTTTAATTAGTTTAATTAGTTTAATTAGTTAATTAGTTTAATTAGTTTAATTAGTTTTATTAGTTTATTAGTTTTATTCCATTAGTTTAACTAGTTTATTAGTTTTATTAGTTTTATTAGTTTAACTATTATTTATAAGTTATTCTAGTTTTTAAAAACAAACAGTGCTCATTGTTGGGTAATCGGGCGGAATCACAGTCACTGTTGGAGCGATTGTCGGTTTTGGAGTAGGAGCGGCTGAGAAAATCGTCTAAAAAGGTCAATTAATTCATTTTAAATCAATTTCATAAAGATTTCTATAAACTGATCGAAAAAAATCTTTGATACTAGCGTTCAGAAAGTAGATCAGAAAGTTCAGAAAACTAGCAAATTGAGTATCCAGAAATATTGAATTCAGCTCGTTTTTGTTTGATTAGATAAAACAAAGCTTTTTGGTTTGATTAGATAAAACAAAACTTACAATTAACAGAAGATAGATTCTTTACGAAAACTATTTAAAGTCTCAAAAATCAAAAAGCAGCAAAAAAAGTCTTGATACCTTTTCAAAAGCTGCTTATTTCTAAAAATTCAGTATCGTGTTGGGCCTCTTTTAGCTTTTTATAATCTCCTGAAGACAGTTGCATACTCAAGTTTTCCCGTGATTCGTTGTGGAGCTCCAAATTTCTGAACCTTGTCCAAAAAAGTCCAAATGGAGCTCCAAATTTCTTGAACCTTGTCCAAAAGCTCCTTTTTTTTGACGCAAAGCCGAATTCTCGCAATTGTCGTTTGACATGGGCCCATAAATGTTCAATAGGATACAATCCGGCGAATTGAGTAGTGTTCGCAGCAAATTGACGTTGTTGAGCCGAAAATAGCCAGGCAATCTCACGAAAACTTCAGGTCGGGTTTTCAGTTTTCGTCCCAACGTCCCTTCAATTCACTTGTATGTTTTGAATCGATTTCTAAGCCTAAGCCTCATAAAAATCAGCAAAGCTCTAACGTAACAAAAAGGAGAAAAAAAAAGAAAGAGAAAAGCTATCAAAACTTTTTTTGCTTTGAATTTTCGCAATTCCGGGAGGTTATGCCTTTTTTTCATTTTAAAAATGGGTTTCTTTCGCTTATTTAGGAAAACTTTCTTTAATCGCAATGTTACATTTTAGGCAAGGAAATCTAATAAATGAAGATTTTTCACAATGTACCAAGACTTTCTTTGACCATAAGACTTTAATGAATTTTAAGTGCTTCCAAACGATTCCATTTTCTTAAAAAAACGATTGACATGGTCGCCACCCAGGCAACCGCTATCTATCAAGACCTTATGCCAGACGGCGCGGGATTACGCGGCCGCACAAAGAACAATAAGCCATTTACACAGGGGATTTTTCCTTTTGCTTCGTAGATGATCCAAAAAGCAGATATTCAGTTGTAAATTTGCACCCGGGGGTTTTCGAGGTCGGCGAATCGAATGAAGATATACATTTTAGATCTCGATACTAATACAAACCGGTCTCCGCAAAACGGTGGTCGATGATGAAGTTTGACTCATTGTAAATGAAGTTCAATGTAAAACTAGTTCAATGTAGAAAAGTTATTCAGTTAAACAGTTGAATAAAGGAAAAACTTCAAAAAGAATGATTCAATTTTGGTAAGAAATCGATAAAATCAGTCTAAGGCTGAAAAAAAGACGAAAAACAGCCACGTAATCGCTCTTTTTTTTGCTCAATGCTAAAATCTTATCACTGAGTCAACAAACGATTTTTTAAAATCTTAGATATTCTTTTAAAGATTTGACCTCTAAATCTTTGTACTTTATAAAGTTTTCTTAACAATAAACCTCAATGGGAACAGCTTGCTCTTGTTTTGGGCGGATTACTGTAGTGTAAGGGACCTGAAAAGAGGAATATCTCAAAAATTAGCATAAAATTAGCATAAAATCATGATAAATCTATATTGTTTATCATAATAAATGATAATTTTCATTAATTTCATTAAAAAAAAAAACCAACTTGTTCCTTGTTTTTCGGATCAACAGCAATGGTGTAAGTGGTTTGTGGAGACGGGAGACAGGCAACAGAAAGCTCTGAAAACAGTCACCCATTTTATTTCAACAACAACATTTCTCACTTAATAAATGATAGAATTCGTTGTTTAGTTTTAAAAATCAAGGGAATCAAGGGAATTTCCGGTTTTTAAAACTCACGAGGAGCTGTGCCGAGAAGGCCAACGTATTGAGCACCGGCAACAACAGCCAATGGAGCTTGATCAGGAATTAGTGGCGGTTTGAAGCCCTGGAAATTCGTCTATTATATAGTAGAAGAATAATCATTGTTTTATAATTGTTTAATAAAGGCATTTACATGCATGAAACCGTTTTGGACAATGGGAAAGAAGTTTTTTCGGCTAAAACTTTGTCACTGTTGTTTCAACAATTTTAAACTGCGTGAATTTGATTTAATTTCTTTTCAATTATTAGATTTTAAGTAGCTACAGTACTGGACAATGAAATATGATATTTGAAAAATGATGGTCACTTTCGCGCCTCTGTAACTCCCTTGTCTTTACCGTATTTCTAAATATTCATATTACCATTGTGTAGCCCTTGAAAAGAGCTTTCAGAAAATGTATAACACTAATAGTTTAAACTCAAAGACAAGGAACGAAAGACGAAAGTGACGACGCGCGAAAGTGACGATCGTTTTTCAAATATCATATTCAAATATTCAGCTGTTCATTTCTACGTATTAAAAACGTTCTTGTTCACCTCTTACAATTAGCGTTTTACCAGTAACCAGTACCAGGTTACTGGTAAAACCCGATGAGTTACTGGAGGTTACCAGTAACTTATTGGCAGCTATAGCATTACTGGACAATGAAATATGATATTTGAAAAATGATCGTCACTTTTGTGCGTCGTCACTTTCGTCTTTCGTCCCTTGTCCTTGAGTTTAAACTATTAATGTTATACATTTTCTGAAAGCTCTTTTCAAGGGCTACACAATGGTAATATTAATATTTAGAAATACGGTAAGGAAAAGCGAGTTACAGGCGCACGAAAGTGACGATCTCATGAGATGATATTTCATTGTCCAGTAATGCTATAGCTGCCAATAAGTTACTGGTAACCTCCAGTAACTCATCGGGTTTTACCAGTAACCTGGTACTGGTTACTGGTAAAACGCTAATTGTAAGAGGTGGACAAGCACGTTTTTAATAAGTAGAAATCAACAGCTGAATATTTGAATATGATATTTGAAAAATGATCGTCACTTTCGTGCGTCGTCACTTTCGTCTTTCGTCCCTTGTCCTTGAGTTTAAACTATTAGTGTTATACATTTTCTGAAAGCTCTTTTCAAGGGCTACACAATGGTAATATTAATATTTAGAAATACGGTAAGGAAAAGGGAGTTACAGACGCGCGAAAGTGACGAAAGTGACGATCGTTTTTCAAATATGATATTTCATTGTCCAGTAGTTGAACGAGTTGAACTGTTTACCCTCCTTTAAGTACTTTCATTAACTTTTCAAATATCAATTTAAGAAGTTATTTTAGAAATAGAATAAAACCAAGCTTTTAAACTTTCAATTGAACATTTGATATGCTTTTGATCGCTAAAATTGAAAGAACAAAGCTTCAAGTTTAAAGCCAGATTTCATTTCATTGTCCAGTAGTGTATAGGCTTAGTTTATCTAGTTTTTTAGAAATTAGATAAAAACTGAATGTTATAAAAAGTTATGAATGTTATATGTTATAAAAAGTTATGAATGAAAGCTAAGAATATTATAGAAAGATCTTTACCGGCGGCGGTTCTCCAGGCGATGGACGAAAAAACTTTGCGGGAAGACCTTTGCCAGCGTTTACTAAAGAAAAAATGAAATAAAGAATCAGAAATCAATAAAAAAAACCCTTGAAAATCTCTCCAAGACTTGAAAAACCCGAAAATTTTCCCTTAAAACTATCAATTTTCAAGTATTTCAAAGGATTTTATAAAGTTTTTCTTGAAAAATTTCAAAGCCAATTGTTTAAAATTGTTAAAATTAAACTTAAAAAGCAGATTAGCACTTAAAATTTGAATAAAAATCGATAATTTTAGTAGATAGAAGTTTAAAATAGTTTTATTAGTTTTATTTTCAAAAAGAAAATGAAGTGTAAGTGTTATTTGAGTCAAAAAGAGAAGGAATTCATGAAACGTTTAAGTAAACAGAAAGAAAGGAAGGAAGAAAGAAAGAGAGAAAGAAAGGACGAAAGAAAGAAAGAAAGAAAGAAAGAATGAAAGAAAGGTAGAAAGAGAGAAAGAGAGAAAGAGAGAAAGAAAGGACGAAAGAGAGAAAGAAAGAAAGAATGAAAGAATGAAAGAAAGGTAGAAAGAGAGAAAGAAAGGACGAAAGAGAGAAAGAAAGAAAGAATGAAAGAATGAAAGAAAGAATGAAAGGAAGTATGAAAGGAAGAATGAAAGAAAGAAAGAAAATAGATAAAAGAGAACTATTGAAAAGAGAATTTCAAGAAATATTGAGAGAAAATAAAGAAAAAGAGAAAAGTTTACAAATTCTTTTACCAGAGTGTTTTCCTCGCGAGTAATGCTTTTTTTAAAAAGCAATTTTTTAAAAAAACATTAAAATTACCGTACTTTTAGCAAAAATTATTGCAAAAAAATGACGCAAAAATCACGAGTCCCGCATTATATACGACACTTTTTAAAGATACTCAGCCGTTGAACTGATTTCGTGGGAGATTCCCTTCCAATGTAAAAAGTTGATTTTTTTTTAAAAACCTGCGCAAAAAATTGCTTTTATATTTTAGAAAACGCATTACTCGAGCTATTACTCTAGCTATTCCTCAAGCTATTCCCCGAGCTATTCCTCTAGCTATTCCTCAAGCTATTCCTCGAGCTATTCCTCTAGCTATTCCTCGAGCTATTCCTCTAGCTATTCCTCAAGCTATTCCTCGAGCTATTCCTCTAGCTATTCCTCGAGCTATTCCTCTAGCTATTCCTCGAGCTATTCCTCTAGCTATTCCTCAAGCTATTCCTCGAGCTATTCCTCTAGCTATTCCTCGAGCTATTCCTCTAGCTATTCCTCGAGCTATTCCTCTAGCTATTCCTCAAGCTATTCCTCGAGCTATTCCTCTAGCTATTCCTCGAGCTATTCCTCTAGCTATTCCTCAAGCTATTCCTCGAGCTATTCCTCTAGCTATTCCTCGAGCTATTCCTCTAGCTATTCCTCGAGCTATTCCTCTAGCTATTCCTCAAGCTATTCCCCGAGCTATTCCTCGAGCTATTCCTCGAGCTATTCCTCGAGCTATTCCTCTAGCTATTCCTCGAGCTATTCCTCTAGCTATTCCTCTAGCTATTCCTCTAGCTATTCCTCGAGTAACTACTTACTCGCGAGGAACACACTCTATCTTTTACAGCTTTTATTTTAGAGAATTTTTTCGAATCCAAAGCTTCTTTTAAGTTTAAAATTGAAAATTTTAAGCTAAAATTGAATATAAAAGATATTTCTGAGCTCTTTAATAGATTTCAATGTTTTAGTAACTTACTAAATTGCTGTAATTGCCATTTGGCAGATCCTGGTGGCCATGGGTGATAGGAGCTAAAAATGGGGCCTTTTTACTCATCATTTCTAACAATATCTTTCATTGAAATCAATTTACATTAAATTTAGATTGAAAATAACATTAAATTATTCTAATTCAGATAATAAGAAGGCTAAAATTTGATACAAAAAGACGTTAAATGTTCAATGAAAATGTTCAATAGAGTTTTTCTAGAGGTTAACTTTATTCTAGATTTTAAGAGATTTCTAATTATTTTATTTCCTTTTAACCTTAATTTACTTTAACTTTGTAGCTTTGTACACTACTGGACAATGAAATATCATATTATAAGATCGTCACTTTCGCGTGCCTGTAACTCCCTTGTCTTTACCGTATTTCTAAATATTAATATTACCATTGTGTAGCGCTTGAAAAGAGCTTTCAGAAAATGTATAACACTAATAGTTTAAACTCAAAGACAACGGAGTTACAGACGCGCGAAAGTGACGATCGTTTTTCAAATATCATATTGGGTTGGGGAGAATGAGTCGGCGCCGAACTTTAAAGGGACTTTTTGCACACATAAAGCCTTCTTTAAACATACGTTTGGTTTCATCAAAAGGATCCACTATTTCTCTACAAAATCACTTTTGAGAGATTCCACAAAGCTTTTCTTTCGTGGAGTTTATGAACTTCGAGACGCAGCTGGTTAAAATGGCAAAGAGTCCGACTCATCATTTGAACAGTTTCTTTCACATAAACCTTCTTTGGTGTTTATATAAAAAAGATAGAGCACATTCAATTACTTTAGTTCCCAAATTTGCAGGAAGATCCCACCAATGGTTTTTTCTAGATCACAGTTTGTAGTTTTTGTGAAAAAATGGCTTTTTCTTGAGCGGAGGCGCTGTTTAAATTTACTTTTAAATGTGATTTTGTAGAGAATTAGTTAACCATTCTACTCATATCAAACGCATATTATTTGACGAAGTCGAATAGAAGCTTTACACATTTTTTTCATTTTCGGCGCCGACTCATTCTCCCCAACCCAATATTTCATTGTCCAGTACTGTAGCTTTAGCTTTAGCTGTTTTTAAGCTCTTTAAGTCTTAGCTTTCTTTACTCACCGATGTGTCTCGTGTACATCATCTCGAAATCGTTCATACCATGATTTAATACAAGCAAAGTATGCAGCTGCGGCGATCATTGATAGAATAAGCATTGGGCCAAGGAATGAGAAAAAGATCACTGCTACCTAAGGGACGAAAATTTTACTGTGAAGGGCATTAGATAAGCTATTAGATCAGCTATTAGATCAGCTATTAGATCAGCTATTAGATAAGCTATTTGATCTATTTGATTTGCTTAGAACTTATCTTTGTTCAGTTAAACATAAGCTTGTTGTCAAATAAGCTTCTTATTCTTTGTGAAAACCTTGTGAAAATCGCCCCAATCGAAAGCGGTGACAGTGGAGGGTAGAGTGAAGAGAATGAGTGAGTGATGAAAGAAACATTTCATCTAAAATCTAAAATCTTATCAAAGAATCGACTTGTAAAGGTTAAACTTTTAAGTCAAAAGTCAAAACTAGAGATGCTTTTGGATTTACACTTTGGGATAGGCTCAGATCTAGCGTATCTTCAATTTTTTGCGCTTGATTTTGATAGTATCGTTTGTGGATGACGGTTTTTAAATTTTGAGATATTTCCCTTCAAAGTTTACGTCGAAAATCGACATCTACAAACCGCACGCCAACGAATCATAACGATTCTACAGAGGCTTGTGACCATGAGCTCGTGGCCTTGTGGATAATGGCCTAGAGCCTTAATAACCCTTGTCCATGGTTCAGATTCGGTTGCGGCTGGACTTTTTGAATAGTTGGACTGCTAAAAACAATCTAAATGTTCTTTTCAGGTTTCTTTTCTGTCCAAATATAACACAGCCGGATCTGAACCAGGGACAAAAGAGTGAGAGCTCTAGGTCATTATCCACTAGGCCACGAGCTCATGTTTATAAGCTAGTAGAACAATTATGAACATTATGATCATTATGACCATAATGACTTAGGTGCGCGGTTTCATGGATGCCCAATCTTGTCCTTTGACGAAAGTTTACCTTTGAAGGGAAATATCTCAAAATTCCCCAAATGACATGATCAAAATCAGCGCCAAAAAGCTGAACAAGATGTGCTAGCTCTCAGCTCTAAAATCAAGGTGTAAATGCAAAAGGTTGCAAAATCCCTAGTAAGTCAGAAAGTTAAAATTCAGTTTTAGTACAAACTCTGAAAAGTGAAAATGGTGTCCATGGTTGCCTGGGCGGGGGTTTTTCCCTTTTTCTCTACCAATGCCCGTTCATAATCTCTTCAGAACGGGATTATCCCCTAATTGGCAATGCATCCAACCATTTCCAATAGAGATTTCAAGCGGGGAAATGGGAAATACCAATACTGAGAATTCTAGGCAACATTGAACAAATCGAAACTATTCTTTGAGCTGAACTTTGCGTTCAGTTAGAAACGCACTCTATCTAGTGCACTTGTTTCTTTGTTATTTCTCTGTTTTCAAAGAGAAAATAGAATTTTAGACACTAGAAAGGTTGGGTTTCCATTTTCTGCACCAGATTCTCAGTGTTACGCCAGATGGAAAGCGTTTATAGAGTGAAATCCTGTTTAGCTTAGTGGACTTTGTGCTCAGAAGTGGAAACACATCTCTTCTATTGCGCAAATCTGTCTCTACAATCGTTTTCATATAAATACATTTATTTAAAGTTGAGCCTTTCAAAGAAATAAGTTTTATGAATTCAAAAGAAAGATTCAGAAAATTCAGAGAACTCAGAAAATATCAAATGATTCAAAAAATCAATTAAAAAAAATTTCCTTGTTTGGTCAAATGCTGGTGTTGTTTTTTTCAACAAAAAAAAAAGACAGATTTTGAATGGAATGCTTGCTTTTTTTTTCTTTAAAAAAACATCTTTATTCAGCACATAAAACTTTTCTATTAAAAAAAAGGGAAATTTTAAATTTATTAAACAATTTATTAAACAATTTATTAAACAAAAGGGAAATTTATAATTTTCAATTTTCAATTTTCAATTCTCAATTCTCAATTTTCAATTCTCAATTCTCAATTATCGTAATCATACCAATTACGATTTTCAGAGGTTTCAAGATTAAGCCCCGAATTCACGTTTGTGGTTGATCTTCTTTGTGGTTGATCGTTGTTGAATGAGACTGAATTGTCATCATTTGACTCAAGCACTTCATTCGTTTCAATCTCGTTATTTGATCTTGCTGGCATTGCGCCAAACATTGGTGAGGATAGGTGACGGAAGAGCTGCAAATTCATCTCATTCATCTCATCGATCACAATTGCTTCATCAACTGTGCGTTCTTTTCATGTCACTCCTGAGAAAATCCGGCACACTGCCCCCGGTTAGAGGTTGCCGGAAAGTCTCGCTGGTTTTTTTCCCAATTTTTTCTTTCTCTTGTTTTTTTTTTTTAAGAAAAGCTCCCTCCCCCCCCCCCCCCCGGGGGGGGGGCGGGGGGGGGGCAAGCCAAGCTGGTGTAATTACCCAAGTTTGCGTACCCGAGACGAAAATCGGTTTTCACTAGAAAACCTCGAGTTTGTTTTTTTTTCGATTTAATGACAAATATAGATTCTAATTGATGCTAAGAACTCGATATTTAGCTCTAATTGATAACTGACCACATCATAATGATCCCGAATCTTCTTATAGTAATAGTTGGCAATGCGGAAACGGTACAATGGATTAGCAAGCTGTGTAAATGATTGATCTCGTCGATTGACTCGAGTCTAAAATATTATTATGTTTCAATTCCCGTTTTTTACTTACATTTTGTTTATTTTTAGGCACTTTGAAGGGAATTAAAGGATTGCTGGGTGCTTGGATGACTGAGGCGAAGGCTCGAGCTTCTCTTGAGCTGAAAAAACAATTATAAAGCAAAATTTTTCAATAGTTTTAGTTAAGAAATTCAATTAAATTCAAATAAAAGTCTCTTAAAATTAAATCTAACTTCTATTAGGTTGGACTTCTTCAAAAACTTCTTCAAAAATTGCTTACAATTTCTGGAAAATTGTCAAACTTCAATATTTTTGTTAATGTTAAATAAAAGCTATTTTCTAGTTTGCTTAATTTGTTTGCTTATATTAATCTAGTTTGCTAGATAAGCTACGTTTTCATATTTGAGCACAAAATAGTAACAATAACAGAATAAAATCTATTAGGTTGATGCATAAGTCTTTTCGTTTTTTTCGTATTTCTGTTAAAAAGTAACAAATTCACGAATTAATCTATAGTTTGCTCTATAAAAAAAGTGTTTTTTTTGTTCAATTTGCATCTTTTTAAATGAATTTCGGTTCACTTTGAAGCAAATTCGAGAGTGAAAAACCGCCTTTTTCGTAAAAATCTATAAAAAACTCTACGGAAAAATTGGCTGAATGAATTTCTCTGAAAATTTGGCTATACACCTAACTTTTTGTGTTCTATCTTTTATCTATTGACACGAAGATAGGTTTTCTTTAGCTAAGGTGTCTAAACCGCTCAGGCTCAGGCTCAGGCTTAGGCTGAGGCTTAGCCTGAGCCTGAGCCTGAGCCTGAGCCTAAACCGCATCATCGAGTTAGCCCTTTTTGACTACCCGACTTCATACTCTCAAGAAAATCCAGGCATTCAATATTTTAAAACCCGTTTTAATGTTATTTTGCAGAAAAATAATTGCTTTTTCTAATGAAATCAACCGTAGTTTAATTGGTGCATTTGTTGGCTTGAAACGGCAGACGAAAAGGAACGAAAACACTTATGCATCAACCTAATAAATCTAAAAGAAAAGAAAGAAAACAAACCCAAACTTTCTGTTTAATTCGATGTAGATTTTCTTAAACTCCGGCTTTGAATTCAACAATTTTATCCAGGATTCGGGCAAATTTTTGGGCAATTTTCTGGAGAAATTCGCTGACTCAAGCAAAGCCACAATGCAAATAAATAAGAAAACTTTCAGCATTTCACCAAGGAAATGAAAACCAAGTTCACCGTTTTTAAACTTCTGGAAGTCCTTGAAGGAACCGCACTCAAAAAAAAACGGCTATTCAAGGGTCATGTGGAGGGGGATAAGTGGAGAAATCGGCAAAAGAAAGAGCCATTTCTTTTGCTCATCCCAAAAGAGTATCTAGAAGTGAAAAATCAAGAGTAAGTCTTTGAATTTTAAAGCAGAATTATTCTAGACCAAAATTTCCTTAGTCCAGCACAAACACACCCTCTTTGGCACACTGAATTCTTGTTTTCTCATCACTTTGTTATCGATTTCTGAGTTTGCGAAAAGGTGTTATTTAAAAGGTTTATCAACTTAACTGCATTCGAAACGACCTTTCGATGTTTGCACTGTGACCAACTGGCTAAGAGCCTTGAACCTTAGTCGGAAGGTCGACGGTTCAATCCCGTCGTCTGGGTTTTTGCTTTTTTTCTGATTTATTTAAGAGTTTTTTTCTTCCATACATTTAGAGCTCTTTATATCCGATTATTCGTGTGAATAAATGCATATTTTCTTAATTCTGCCTTTCTCGATGTACTGTTAAATTTATGGAAATAAAGTCTCAAGAAATTGATAGAATTCAAGACACAAAACAAGAAGATTATGTTTATTTCGAAGTGAGCGTGACTTGGACCCTTGATTGGCGTGGATATCCACAAACGAGTCGAATCACCTCACGACGCATCGATTTGTTGATTGCCATGTAGAAAATTGCCATTGAACCTGGGAAATTGTAAAGTTATAGTAGAGAAGTTTGTAATTTCTTTATTGAAACATTCTCAAGCGTTCTCAAAGAAAGTTATCATCATTCAGCTGTAGAAAAGTTCAATTCGATTGCTTTGAACAATTAGATTCTCCTAAGCACACTTCAAAAGCCTTATTCAAGATTATTATTGACTCTTCAGAGATTACGGTAATTGTAGGCTCTTTTCTAAAAGATAGAAAGCTAGCAAAGCTATATAGCTAATTGGATTACGATAACGATAGAAGGGTATTGTTAAAATTACCATTTGAGAATTGCCAGGAAAGATTTGTAACAGTGTACATGAATTGTGGGAGTTCGATGAATTGCATTCCGACATAAAAAACACCAGTGATCAGAACAGTCGTGCAAATCCCAAAACATTGAAGAGAGATCTGAGAATGCGGAAATTTCAATAAATCTAGGCATTGCTCACAATTCTCTGCACTTTACTCGTAGCCGCGTTCATTTTTCGATTCATTCTCCACATGAAAAAGAGCATAAAGAGATTTAAGATGAAGATACTGATTGCGACACCGACATTGTTGATAAAGAAAATGATTGGCGTCTGAAAAAGTTGAGTGTTCACAGATCAATCTTATACAGCTAAACGGATCCTTGATCTGCTACGAATCTGGTACTAACTTTAGTCTACTGATAGCGACATTGTTCACGAAGAAGAGGATCGGAGTCTGGAAGTGGGTTTGTGTGTATTGCTCTATGTAACCCAGGTCTAAATCCAGTACCAGATTCAGGTTTAGATCCAGGTTCAGGTCCAAATCCAGTCTCAACCTAGGTCCAAGGTCAGGTTCAGGTCCAGGTATGGCTTATACAATACATTAACCTGTGCCCTATCTGTTACCAGATGCTGGCTTTTGATTAGCTCTTAAATCTCGTGTTTACTTTCGAATTCTGTGGCTCAGCAGCGAAGTAATAGCTGGCGGTTGGTGTGTGGAAGACGAGTGGTGGATAGGTGAAATAGATAGTGATTCCGTAGATGAATGGAGGAATCATCCAGAAGATTAGACGTTTCCCGCCGAAGAGCTCCTGCAAGTGGATTGGATTGGAAACGAATCCTTTCTAGTGCATTGACTTGTCGAGCAACACGATTGTTCACTAGACTAGATCTAGATCATGGTCAAGTCCAGGTCAGAAGCTGGGTACTGGCTGGGGTTTCTGGCTCTGGTCTTGGCTTATCTAGCCTGACCTGGCCTGGTCGTAGAACCCAGAAATTCTTGATCAACAAAACTAGTATAAAACTAATCTTAAGCCCAATATTACGTTTAAATATTGATTCCGTAGATGAATGGAGGAATCATCTAAAAGATTAAAAATTTCCCGCCGAAGGGCACCTGTTCTTCTTCTTGAAATTCTCTTATTTTACTTACCTCTTGAAATTTTGGCCCAAGAAAGTCAACACAACGATTGGTCGCTAAAACGATGCTCAGTGCTGAGTAAGTGCTCCAGAGCGCTAAAATGTTTATTTTAGTATTACAATTGGTAAATAAGACGATAAACTAAAGGTTTCCTTTGTTAAAATTCTTTTTTTTACTTTTTTTGTTAAAGTTTTTAAAAATTTAATTTTTCAATGGTTTTTAAGGGAAGGGAAAAGAAGATTTTTAAATTCTAAAATTAGAGATTCACAGTTTATTTTAGTAAAACGAGGCAAAGTAAACTAGTAAAGTAAACAAGTAAATTAAACAAACTCACGAAAACATCCAGATCCAATGTACAAATTGAGCAACGGACTTTCACAGAACGAGTAACCGTTGATGAGGAGATAGCCTGAAAAGGGAGAGGTCAAGATGATGATGATGAAATGGGTACAATACCATTTTGATAGTAAGTAAGTACATTCTTTTTTGGTTAAACTCTTAACTACAGTAAGACTCTTATTTATCTACAGTTTATGATTCAAATAAGTACAGTAAGACCAGGGATTTTATCTGATCAAGTCTTTAGATAGAATTCGACTTGTTTTGAATGAGAGTTGAATCTTTTGTCTATCTGATGATTGTCTATCTAATGATTGTCTATCTAATGATTGTCTATCTAATGATTGTCTATCTAATGGTTGTCTATCTAATGATTGTCTATCTGATGGTTGTCTATCTGATGGTTGTCTATCAGATAATTGTCTATCTAATGATTGTCTATCTGATGGTTGTCTATCTGATGGTTGTCTATCAGATAATTGTCTATCTAATGATTGTCTATCTAATGATTGTCTATTTGATAGTATTTGATTATTTGAAAAGCATTTCTAACAGATTACATGTCATTTATTGTAAGAATAATCCTAAAAACAATTTTTCTTTTGAAAATTTTCATTTATAAACCTGGTAACAAAGAGTTCGGTGTCATGCTGATGATATCAACGATACCGATGACAAAACTGAAACGAGTTAACTGAGTTAACTGAGTTAACTGACCTCTACTTCTATACGATTCGGCTAAACTAGTTTACAGTAGACTCTCTGCAACTCAATCAATAAGTCATTACAGTAAGTCTATAAATTAATCAATTGTCTTCAAATTATTCACTTACAGTATCCTGTAACAGATGATCTTCATGAATTTCTGTTGAGCCATTGCTACAAGGCAGAGGAGATATAAAATGACGAAAGATGTGCCAAGAAATAAGTAGAAAACTCCTATAGATAAACTCCTAGAGATAGAATTCGTTTTTAATAGTTTATTACCTTGAAAAACGATCTTTTTTGTGTTATCCACCGTTCGCACGCATTCTTCATCAAGAGCTTCAACAAAATTCGCTTTGAATGAAGCATAGATCTAAAGATAAAGATAAAATTTAATTAAAATCACCCCAGGGGATTCAGATTGTTCAAAAAGATAATGTTTAAAGGTTCAATGTTTCGCCCAGATGTCCAGTTTGTTTACTTTGAGCTTAAAAAGGAATCCTCTGGCGGCAGCAATCCAGAATCCTTTCTGGCTAACTCAATGATTCGTTTGTTAAGCTGTAAGCTAATTAGTGTTTTGGAGTGCTTTAGAAAGGATGTGTTTACTGTTTTGAGGAATACAAAGTGCATTGTTCACTTGGAGAACTGAAAATTGAATCAACAATAATTCAAACAAGCTACCAGGCTTTAAATTTCTCAAAAAAACAATCCAGAATTCTTTAAAAAAGGCTTATAATAGTTAAAAAGGCTTATAATAGTTATAAAAAGAGCTTCCATTAGCTTAGCAATTGTATTATCAGCAATCATAACGTTAAACTTTACTTTAACTTTACTTTAACTTTAAAAAAACTCACCTCTAGCGCTAAGGAGTCGTTAAAAAAGCGATATTTACTCATTTTTCTGCAAAATTTTTCTGCAAAACTCGAAAGCTTTTATATAGAAATTTTCCAAGTGAATCAACTTTTATTCTAAGAAAATTTTTTCGTTTTTGAATAAGTTCACAATTTTCATTAAAAAACCTTTATAAAAGTGAGAAAAACAGTAAAGAAAAGCAGTGAAGCGATAAAGAAAAAAAAGAAAATCATTTCATAAACTTGAAAGAGATTTTCTGTGAGACCGGATCTTGTGAACGTGTAAGAAATTGTCAAAAAATTTCAAAAATTAACCGATTTTTGCTCTCTCTCATAGACACAAAATTTTGGAAATAAACGAGCGAAAAGCGAAAAGTTTCAGCGCTGAATCAGATTAAAAAACGAATATTTTAATGATTCAAAGAAATCGGCAATTGGCAATCGGCAAATGAAATTCTTTCAATTTCCGGAAAATTCAATTAAATACAATAGAGAAACAGTTCTTTTTGTGAACAGCTCTGTAATGAACCTTTCTGCATTTGTGTATCAAAATATCTTCTTTAAAACGACACCAATTGATATATTAGAAGAAAAAAAAAAAAGATTTACTAGTTATTTATGGGTTAGCGTGAAACAATATGCCTTTTACCACTTTGCATAAGCAAAACTGAAAGTTTAAGCATTTAAAATTTAGCCAGTAAACATTATCGAATCGATTGGGGCTCGATATCGAGCCCCAATCGATTCGTTGTTTTTTCCAGCACTAGATTTCGACGATTGTGATGAATGGGAAATATCTCCAAGATGGATTTGCAAGAATGAATTTCCTCTTGTTAATCACCCTTCTAATCATTTCTCAAGGAAAATTTGGATCGAGATTGAGATTAGCCTTGATTTGGGGAGAAGTCTTTTTGGAATTTGAGGAAGTGTAGCCCAGACAGATTGCTTATGAGAAAGGCAAACAGCCCCTCTTGTGTAAAAGCTCTGCGCCAGAAGACGAGCGATTGCGCGGCCGCACAAAGGACACCTCGGGGTCTCTTTCCAAGGGAATCTCTTTTGCTCTGTAAACATTGTTTAGATAAGATCTGAAGCCAAAAGTTTGTACCCAGGAGTTTTCGGGGTCGGAAAAGCGATTGGCGGGGTTTGTTTGCTGGATCTACAAGTCAAATCTCTAATTTGTGCTAATCTTAAGCCATTTTTCTCGTATTTTGGTTGCAATCCATAAGAACTCAACTAAACTGAGCAATTAAACCGGACAATTGGCTTTTATATCGTTTTCAAGTGTTCATAGAAAAAATTCTCAAAGAAAAACCCAAAAATACGCACAGTGATCTCCTAAAGTGAACAAAATCGGGAATCAGGAAAACAAGTAACAAGTTTGTAGAATTTGTTGTAAAAGCAATTGTAAAAGCAATTGTAAAAGCAATTGTATTGGGTTGGGGAGAATGAGACGGCGCGAAACACTTTAAAGGGACTTTTTGCACACATAAAGCCTTCTTTAAACATACGTTTGGTTTGATCAAAAGGATCCACTATTTCTCTACAAAATCACTTTTGAGAGATTCCACAAAGCTTTTCTTTCGTGGCGTTTATGAACTTCGAAACGCAGCTGCTTAAAATGGCAAAGAGTCCGACTCATCATTTGAACAGTTTCTTTCACATAAACCTTCTTTGGTGTTTATATAAAAAAGATAGAGCACATTCAATTACTTAAGTTGCGAAATTTGCAGGAAGATCCCACCAATGGTTTTTTCTAGATCACAGTTTGTAGTTTTTGTGAAAAAATGGCTTTTTCTTGAGCGGAGGCGCTGTTTAAATTTTCTTTTAAATGTGATTTTGTAGAGAATTAGTTAACCATTCTACTCATATCAAACGCATATTATTTGACGAAGTCGAATAGAAGCTTTACACATTTTTTTCATTTTCGGCGCCGACTCATTCTCCCCAACCCAATAAAAGCAATTGTAAAAGAAATTGTTAAAGTAAAAGCAAATTTTATAAAGCAGACTCTATAAAGTAGACTCTATAAAATTAAAGAAAACATTTAAAATTCGATTTCTAAAAAGGGAATTCGAATTATAAGCTTTTCAAAAGCTCAAATATCGTACTTAGAAAGAAAGTAAAGAAATTTTTAGCTGAAATCTTCAAACTCAAGGGATTTTTGGCTAAAATTATTCTTGATTTTGAAGAATTGAAGAAGAATTGAAGAAGATGAAATTATGCATTTTTTTTTGTAATTAAAAACATTTTACTTTAGTCTGGGATTATTTTTTTGAAACGTCATAGTTTAGGAAAGCTTTTTATTGTATTTTTAGATAGAAAATTGAATGTTTTATTCATTATAATCAATTATAGCTAATTTAAGATTCCTTTGACAAGATTCGATTCACGTTGTGCACATTCGAGCGTTGTGTTTCGCCGAAAATGAGTCTGATCACCTCGCGACGCATCGATTTGTTGATTACCATGTAGAAAATTGCCATTGAACCTGGAGAATTGTAGAGTTAGAGTAGAGAAGTTTGTCACATCTTTATTCAATCATTCTCAAGCCTTTCAGGAAAGTTATCCAGCTGTAGAAAAGTTGGATTCGATTGCTTTGAGCAATTCGATTCGATAAGTTTGTTGTCACATCTTTATAAAACCAATTTCAAATTGCATCAATTGCTTTTGTTTTTGAATGCTAATTGCAAGAGTTCATTGCATAGATTCGATAAGAAATTGTGAATTTTATCAATTAGATGTCATTTAGATGCACTTTGTATCAAAAAACTGGAAACAAATACTATCTAGTGCACCCCCGGCTCTTCATTTTCTTCATTTTCTTCGATTGTCAAATTGTTGTTAGACAAAAATGAAGAAAAGTACAATTTTAACTTTACCATTTGAGAATTTGAGAAAGAAAAGCTACCAAAACTGCCATACCAATTGGATTAAAATAACGATAGAACCAGATTACGGTATTGTTAGTTTGTAACTTCTTTTTTAAACCATTCTCAAACGTTTCAGGAAAGTTATCATCATTCAGCTGTAGAAAAGTTCAATTCGATTGCTTTGAACAATTAGATTCTCCTAAGCACACTTCAAAAGCCTTATTCAAGATTATTATTGACTCTTCAGAGATTACGGTAATTGTAGGCTCTTTTCTAAAAGATAGAAAGCTACCAAAGCTATATAGCTAATTGGATTACGATAACGATAGAGGGGTATTGTTAAAATTACCATTTGAGAATTGCCAGGAAAGATTTGTAACAGTGTACATGAATTGTGGGAGTTCGATGAATTGCATTCCGACATAAAAAACACCAGTGATCAGAACAGTCGTGCAAATCCCAAAACATTGAAGAGAGATCTGAGAATGAGGAAGCTTCAATAGATCTAACCATTGCTTACAATTTTCTGCAAATTATTTGCATATGTATTCATTTTTCGATTCATTCTCCACATGAAAAAGAGCATAAAGAGATTTAAGATGAAGATACTGATTGCAACACCGACATTGTTGATAAAGAAAATGATTGGCGTCTGAAAAAGTTGAATGTTGACAGATCAATCTTATACACTTCAACGGATCTTTGATCTGCTACGAATCTGGTACTAACTGTAGTCTACTGATAGCGACATTGTTCACGAAGAAGAGGATCGGAGTCTGGAAGTGTATTGCTGGAAGTGATTGTGTGTATTGCTCTGTGTAACCCAGGTCTAAATTCAGTACCAGATTTAGGTTTAGATCCAGGTTCAGGTCCAAATTCAGTCTCGATCTAGGTCCAAGGCCAGGTTCAGGTTCAGGTCCAGGTTCAGTCCCAGGTATAGCTTCAAATCCAGTAACAGTACCAGGACCAGGTCCAGGTTTTGATTCAAGTTCAAATCTAGATCCAAATTCGAAACCAGGTCCAGATTCAGGTACAAGTGCAGGCATAGTATGAATTTTCAGTCTAGATTTAGGTTCAGGTTCAGGTTTAGGTACAAGTTCAATCTAAGAGCCTTTCCCCTTCTGACAACCAACTTCTGACAAAACAGGTACAGCAGCGAAGTAATAGCTGGCGGTTGGTGTGTGGAAGACGAGTGGTGGATAGGTGAAATAGATAGTGATCCCGTAGATGAATGGAGGAATCATCCAGAAGATTAGACGTTTCCCGCCGAAGAGCTCCTGCAAGCGGGTTGGATTGGAAACGAAGCCTTTCTAGTGCACTTGACTTGTTGAGCACTTGTTCACTAGACTAGATCTAGACCATGGTCAAGTCCAGATCAGAAGCTGGGTACTGGTTTGGGTTTCTGACTCTGGTCTTGGCTTGTCTAGCCTGGCTTGGTCCTGGTCGTAGAACCCAGAAACTCTTGATCAGCAAAACTAGTATAAAACTAATCTTGAGCCCAATATTACGTTTAAATATCGTACTTACATCCTGATATTTCGGGCTGATGAAATCAACACAACGATTCAAAGCCAAAACAATGCTTAGCGCTGAATAGGTGCTCCAGAGGGCTAAAGTATATTAAAAAATTACGGTAGGTTTTTAAAAAACTTACGAAAACACCCAGATCCAATGTACAAATTGAGTAGTGGACTTTTACAGAAAGAGTAACCGTTGATGAGGAGATAGCCTGAAAGGGAAAGATCGTGAAATGGATACGGTAAAGCTTAGCATACAATAAAGCACAGTAAAAGCTCGGTTTTTGTAATGTTTAAATGCCTCACCTGGTAGTAAAGAGTTTGGTGACATGCTCAAAATATCGACGATACCGATGACAAAACTGGAAATCAGTAAAGTTGATGATTTTGAGCTTGTTTAAGTTTTCCTTGAGTTGGGTTTTTTGCCCCGTTTAATTACCCAAGTCGATCAACCTCGTATCCGAAAAGATGCGCTAGATGCCGCTTTTTCTTACGAGCAACATCTAGAGTGTGAACAAACTTGGGTAATTGAACCGGCTCAGAGGCTTTTCCGGTCACCTGTATCTAGGCAGTGTGCCAGATGCTGCTTTTTCTTACGAGCAACATCTAGAGTGTGAACAAACTTGGGTAATTAAACCGGCTCAGAGGCTTTTCCGGTCACCTGTATCCAGGCAGTGTGCCAGATGCCGCTTTTTCTTACGAGCAACATCTAGAGTGTGAACAAACTTGGGTAATTAAACCGGCTCAGAGGCTTTTCCGGTCACCTGTATCTAGGCAGTGTGCCAGATGCTGCTTTTTCTTACGAGTGACTTCAAAGGTACGCAGAGAACTTGGGTATTTAATTTCTTATATAGAGCTTTACTTACAGTATCCTATAGCAGATAATCTTCATAAATTTCTGTTGAGCCATTGCTACAAGGCAGAGAAGATATAAAATGACGAATGATGTGCCAATGATCAAGTAAATGATGCCTGGGATTGATTGCCGATTTATTAGAATCAATTTCTACCTTGTAACAGAATTCTTTCTGACTTCTCAAATGCTTCATAGTCAGCGCATTGTTCATCCAAAGCTTTGACGAAATTCGGCTTGAAGAAAGCATAGATCTAGAGTTTTTTGAGTCCTACCAGAAGTTACAGCTAATTTACAGTAAACCTTTACTCACTAAAACTCTCGTAAGCCGTTAGGCTGAAGATCATCTAGAGCTTTAACGAGACAAACACCAAATTTAGTGGTTCTTCGCCTAGCCTCTTTGCCTAGCTTCTTTGTCTAGCTTTCTACAGTAACCCTAAGTTACAGTAACCCTCTGAAATCCCAAAATCGATTGAGTATTTACAAAGTCTTTAGCCAACTAAATATAAGTTACAGTAACCTTTAGAAAAAGTATAGCTCACTATGCAGAAGCTAAAAGTACCCAAAAGCTCAGCTCAAAATCGATCAAATATCCCAAGCCTAAGCTTATCATAGAGCACCGTGAAAAACTCGATTTTCAAACAAACATTCAGCGCCAGCGAGTCGTTGAAGAAGCGATATTTGCTCATCTCATTCACAAAAATGAATCAAGATCGAATAAAGATTAAGAAGAAAGAATTTGTTTTTTTTTTTTTAAAAAGAAACTAAAATAATTATGTGAAATTTCTCAGAGATGACTCAAAAATGCAAGGAAATGCAAATTTTCGAAAAAACAAAAGAGAGCAATTTGGATACAAAACTTGTGAGAGGATTTGTTGAGGAGAGAGGGGATTTCCGGGATATTATTTAATCTTGTAACTTGTGTGAGAATTCTTTGCTCAGAAAGGAATAATGGAATGATCAGCTAACAGAAATTCTTGGTTAGAGATTATTGTGGGATTTTGTGAGTCGGGGGATTGTTGCAAAAAGAATAGCAAGAGATTTGCAAAAAGATACCGTAAAATCCTTTAAAAAGCATAAAAAATGCTTATTATTTTGAATGTAGAATAAAATCTGAAAAAAAGTATACAAATCAAACTTTTAAATTTTTTTTTTAAAAGCCGTTTTTGACTAAAATTTATTTAAATAACATACTTTTAATAAAATAATAGAAAAAACAAAACAATTTCTTTAAAAAATAAGATATTATTCTTTATCAAACATTGAAATGCTATTTCCAACATCATTCTCGATTGCTAATCCGATTTGCGTATCCAATCGTTTCGATTTTGAAAGACACATTGTAAGACTTCAACTACCAGATCGCTTTATTTGATCCTTTGTTAAATGTCATCAATTTGTTTTCCTGTGATCAACCAATTGACTGATCAAAACTAATTGACTACTCCACCAATCAACCAATTTGTTTTCTTGCGATCTCATTCACGAATTCGTCGTTCATCAACTCCAAAATGACATCCTGCCTCCCGATTGCTAATCCGTATCCAATCGTTTCGATTTTAAAAGACATTTTAAGACTACACATCGTAAGAATTCAACTTTTGCTTTAAAGCTTGCTTTCCCATCGCAAACATCACCTAAAATCAAAAAGTTAGTAAATGCTGATAGAAAAACATTAAACATAAAAACAACAACATTATTAAAGCACATAAACAATTCAAACTACTAAAAATGCAAAGAAAACCCTCGATTCTTTGTGTTTACATAGTAGTAAGTCATCAACAAAACAATTTCTTTGCTTAGCTTTAAAAAATAAGATATTATTTTTTATAAAACATTTAAATGCATTCATTCTCAACATCATTTAATAATCAAATTGATCATTTCAATGAACAAATTGATTAGGTTTCTTTATCGTTTAAGACATCATTGCTTACGAGCGAGCCATCAGTGGCATAAACCAAATCCAAATTGTTGACATTCAAATCTAAATCCACGTCTACTTCTTTCATCAACTTGATCAAAGTATTGTCGATTCTTGGTTGGAAAAGCTGAGCAAAGTGAACGTTCACTACCAGATGGCTTCTTTGATCCAGATTCTTTTTGTTAAATGTCACCAATTTCCTGCGATCAATCAATTGACTACTCCACCAATCAATCAATTTGTTTTCCAGCGATCCTCATTCACGAATTTGTCGTTCATCAACCCCAAAATGACATCCGACCTCTCGATTGCTAATCCGTATCCAGTCGTTTCTATTTTGAAAGACATTATAAGACTACACATTGTAAGAATTCAACTTTTGCGTTAAATAGCTTGTTTTGCTAAATTTGTTTGTTAAATAGCTTCATTTGTCATTTGTGCTTTGTAATTGTCAACTTTGAAAGCTTCTATCTCAAAAATGGCTTATGATAAAGAGAATTTGAAAGGAGTTTTCAAATGCTCATAACCAAGGGATTCTTTGCAGAATCATTTCACTCTTGAAATCAAACTTTCAAAAGAGTTTCCTTTGTTCGATCAAATCAGAATTTCATTTGGCTATGGATCTTCATCCAGTAATACCGCTACTTGTGTAATTAAACCGAAAAAAAAAAACTTAATTAAGCCTTCATTATAAAGATTTATTTTAAAGTGTCTCTATCGCGATTCGAAAAAAGTTCTCCACAAAAGCTCTTGAACCAAGGAAATCTTTTGGTTTAATTGGTAAATTTGAAAGTTATTTAGCACATTCTCACCTCAATATACTTTACTTCTGTAAAACTAAAGCTTTTTTTCTGTCTTGATCTTGAAAATCTTTAAAAATAGACCAAGAAATGAAAGTTTATCGTTAAAATTGTTAAAATAGTTAAAATAGTTAAAATTTCTTAAAAATAAACATTTATTGAATCTTTTGAATTATTCATTCGTAGGATATGGATTAGAATTTGGGTTAAGTTAAAAAGAGTTGATCCCTTTTGATATCCTTTCTAACACCCCGACATCTCTAACACCCCGACAATCCAACTCAACTCCTCCAACGTATCAAAGTCCCTGTGAAATTGGCAGATCTAAACTGCAGTTGAATAGACCCGGAAGATATGTATCTTTATTTACAGTAGTACAAGATGAGTAGCTTAGAAATGAGGAAAGGGGGACTTCAAGTGAGAGCCTCACTTCTCCTCCTAGGCAATCCTGGGCATCTCGGCAATCCTGGGCAATCCTGGGCATCTCGGCAATCCTAGGCAATCCTGGGCATCTCGGCAATCCTGGGCAATCCTGGGCATCTCGGCAATCCTAGGCAATCCTGGGCATCTCGGCAATCCTGGGCAATCCTGGGCATCTCGGCAATCCTAGGCAATCCTGGGCATCTCGGCAATCCTGGGCAATCCTGGGCATCTCGGCAATCCTAGGCAATCCTGGGCATCTCGGCAATCCTGGGCAATCCTGGGCATCCTGGGCATCTGAAAGGGATAAGCACAGGGGAGAACAAATTTATTTTATTTTCTCCCCTGTGCTTATCCCTTTCATCGACATAAGATTAGACAAATCATTCAATAATAATAGTAACTAAAGTATGAGTTTGGCTCGGAGTTGACACTAATAATAGGCTTTTCGAAATAATCTCTAGATGAGACAATTTGCTTTCATTTCTTATGAAAAGTTTGACTATTCTGTTCACTTATTTATTCTATCGAATTCGATCATTCAATTCATTTGCAATCATTTGCAATCATTCATTCAATTTATTTACATAAGATTAGACAAATCATTCAATAATAATCGTAACTAAAATATCAATTTAGCTCGGAGCTGACAGAATGGAAATATAAGTAATTTCTGGATTTTTCCAAAAGATTAGCTAAAAATTAATGAGATTAATGATTATTATAAGATTATTTAACAGAAAAGAGTTTAAAGATTTTAAATCCTTTGAAAGAACTCGTTTTCAGGGATCATTAGACAAAAATGGGCAAAGATCTCGGGTTTTTCAATGTTTTTTTTTTTTGGGAAATTACTGATTTGAATGATTCCTTTTAGATAGAATTTGAAAAGATTTGAAAAACAATTTTTAAAAATAGTATAAGAATTGAAAAGAATTGAAAAGAACTGAAAAGAATTTGAAATTTTTTTGATTTCTTTGCATTTTGCACTTTTGGGAAATAGATTTTAGAAGAAAAATGATAAAATTAAAATAAAATATCGTAGAATTTTACAAAAATAGTTGCATTTTCAAGATTTTATACCTTTATTGAGTTTTTGTTTTTTGTTTTCCTTTAGATGTGGAAGTGTCTTTGTTTCATGGAAAGCTATAAATAGGAACGTAGCTGAGTGACGATAGCATATGGATTACGGATTGATGGACCAGGTCAAATGGAATACAGATTGACGGACCAGTTGAAATGGATTACGGATTGATGGACCAGGTCAAATGGATTACGGATTGATGACAGAGGATTGACGACAGAACTTTCTTGCAGAAAAGTCGACTAGGACTGTGGTTTTTCCATTTCAAACACTATATAAAAGAAGATTTGAATGTACTGTGCACAAAGCAAATGTACAAATGTACAAAACACACAGAGTTAATCTATAAACTATAAACAGTCCTGTAGAAATTTCATAGGCGTTTTTTATTTGAAACATTTGATCTCTAAAAGGCAACAGATAACAAATAATGCCATTTTTCCATAAAGCCTAGAAATTCTGAGAAACTAGAAACTCCTAGCTACTAGAAATCCCCAGAAAAACTACCAGAAGTCACTAGAAATTCTGAGAAACGAGCTGAATGGACTTTTTTTGAACACTCTGTAGATTCTCTCATCTCTTCTCAAAACGACAGAACTTTCTTGCAGAAAAGTCGACTAGAACTGATGTGTTTCCATTTCACACAGGATGTAAAAGAAGATTTGAATGCACTATGCACAAAAAACACACTGATTCTTCCACGTTTCTTTCATCAATTATCAAGATTACAAGATTTTTGGCTACTCAATTAAAGTCTAAAGATAAAATCTTGTTCATTTCATCGTTAATAAACTCAAATCATTACCCCAAAGGATTTCAGTGTCCTAGAATGAGCTTTTTTTTAGCAATTTTCAGCAATTTTTAGCTATTTCTTCACACAACTCACATCTTGCAGCATTGCAGCAAAGGAAGTAAAGAACACTAAAAAAGCAAGATTTCTAGCTTCACAAACCGTTCTGACTATTTTATATTAAAAATTCATATTCTTAAGTTATTTTTAAACAATCGGCAACACTAAAAATCATATAAAAATATTTTAAAAAATCAAAAAAATCAAAATTTCTTTATGAAAAAGCGAAAATTCTTTTCTTATTCTTTAATTTTATCGATTCTTTGTTCAATAAAAAGCAAAATTTACTTAAAAATAACAAAAATTGAAGCAAGAATTGAAAATACATTTAAAATACATTTAGAAAACATTTAAAAATCAATATTCTAACGAAAGAATTGTTTTTGTTTTTTTTTGCTCTTTGATTTACGAGAATTTTCTTTTGATTCAATTTTCTGCGCTAACTAATTTTATTTGATTGTAATGAGAATCAAAGAAATTTGAAAGAAAACAAAAGAAATTACGTGTAAAATAAGGAAAAAAACCCCTGAGAAATTGAAAATTTCGAGAATTTTTCTTTGATTCTTTATATAAATACTTTATTTATTAGGTTGTGGAAAAAGTAATGTCGGTTTTTTTTTTCACAAAACTGTTTATTGCTAAAAACATAAACAAACGCACATCAATCAATGAGATATTCTCGATTATTATTGATGACTTGTTCCCATCTTTGTCGCATCTTTGTCCCTGATCCTCATCCTCAGAAAAATGGGGAGTTTTCGAGCCAAAATAAGTGTCGACTGCTTTTTTTTTGATCTGTGCATGATTCTCGAACTTTTCTCCCATAAGAAAACTCTTCCAGGACCGAAACAAAAATTAATCTGATGGGGTCAGGTGCGGACTATAAGGTGCGTGGCGCTGTAAGGTGCGTGGGGCTTTTTTTCTGTCTGTAATGATAGACGTAGCTGAGTGATGATAGCATATGGATTACGAATTGATTTTTGGTAAACTATTTTCAAAATCTTTCCATATCTTTCCATTGTCATAGAATCCAGCCAGAGAATTTGAGAAATTAGAAGAAATAGACTCAAGTTTACGAGATTTTTCGAAAAGGAATACTTTTTAGAAAACTTTTATCAAGAAACTTCTGATTGTGGCTGGTTTTAGAATCAAATCGTCACTGTTAGTGATCTTGCAAGCTTCTTCACAACGTTTTCTCTTGATTCTCTTGGTTCTCTTGCTCTTGGTGTTATTGGTGGAAATTCTGTGCTAAAGCCCTAAAGCACAAGCACTCCATCGAGTATCAAGTAATTTGATAAAGCTAGATAGCTAGAAAGCTAGATAAAACTTGATAAAGCTTGATAAGACTTGATAAAACTGTTCTAGAAACATTTTGAACAATAACATCATTGAAAAAGGCCTTTTTTAATAATGAGCTTGTTTTTGAGAAGGAAGAACATTTTACTTTTTAACACAAATTACAACTCTTTCCACAATACAGTTTCCGTTGATCCAATGTGTAGTTGGGTGATGTGCAGAAACCGTTCTTTATCCACGTTGAACAACTGAAAGTTGGCAATAGAAAGAAAAGTGAAGTCCGAGCCTCTGCAACGACCCTAGTCTGATCTCTGAACTGATTAACAAAAAAATAAACAAGCTAGCCTAGTCTTCTGGCCAAATTTCACTTCTAAACAGCTTTTAGTCTAGTTAAACTAGTTCTAGATCTAGTTAAACTAGTTCTAGATCTAGTTAAACTAGTTCTAGATCTAGTTAAACTAGTTCTAGATGTGGTTAAACTAGTTCTAGATCTAGTTAAACTTACAAGTTCGAAATTCCGTTTAGACATTTGACAACTGAATTTTTTCCTTTCTGATACTAATACTGATACTTTTGGTATACTTTAAGCAAACTTTAAGCTTAAACAAATGTTACTTTCAGTCTTGAACTGAACTGAACTCTTGATCTAATGTTTAACATTTCATAAATATTCACCTTGCACCAGCATCTCCGCAAATCAATGGTCCATTCGGTGTACCCGTGTTAGTGCCCGATTGGATACTCTTTCCACACAGACTACAGCTTTGCGCACAGAATTGTTGTCGTTGCGCGGGCGTGTAGGCGGGATTTGTGCAAAAGCCGTTGCTCACCCACGTTCGACAACTGAAATTGTTTTTGGGAAATGTAAACAAGATTGGGAGAATATTTGAAAACATTAAACTTCCTGTTGTTTTGTTCTACTTCCTACATTACTTTCTGATTTTTGATCAAAGCCAAGCAAAGAAGCTGGTTTAAAGCTAAGTCCAGACAAGGTGATGATCAAAAAAAAGATCCAAATAGACAAGTCTTGGTAAATTCTAGTCCAAAGCCAAATCCTGTTTAGATTTAGGCTTCTGGCCCAGTTCAGGCTCAGATCAAAAGCTAGATCCTAGCCTTGTCAAGGTTCAAACCAGGTAGGCAATGAATCAAATCCAAGAATAACCAACAATAGTCAGTCTTAAGCAAATCCAGACACTAGAAAGTCTAAATCTTAACCAAATCCAAGTCCTTTCCCTTTGTGAGACACTAAACAAAATGATTTACTTGGCATTCCCATCAACGCACGGGACAGTGATTGGCGGTGGTGTTCGGGGAGTTGTCTAAACATTTAATGAGATTAAGTTGGATCAAGCAGCTTACACGAGCCACAAATCTTACCGTTGTTGGTCGAACTGTTAGAGGACGACGCGTCGTTATTGGGCCGAGACCCTAAAATCTTGATTTAGTGTCTTGATTTAGTAAATCTAGCGTCATAAAATGAGACTTCAAGAAGATTTTGATGAAAAATCTATGAAAGAAATCGAACTCACAAACCCGACAAAACGGTGAGATTCCGGCACAAATGCAACAAAAGCATTGCGGCATTTGTGGGGGTGGATTACTTGGATCGGGGAAGCAGATTGATGGTGGTGTCACCTGTCTGACTCTTCGACTCAACAACTAAATGAACAATTTCATTCATCTATTCAATCAGCAATCGATATTGAGCCAGATAAAGCTTTTGTTGCATTCCACTCAGATCAGAGTTTCGTTTCAGACTTTTTCTCGACAACCAGGGTTGACAAAAGAAAAACCAAGCTAAAGTCAATGACTAATGGCTTGTATTTCAAAAATTATCGTTGAATTTAGCTTTAAATCTAGAAAAATCTTGGTTTTGGCTTGGTTTTGGCTAGAAATTCAGTTGTTTTTACAAGGGTTTCTAGTTTGATTTGACCAAATTTCCATTTGAATATATATGTCGCATCCGCTCGTGATTTTCAGCCGCTAGTGATTGAATCACCATCGGCTAGCCAAAAACATCCTTTTTAAAAAAAAAATTGAAAACAACGCCACTCATTCCATCTTTTAGACACAAATTATTACTTTTTTCGGTGTTTTAATGAGTAATAATTTTTATTTTAAGCAATAGTTGAGTAATAATTTTTGTTTTAAGTAATAGTTGAGTAATAATGTTTATTTTAAATAATAGTTGAGTAATAATGTTTATTTTAAGTAATTGTTGAGTAATAATTTTTGTTTTAAGCTGAGTAATAATTTTTCAATCGTTTCTTTTTTTCGATTTATCTCGTGTATCGTTGCAACTTTTCTAGTTATTTTTTTAGAAATGGAAAGTAATTTTGTCGATCACCTTACGCAAAATCAATCTACGAAGAAATATAATTGGATTCCAGATGCCACAAAACCGGTCGAAATAGTGAAAACGATCAAGCGAATAACCAGTGAAGATACAAAAGGAAAAAGAAATCAATCAATTTGTTGACGCGCTTTACTTTGCAAAAGGAGAACGATCTGGACATCATCTACAACATTGAAAGAAGAGAAATGAAACGAGGGATCATCAAGGAAAATCTCTTTGAACTGTTGATGAAAACACACAAGGATCATAGACACGCTGGAAGGGACATAACGTGGAAAGCACTAAGGAAATATCATGGAATATCGAAGGATATCATCGAGATTTTTGTCAAACTCTGTTCTGAATGTGAATTGAAGAAAGGCACGCCGAAAAAAGGAGTCGTTGTCAGAGCCAATCATCACCAAACAACAAAACGAGTGGACCCAAGTGGATCTGATCGATTTGCAATCAGTACCAGATGAGGATTTCAATGGTATATCAAAATTTAATGGTATATCAGAATCATCTGACAAGGTTTTGTTTTGTGTTCTTCGAGCATTGAGGTCGAAGAACCGCATTTGAGGTTGTTGACCACTTAATGGAAATCTTTGGGACATTCGGAGCACCGCAAATTTTACAATCCGACAATGGGCGCGAGTTTGCAAACAAAATGGTAAACAATTTTACTTAATTTGTAAATAATTTTTCTATTTTAGGCTAAAGAATTAGTAAATCGCTGACCGAGCTGCCGAATCGTACATGGTCGCCCTCGACACTCGCAAAACCTCGCAAAGCCAAGGATCAGTTGAAGATGCAATCAAGACATCGAAGTAAGTTGATTTTATTATTCCAATTTTAACTTTCTTAAAAAACGTGTTAATTTTTATTGTTTAGCGTATCCTCTGTACACAGTTGCGAGAAGAAAAATCGACAAAATGGGCTCGACTTCTTCCAATTGTTCAATCAATGAAAAACCGACGTTATCATCGAGGTATTGGACGTTTCCATTTGTACAAAGTGTACAAATGGATGCGTACAAATGGATGCGTGGTCGATGTGTATGCCTCAAGTCGACTAGCCGATGGTGATTCAATCACGATAGACTAGCCGATGGTGATTCAATCACGATCGACTAGCCAATGCTGATTCAATCACTAGCGACTGTAAATCACGAGCGGCTGCGACATATAAATCTAATCAAATCATTTGGCAATGTTTGACACGTTAACCACTTTCCATTGCATCAAAAGTGGCAAATTTTCAGCTCAAAAATCTTGACTACAAAGTGAAGCTTTTGAAACGAAATTGTGCATTGAAAATCTTCTTTTACAAATGATCAAATTCAATATGAATTCAACTTGATCCCTAAACAACAAACCGCTTCTTCACTCGTCACCCAAACAAAGCCATTGATTAGAATTGTTAGGAAAAAAATGAAATTTTCCATTCTAGCAAATTGCTTTGATGTTTACTGAATAATTCGGGTAGGGTCAGTCGTCATGAACCGGCATCGATTCCGCCCAAACCCATCACTATTTACTCAGCTTTTTCCCCCAATCATTGGCTTGCATTTTTTTGAATGATTCACGAATTTGGATAAAAATCATGTAAATCGGTTTCTAAAATAAGATATTTGGCAGAAAAAAGAGTGTGGTTGACGGGTTTTTATTGAATTTCTGAAGGAATGCTCAAATTGAAAGACAAATTAGATTGGGCTTTGGCTTAGGCTTAGGCTTAAGCTTTGGCTTTGGCTTTGGCTTAGGCTTAGGCTTTGGCTTTGGCTTTGGCTTTGGCTTAGGCTTTGGCTTTGGCTTAGGCTTTGGCTTTGGCTTAGGCTTAGGCTTAGGCTTTGGCTTAGGCTTAGGCTTTGGCTTTGGCTTTGGCTTTGGCTTAGGCTTTGGCTTAGGCTTTGGCTTTGGCTTAGGCTTAGGCTTAAGCTTTGGCTTTGGCTTTGGCTTAGGCTTTGGCTTTGGCTTAGGCTTAGGCTTAGGCTTTGGTCCGTCCACAGTCCGATATAGACTGTAATCTAAATCGGACGTCCGCGATAAGTTCAATCTAAATCGGACACAACTATATATATATATATAATTCTAATCGTTTTTTTTCTCTTGAACAAACAAATCGTACATTTCTCTCTTTGGAAATGCCATTCGATAAACTTTCGGCGGAAATGTCCCCTTTCCCAATGATTAGATAATTTTGGCAACACCCAGGGAAATGTTTTTCGTTCTATACTTTGTATACTTTCTATTCTTTCATTCTATTTTCAAATTCGATTTTTTTGTGATTAATTTTGATATGTTTAAGTCTATACATCTTGAAATTCCAAAAAAAATTAAAGAATTAAAAATTGTCGCAGAATTTTACAAAAATATTTCGATTTTCTATTCTTTTGAATTTATTTTGAATCTTTCTTTGTGATTACAAAAGCTATAGGTTCAGGAAAGTATTTAAAAAAGCTCTCCTAGATGTCCTGGTTAGTAACTAGGCAAGCAGGGCAAGGCAATGGCTTTGGTTGCTTTGGTTTTGGGTTGACGTAGGGTTGGCCTTGGGTTGGTACTTGGTTTGGCCTTTGGGACGTAGGGTTGGCCTTTCTTTACCCCTTGACTTTGCCTTTGCTCATAATAGAAGCCTTAATAGAATAGATTAGATAATAGAATTATCTAATCAATCCAATGATTAGATAATTCTGGCAATACTCAGGGAAAAGTTTTTCATTCTATACAAGCTTTTCATATTAGATCTTTCTTGCAATATTAAATATTAAATATTTCAGAGCAATGATCCGTTTGATTTTTCTCAGCTCGATATGGATGATTTCACTTAAAGCTGGACTTTTTGTGCAGGTAGAATTAAACAGAGTTCTTGATTTGAGCAATTATTTGAGTTTTGCTTCCCTTTAATCTCTCCTTATCTATTACAAAGAGAGCTTTCACTTTTTCTTATATTTACTTACCAGGTTTTCTTTCTTTCTTTCTTTCTTTCTTTTCTTTCTTTCTTACTTACCAAGTGCCTTAGACGGTGTCCGATTACGTGAAAATGGAAATTTTTGTAAGAAGTAATCCGTTCTCTAAAAACTGAACGATTTGAAAAGCTTTCTCAGCTTCTTCAGCTTCTCCAGCTTCTCCAGCTTCTCCAGCTTCTCCAGCTTCTTCAGCTTCTCCAGCTTCCTCAGCTTCTTCAGCTTCTTCAGCTTCTTCAGCTTCTTCTGCTTCTACCGTTTTGGACAAAAGCTAAATCTAAATGGCATTAGTTTTATGAGTAACTTTAACTTCGAAGCAACTTCCAACCCAATACAAGACTCTAAAAACCTTGGGTAGCCAAGTTAAACCAAAACCAGACTGATTCGACTCTTTATCTTCAATTTTAGAAAAACGATTATCGCTCTTACGAGGATTTAAGCGGTTTGTGGACATTTGTTCGAGAGGAGAGTAATGGAGGGGATGCAGGGATACGGAAACGATATTATGAGCAGGATTTATCAAAGCATCAAGTATTCTATTCAATTTCTAACTTCTACGAACAATTCTTAGACTTTATAAGTTTACAGAACGCTTCGGTGATGCCTGTGCCTTGTGCATTTAACGATATGAGCACCGAAGCTGCTTTACGAGATCATGTTGGATGGGTTTGGTACCAGAAAAAGGAGTTTATTTCAATGGTAAGGAAAGAGAAAACTTGTTTCTAAAAAGAAAAACGAATTGTGTTATTAGAGCTTTAAAACTAGCAGCTTTAAAACTAGGCTCGTTGTGAAAAAGACAATTTAATCAAATTTTTAGAGAGATAAAGGACAGCTCCTTTTCTTGCGATTTGAGTCGGCTCAATACTATGCAATTGTGGCAAGTTTTTGAATAAACTATGGTTTAAACAGCTTAAACAAATAGATAAATAATATTTTTAGTATTTCAATGCAAAAGAAATTGGACAACATATAGGTGGACATCTACCATTCTCGTTCGACGTTACTCAACATGTCAGTGATCAATTTCTTCTTAGCCTAAGCATTTAAACTATTGTTTTTCTTGATTTAAAGCTTTAGATGATAGATCTAGAGTTTAGTTTCAGTTGAATATTGTGAATTCCAATCAATCAAAGCTCAGCTTTGTTTTACAGGTTCGTTTCGGCGCCGAGAATGTGATCACTGTAGCTGTGAATAACACTCTTTCTTGGTCAACAATCCCACAAGCTGATTTCGTCTACAAAGCTAGCAGTCAAATACTTGATAATGGAACAATTCCCACGAATATTAGACCGGTAAAAGATCAATCAAATGAATCTAATGAATCTAATCAATCAATCAAATCAATCAAATCAATCAAATCAATCAATCAAAACAATCAATTAAATCAATCAAACAAATGAATCAAATGAATCAAATGAATCAATCAAATGAATCAAATCAATCAAATGAATCAAATGAATCAATCAAATGAATCAATCAAATGAATCAATCATAACAATCAATCATAACAATCAAATGAATCAATCAAATAAATCAATCAAATCAATCAAATCAATCAATCATAACAATCAATCATAACAATCAATCAAAACAATCAAATGAATCAATCAAATTCCTCTTCTCTAGACAATTCCTCAATATCAGCCTGGTTTCTTCGAGATGACTGTCAATTTCGATTTCTTTAACTACGCCGGATTGCTAAGGACAGTTTATTTAGAGAAAAAGCCAATCACTTACATTGAAGATATCACTATTGTCGCTAATCATATAGGTTTGTTGAGAGATTCTTTGTAGTTCTCTGTAGTTCTCTCAGACTAATTCATTCATCAAGCTCAGTTCTCTGATAGGTCTCTAGCTGCAATGCTAGATTTGTTTAGAATCAAGTAGTGTATAGATGAATGAAAAATTTCTAGATTCTTAATGCTCAACTATAGGGTCACTCTTTTGGAAGATCAAGTTAAACGAAGAATCGGATGCGAATGAAGTGGATGTTGAGATTCGTGTCCTTGATGGAAATGAAGAGATCTATTTCGCTAAAGGGGTTACAGGTTTGAAAATTGAGATCAATTGGCACAATTTGATTCGACATTTTGCACAATTTAAAGAAAAAAAGGGCTAAATTCAAGGCAAGAATTGATCCCAAAGTTTTAGCATCGCTTTAAGCACAGTTAAATACTTCAGAAACTTTTATATACATTATTTACTTACGAAAAACGAATCGAATCGAATTGTACAGTTAGAAATTGATTCCTTAACTTTACTTTTAGGTAGTGGTAATGTAATGGACGTGAAGCCGTGGTGGCCGAGAGGGATGGGTGATCCAAATCTTTACACGATGAGGGTTTGTTAGCGAGTAGTTTGCCTCGAGATTAGCCTTGAGATTAGCCTCGAGATTAGCCTTGAGATTAGCCTTGAGATTAGCCTCGAGAACTCTATTCAACTAAAGCTAAGATGCAAGCCTTGTCCACTAATTTCAATCCTCAGAAGTTGATGATCTAGTTTAGGTAATCCTTCGTTCATCCACTGACCAAATCCTTGACTCCTACGATGAGCAATTCGGCTTTCGATCAATCACCTTTGACAAAGACAAAGTTTAATTGATTTGTGATAAAGATTGAAATCATTTAGATCTACATCAACAAGAAGCCTTTCTATTGTCTTGGATTTGGGATGCATGAGGATTTTGATGTGGGAAATGAATTACCGTATTTTCTGGAATAGTAGCGAAGTCTGTAATAGTAGTGCAGGCTGCAATAGTAATGCAGGCTGTAATACTAGTGCAGGCTGCAATAGTAGTCTGCAGTAGTGCAGTCTGTAATAGTAGTGCAGTCTGCAATAGTAGTGCAGGCCGGAGGGCAGTTGAAAAAATAGTCGTGCGCACTACTATTACAGAAAAGACGGCATTCAATCAGTTCAACTATTTCAGGTTCATGGTCGAGGCTATAATCAAGCCGTGATGACAAAGGATTTGAATCTTTTTGAGTGGATGGGAGGTGGACTTTGAATTTTTGAATACGATTTTTACAGTAAATAGCATGGCTAAACTAATTTTTGTATGGATTAGAGCAATTGGGAATAGATATTAGGGGTAAATAAGCAGCTGACTATAAGTCTGACTACAAGTTAAAGCAATTAAACAAGTTTCTGTTGTTATGTGCTTTAGAATAAGATCTAGCCTGAAAGGATTAAGGATTGTTAAATCTAATAACTATTTTGCTATTAAAGCTATTTTGATATTAAAGCTATTTTGGTCCTCGTCGAAGATTCGGTTCTTCTTGAAGATTTGGTTCTTCTCGAAGATACGGTTCTTTTAAATAGCATTAAATAGAGATTGGATTGAATTGGATTGAATTGGCTTTGGGGGATTTGTTTATGATTGATTTATTTGGGGATTTGCTTTAGGATTTGCTTTAGGGATTTGTTTATTTAGACAAGACTTGAATTTTCTAAAAGAATCCTTTCTTTTCTTCAGCCAATTGCTACCGTACCTCTCACTATCCATACGCACAGGAGCGAATTCGAGAGAGTGATCGTCGCGGGATCGCTGTCATTTTGGAGACACCGGCTGTTGGTTTAAAGTGAGTTTGAGAAGAGATTCGAAAGGCTTAAAGAAAGGCTTAAAGAAAGAAAAAGGTGTATAGAATTGAAATAATCAAGTATTTGCACAGGGTTTTCACAAATTTCAACCTCAAACTGCATCAACAGATCGTCACCGAGATGATCGAGAGAGACAAAAATCATCCATCGGTGATTTTCTTAAGTTAAAAATTGAGTTAATTAAATGGGAAACTAATGAATGTAATGGAAAATTGTTTAAATAATTTAACTATAGATTATGAATTAATTTAACTATAGATTCTTTGTAACTTTTGTAGACGAAATCAGCTTGTGGGATTGTTGACCAAGACCAAGAAAGAGTGTTATTCACAGCTACTATTTCTAGGTGATCATGTGGAGTATCTCGAACGAGCCACATACAGAGAAAGATGAAGCCAGAGAGTATTTCAGGTTAATAGAAATAGAGAAATAGAAATAGACAAATCTATCTAATAGAATCGACCTAATAGAAGATTTAAATAGTTTAATTTAAAGTTTTTCAGATCACTAATCGATCTAGCTCATAAAATTGATGCAACTCGGCCGGTCACTGTTGTTTACGGGCCATCATGGTGGAGTAATGATAAAACGGTGAATGAAACTCAAGAGCTCAAACTCAAGAAGCTAACAAAATCCACAATAACAATCAATTTGCAGGCAGATCTTCTTGACATCGTTTGCGTCAATCGTTACTATGGATGGTACGATGATATGGGCTATTTGGATACGATAAATCAGTAAGAAATCATTCAATCAAGGATAAGCTCAAGAATCAGTAACCAGTAACCAGTAACCAGTAACCAGTAACCAATCCGCAACCAGTCACCAGCAACCAGCAACCAGTAATCAGTAATCAGTAACCAGTAACCAGTAACCAGTAATCAGTAACCAGTAACCAGTCCAGCAACCAGCAACCAGTACTCAGTAACCAGTAACCAGTAACCAGTAATCAGTAATCAAATAAGTTCATTTTCTCAATAATCTTCTCATTTTGCAGATCGGTTATCTGGGACTACACGAATTGGAGAGAGAAATTCGGGAAACCGATTCTCGTCACCGAATATGGAGCCGACAGTATTGTTGGACTGAATCAGGTACAAAAGGCAATGCTGAGGGCAACTAAGAAGGCAACTAGTTCCAGATAACAACTCTACTAAAACCTAGATTGCAGGTTTCCCATCAGTCGATTTTAGTTCCCATCAGTCGACTTCTCCGAGCAATACCAGAATGATCTGGTGAAAGAGACGCATAAAGCTTTTGATTACTTGAGAGCCAACAATGTAATCACTGGGGAGATGATCTGGAACTTCGCTGATTTCATGACCTCAATGAGTGAGTTAAGAGTATTCAAAGTTCGTACTCAATTCTTCAGCTGCTCTTCGCGCTGTCGGTAATCATAAAGGTGTTTTCACACGGAATCGACAAGCCAAGATGGCCGCCTATACATTGAGGTTTGACTACAGTACTCTCTTGACTTGACTACAGCAGTCTCTTGACTACAGCAGTCTCTTGATTACTGTAGTCTTGTACTTGTACAATCAGCAGATAAAACTATATCCTGATTTCAATGTAATCTTTCTGTACTCTTCAGAGATCGCTACCTCAAGCTGCTCAAACAGAACTGAACGTTGTTTTCAATAAACTTTTTCTCCCATTCATGCCTTGAAAGATTTTATTCAGCTCAAAAAGAAAAATCACAAGAATACAAGAGAAATCATTTAAGTGAGCGAATTGGCTTGTGTACAGACCCGATGAGATGAGATTGCATCGAATTGAATTGCTTACAAACGGCGGGCGGCACGGCGGGCGGCACGACGAGCGGCCACACGGCGAGCGACCACACGGCGAGCGACCACACGACGAACCGCCTTGCGAGCGGCGACACGGCGAACCACCTTTCGCACCACTTTACGAGCGGCCACCTTGCGCACCTTGTGACGGAAGACACGGGCGACTTTGCGATGACGGAACACTTTGCGATGACGATGGCGGTAAGAAGATGAAGAAGAGGCCTCAGCTGGGGCTGGGGCAGCAGCTGGCTCATCTCCGTACGAGTTCTGGGCGGCGGGCGCTGGTGCTTCGGGTGCTGGGGGCATGGCTGGAGGCATGGCTGGTGGTGGTGGGGGAGGAGCTGGGGCGGGAGGTGAGAAGCTTGGCGGGGGAGGAGCTGGGGCAGGAGGAGAGAAGCTTGGTGGAGGAGCTTGAGGGGCAGAGTATCCTCCGGCGGCGGGTGGTGGTGGTCCGTAGCTGGATGGTGGTGGCGGGGGTGGGGCTTGAGGGGCAGAGTATCCTCCAGGGGCAGGGGGGCTCCGTAGCTTGATGGTGGTGGGGGTGGTGGAGGAGGTGGTGACGGTGGTGGAGCCTGAGGGGCAGAGTATCCTCCGGCAGCTGGTGGTGGTGCTCCGTAGCTTGATGGTGGTGGTGGTGGAGGAGGAGGAGGCGGTGGTGGAGCTTGGGGAGCCGAATAGCCTCCGGCGTCAGCTGGAGGAGCTCCGTAGCTTGATGGAGGAGGTGGTGGTGGTGGTGGCGGGGGTGGGGCTTGAGGAGCCGAGTATCCGCCTCCAGCGGGAGGAGCTCCATAGCTCGATGGTGGGGGAGGGGGAGGAGCCATGGGTGGAGCACCGTATCCGCCACCTAAAGCTTCAGTTTAGTAACTAGAATGATAAGAAAGTGTAATAGTTGTAAATCTCAATTCACAAACCTCCAGCAGGAGCACCACCGGCGTATCCGCCGCCTCCGCCGCCACCGCCGCCGCTAGCGTATTGGCTGAAAAGGGTTGTTTAGATTGAGTTGATTTGTTACTGAAGGATTACCGTAGGTTTACTCTACTAAAAGATAACTGTACTAAGTGTCTTAAAGTATTCCTGTACAAAGGACTACTGTAACAAAGTGAAGGCTTGGGTAACTTACCAGTTCGCTCCCAAGAGGAGAGCTGCGAGTAGGCTGAGTCTGTACATCGAGGCCTTGAAGTGCCGTCTGCTCGTTCAGCAGCGCTTAAATACTCAAATTTTCCTCAAAGTCGTATCTATCTAGATCTAAGCTTAAAGAGTTTACATTCTTTCGCTTCCTTTTCCCTTCCTTTTCCCTTTCTTTTCCCTTTCTTTGTCTGTTTTCGTTTGCGTTTTTCCCATTTCTCAGCTTTGAACACATATAAGTCAACAAAGAAAGTACTTTTTCTTGTCTGTTCTCTGTTCTCGGTGTTTTCTTCAATATTTCAAGGCCATTAATCTCATATGAAGCTATATTTTGGTTTGTATGCAGCTTTAAAAATCATAGTTCTACAATTTCTTTCCAACTATAGAAAGATTTAGAATAACAAGGTGATTTAGAAGTAAAGTTATTGGTTACAGTTGATTTGAGGAAGATTTAGAAGGATAGCTATGAGCTACGGCAGTTAGATTGAGATTTAGAATGTATTAGAGGCTATTAGAGGCTTTGGGATAAGATCTGGTTACTGTAGGTTGAGAAAAGAAGCTGACATAAGGCTAAAGAGGACTGTAACTTTTGAATGTACTTCACTTAAAGTCTTTGAAGTCTACTCAAGGCAGCAGGCAGCTTACTGTAGCTGTAAGCAAGATTTAGATTTAGAAAGCTTGTTTCTGAAGTGTTATAGAATCATTTTAAACTCCTGTTTATTTTTGCTTTGTTATTGTTTGTAAAGCCTTTGAAAAAGCACAAATTTAGCCTGTAACTATTGAATGTACTTCACTTAAAGTCTTTAAAGTCTACCCAAGTCTTTAAAGTCTACCCAAGTCTTTAAAGTCTACCCAAGTCTACACAAGTCTTTAAAGTCTTACGCTAAACCTTTCAAATTTAATCAAAATCCCAAGAGATCAAAGTTTTTCAATTCCTAACAAAATCTCTCTCAACTTTACGGGAGAATTTTACACCCTGTAAATTCTCGCGACATGTTCACCATTGTTTTTAGAGATGGCGAGAAATTCTCACACATTGAAAGGCGAGGAAAGAGAGATTGAAAAGTCGATTAAGTTTTTCAAATTTTCCAAAAAAAAAGATCATTATTTGAACCTTAAAGTTTCCAAGTAAAGTAGCTTTCAAAAATTGCCAGATTTTAGTTTCCTAGACTAATCTTTGGATAAAAGGCTGAGAACTGGCTGATGCTTTTTTTTTGCTTGGCTGATGCTCCTCTATTTCCGCCTTCTTTCTCTCCACTTCAGGGAGGGTGGCATGGGGAGCCGAACGTCAAGGGTCTCGAGTCCCGGCTCCTCTTTACCAAATTGTTTTGAGAAAAAAAGACTAGTCGGTTGGTTGGGTTTTGGTGGTTTCTCTGGATAAACAGTTTCATAAATCAATCATTTATTTACACACTGTACATATTATGCTTTTGAAGGAGATTGATTACAAATCAAGCAATTAATTATGATGCAAGAGAACGGCAAGTAAAAATATCAAGAAACAGGCAAGAAAGATGATGATTGGAGCAGCGATCGTCAGTGAGCAGCGCCACATTTTTGTGGATTCTGGAATTGAATTGGTGTTCAAAAAATGCATAAAATTCTTGGTTGGCTATCGTTATTGGATTACAATGCAGGATCAAAGTTTGCTAAGAGTTGCTAAGAGTTGCTTGCTAAGAGTTGCTAAGAGTTGCTTGCTAAGAGTTGCTAAGAGTTGCTTGCTAAGAGTTGCTAAGAGTTGCTTGCTAAGAGTTGCTAAGAGTTGCTTGCTAAGTTGCTTGCTAAGTTGCCAAGTTGCTAAGAGTTCCTTGCTAAGTTTGTGAGAAAACAAAAGCTTTAAAGTAGTCAATATTGGATGCAGAATCATTTTTCTAAAACTCTTTGAGTGAATATTTGAAACTAGAGCCGTTTTTATTCTTTTTGGCTTTAAAAGTAATTGTTGTAGTTGTGAAAGTTGAAATTTCACTATTCTCCTTTACTCACTTGTTTTCTCAATGATGCGCTCATCACTTTCCGATTCGCTATCCAATTGGGGCACAAAAACGATGACTTTATCCTCGAAATGGACATGATGTGGATAAGTTGAGCAGATTGTTTGCTGAAAGTATTTGATTTATCGAAAGTTTAGAGAGAATTTGGAAGGGAAACAATGAATCAATGAATCAATGAATCAATGAATGAATCAATGAATCAATGAATCAATCAATCAATGTATCAATGAATCAATGGATCAATGAATCAATGAATCAATGAATCAACGAATCAAAGAATCAAAGAATCAATGAGTCAATCAATGAATCAATCAACCAATCAATCAATCAATGAATCAATCAATGAATCAATGAATCAATCAATGAATCAACCAATGAACCAATCAATCAATCAATCAATCAATCAATCAATCACCAATCAACGAATCAACCAACCAATCAACCAATCCGTCAATCAATCAATCAATCAATCAATCAATCAATCAATCAATGAATCAAACCTGTTCATCAATGCTTTGTGGATAGATTGTGTAAATTGAGATCTTCTTTTTCGGTACTTCATCGCTTTTCAAGTTGATTGGCATCGTTTTTTCGTTCTGAAATTGAAATTTTACAGTTTTTTTTCGATCACCATGTTAGATTCGTTAATTTTTGGCAGAAAGTTGACTCTTCGATTCTCAGAAATTCTCAGAAAATCTCAGAAATTCTCAAAATTCTTCTTGTCCACAACAAAATTGAAAACTTCTCTTAAAACATAAAACATATTAACTTTTAAAAGCTACCGTAATCTTGCCCTATTCAATCATTTACTTTTTTAAATCAGAATCCGATTAAAAGCAGAGAAGATTAATGAAAATTAGAGACAAAGGGTTACGGTGAGTTGACAATTTTTCGAAAGCTCTTCATTTTGCTGTACTGTACCATTTCAATTACCTGACTCTCGAGGATCACCGGGCACACCGTGAAAGCGCTACCCTTTTTCCGGGGTGGCACTCCATTGTCGAAATTCATCGGGATTACGGTCGTATTCTTCAAGTGATCGCTCAAATTCGGGTTCATTTTGGGGGGGAGGGGAGTTTCCGCTATCGAATAGGGGTTTCCCCGGAATCCTTTTATAGATATGCTCAATTGCGTACACGGGGGAAGGGGGGTGAAAGGGGTAAATTCAGAAAAACAAAAAAAAGACTGGTGGAAACTGATAAGAGTGAATGGATGACCTCACGGGATTGAAGAGTTCATCAATTTTTTTGGGGTAGAATAAAACATTTGGTTGCTTTTGAGAGATAATTTTTTTAAAAAGCAAGAACTTTGATTTCATTTTTAGAGAATCAACTTTTGAAAGTAGACAAGAAAAACGGGTGGCTGAGAAGTTCCGGTCAAAAGAAAAAAACCAAGAATGACAAGCTAAATCGGAAATTCTTTTAATCCAGTGGTAGGAATTTCGAGTTTAAAGTCCTCAATCGAATTCGAGCACCGGGAAAAACGCATTACTCAAATATTCAATCAAGTTTTCATTTCGTATTTGATTTGAGGAATTGCTTGAATTCCTTTGATCCATGAAAGTGGAAAACCAAAAATTTCGATTATCGACGCCACATAAACCCGTTTGAGACTGTTGTACTCTTGTAGTGTTCTTCACAAAATTTCCATATTCTCATTGAAATTGAGTTAGAACTGAACAAGTCTTGAATGTTTTTGATGGCACCAAAAGCGAACCGCTATCGGATCAAAGTTTCAAGTTTTTTCGACGCCCCCAGAAAGCACCGAATATTTTTGAGTGATAACAAACCGAGTACAAGTGATTCGTTGAATTTCCAAAGCCAATACTTAAAAATCAAAGGCTCAAATGGCGGCGAGTTCAAAAATTATCACCATGTTTCAAGATGGAGTGCTCACTTATCAGCGGGTGAATTTTCTGAAACGTGTTCGAAATATGGACTTCTAGGAAAAAATCGCAAATAGCCATTTCTGTGTTCTTAGGGTAAAATAAAAATTTAATGAAGGTAAAACTCAACAGAAGGGCTAAAACTTAATATGCCAAGAAACAAAGAATGCTAAAAGTTCACCCGTAAAATGTTAAATGAGATAGAAATGATGAATACCAAAATAACACTGCACTAAAAATAGACTAGAAAATTGAAAAAGTGTAATACATTAACAAAAAGCGAATAATCTATTTTCGAAATCGTTTTGCGTCGGATTTTTGGTAGGCAAGCTTGGCCATCCAATCGGGAACTCCGGTGGTATTCTAAAATTGATCATATAAAAAGAACGTTTGTTTTAAAGACTTGGGCACTTGTTGATGGTTGAGTCGTCTCTTCTGTTCCAAATTCGTAAATGAGGATGCGCATAAGAAACTAAAAAAACGTAAATATTTAGTATCAAAATATTTTTACCTTCAACACATTATAGTCCATAGCCTCTGGTGGGAGCCTCTCCATAAGTGGCTTCAAACGAGAAACATCTGAAAAAAATAAAAATTGAAATCATAAACAATTAAAGATGGAAGCAAAGCGACTATTTTCAAAAATTTCACACCTCTCCCATTTTCATTAATTGCAGCCTCAAGTAGTTGCATTCTCCTGGCTGTCAGTCCCAAAGCGCTTTGATGCACAGGAAGGCCGTGATCAATTGCTGCAACAATGTAACCGCATACTGTTGCCTCTGAGATTCCGCGAGCAAAAGCAACGTCTTTCTAAAAAATATTACTTAGATCCAGAATTGGCAAGGGTAAATGAAATTGTGGATATTCAAGTTCAAAACTCACTAATGAAGCAGCATTTTCTAAATGCATCAAATAAGCGGCCGCTTGGCTAGGAGTGAGAGAGTTCTTGACGATACCTTCTTGCTCTGGTGATAACTAAAATAAGCGTTTTGGGAAGGATGGATAAAACCGTTTACTAGAACACTCGTTGCATCAGACACATTTGTTCCAAGATTGTTCTCTTCGCAAAACGTTGCAATCGTCTTCATGAATATTTCGGCGAAAAGTCGTTTCTTCTCGACTGGCCATCCATTGATCCTATCGACCTCTTCAGAGCTAAATGGGACTGTTATTGATTGTTCATTTGACTCAACCAAAAAGTTTTTTATCCGTAGATAAAATAAAATTTTCAAACCATACTTTGTTGGACGAATTGCCACAAGTTGATCAAGCACCGAGTTACTTGCCACCTAAAATTTTCAGTTACCGAAAAACACAAAAAGTTACTTGAAATGGTGGCATATCAAACTGAGCCGCTTCTTCTGTCCGAAGTTGCTCAAGTACAACACGTAAGTCTTTGATCTAAAAGCAAACAACCTTAAAACCTATAATTTTTTTTCCGCTACATACATTTTTCCCCGTACACGACCGGTCATCCGAGCCAACATTCGCGGCAAACGTGTAAGCGTTCTTCCGAGTCGAACCGAGAATCCTAAAGCACAAGTTGGTAATGAAAGCCTCATTAAAGCGTTATAAACAAAGTCTGAGCTTATAGAAATATATCTGTTTTAAGGACTATATATTTTATTTATTAAATATTTGAAACCTACTTCACTTCCTCACCAGATTTTTGAATCGATCCGTTGATGATACCAATTTTGTACTTATCCACAGCATCACCAGCAGCGCGTTTAGCTCCACGAGCGCCAGAGGATAACAAAATTTCGTTGGCCGGAACTTTCAGGCTCTAAAGACTCAATTTTGATTACAAAAACGCTGTAATATCACTTACTTGTTGTTTCAAATCGTACCATGATTGTCCAGCTGGTGTACAACAAAGAATAGTGCCTCCGTATCCATTTGCCATACTGGTCGTCTCTTTGGTGAGAAGTTTCGAGATGATCATTTGAGAAATTAACGCTAAAGGATGACAATAAACAAAAATTAAATTTTTATACCTTTCCACCATTCAATATTCCTCTCAGCACCAGCGCCGAAGAAGGGAGCGTTCGCCCCTCGAGCCATACTTTGTTGGGAGGTCTAAAAAAGCTTTTAAAAGATTGACGAATTTTTTACTTACCGAGCCACGAATGAATTCAATCACACCAGTCACTCCTTTGCGATTATAGTACACTTTGGTCACAGTCTAAAGTTAGAATATATTTTTCGGCACATTCCAAGTCTAACACCAGAAAAATCATCTTTAAAAACCAACATGCAGAACGATCCTGGCTTCTTTTCCAACTTCCACATCCAAGGCTTTTCCCGATTCCCTTCGTGCAATGTTCGCATCGCAACTGTCACAACATTCCGGTCGTATCTCGTTCATTCCGACCTCTCCAAAATGGCAAAGCAAAACACTAAAGGTGGATGTTAGAAGAAAGTAGATATCATAAAACTGACTGTCGCCGACATTCGTTCGTGGTCAAGAAAGCTTCCATATCCTCCAACATCCTCAAATGATGAGCTGCCTTCGGTTCTTTGCTGATTACACTTCTAAATTTTTTAAACGGTGTGATCGGACTTCGGGAACTACCTCCTTTTGACCATATCACCAGCATTGAAGAAAGTGATGCATTGTGAAGGCTTTCCATCGCGACCAGCTCGTCCAATCTCTTGATAGTAAGACTCGATATCTTTTGGAGCTAAAGATTGAATAAATCGATAATGCAGATAAAACACGAACCTCCATAATGAATAACCATTCGAACATCGGGTTTATCGATTCCCATTCCAAAAGCAACTGTCGCGACCACAGTTGATACCTAAAGAGAGTTTAATAAAATAGTTTTTGAGTTGATGCCACAAAAATATCAAACACATACCTCATCACGAATAAACCCTTGATGGGTTTCTCGACGAACTTTTTCCGACAGACCAGCATGATAGCAAGCGCAGTTTACACCGAGTTCTAAAGTGTATTCATTGAGATCAAAAAATTTAACTACTGACTCAAAAGCGCTTCTCCTACTTTAGTGACCATCGCCCTCGTAAAACAATAAATAACAGCTGGTCCTCCAAAATGCTTTCTAAATCAAAAACAGTTCTAATCAAATTTGTACTAATAAACCCTTTAATTGTTTGGCTTTCCATGAGCAGTGGACGCAGATCGTACTCTATGACAGAGCCTTTTTGATTGACGGACAGGAACAAGTTCTTCCTGGAAATAGTTTGTATTAATTTATAACGTTTACAAGAACCTATTGAAACTCGTCTTGAAAGTTTTCGCGCTTTTCATGTCAAGGGACTTGATAATATCCTGGCAGACTTGTGCCGTCGCCGTTGCAGTGACAGCCATGAAAGGCACTCCAGGGAATATGTTGCGTAACTAAAAGTTGCCATTGGACTTGGTTTTTTTTTGTAAAATAGAAAGATTACAAATCGGTTTTCATAAAGATGCACTGTTTCTTAAAAGCAAGTGTTACCACTTATTACTTACATCAGCCAGCTTTCGGTAATCACTTCGAAAATCGTGCCCCCATTGTGACACACAATGTGCCTCGTCAATCGCAATCAAGCCAACACCTTAACGAAACCGCATTTCAATATTGTGCAAAGAAACTAACGATGTTTTAGCGACGACAAGATGTTTTCGCTGACTTGAATAAACTCCGGTGTCAGATACAAGAACCTAAAAAGGAAAATGAGTATTTCCCACTAACCAACGTTTACCTTAAGGTTCCATTTTGTGCTTTCTCCAAAATTTCTTCTCTTTCGGCGGCATTTGTTTGAGAATTTAGTGTAGATGCTTGAATTGAATTGGATCTAAAGTGAAAATGGTTAAGGCGGGATATTGCAAATGTAGGTACCTCAAATTCGAGACTTGATCATCCATGAGTGAGATCAAAGGAGAAATCACAATTGTCAAATCACCGCAAATCAACGACTTAAGTTGAAAGCATACCGATTTTCCGTAACCTAAAGTTTGTAAATGCATTGCGCACTTCCCTTGGTTACTCGTTACTAATAGTAAGTACTACTATATTTTGCGAAAGTCAACTTACCCGTGCTCATCACAACCAATTGATCCTTTCCATCCAACGAGCCTCGAATGATATCCCATTGCAACGGTCGAAATGTCTCGTAGCCAAAATAACGGTTTAACGCTTTCAGAGCTGATGGTGTTGGTAGAGAAGATGTTGGCTAAAAACTTGGATTAAAAAATCACAACTTGTAACACTGATCCTTAAACTACTAAGCAATAAACTTACATGATTTCCTAGTATCTTTGGTGACGTTAGCGTCGGTGTTTCGGAGAATTCAGCGTCATCATTGACATTAAGCGGCTCGCAAACAACAGGCTCTGTTTGTGTTCCTTCCTAAAATTTTGATTATCTTTAAAAATAAAAATTGAAACCGTTTTTAGAGAATGTGAAGAAGCATTTGAAGGAGAAATTGGGTCCTCGTCGAGGAAATCGGGTGCTTTCGAGCCCTGAAATAATAAAAGGTTTTTAGAACCAATAGAAGTTTTTACCGCATCGATATGAACTGGAAGCTTTGCTGGCGTAGCTATTAGAATATCGTCATCAAATGAATCATAGTCCTCGTCTCTCGGTACAGGCTGAGTCTAAAACAAAGCCCTTTGATTGATTATTGATTATTTTTCACTAAAACCTCAGAAATAACCCTGTGAATAATAGTATGTTTTCGTAATTATTCATTTTTTTACTATTAGGTTGGTGAAAAAATCCTGACCGTTTTCCTCCTAAATCTCTGGAAGTCCAAGAAGCCCGCTTCTATTAGGGTTTGCTTACTCTAGTATGCTAGTATTGACCACTGAAATAGTATCACAAAATATTGTTCTCTTTACCGCTATTTTTTTCATACTTTTGGAAGCAACCCAAAATTAGCAACGCAAAAAGGCGGCAAGACTTTCATACCAGCCTGATAACAATTCAAACTTGTTCACCTCCTGTTGTTGATTCTCCTTCTCAATCTGCGAATCTTCATCGAACGAATCCACATCATTTGCCTCCATCTAAATTTTTTCTTCAAACAAGTAATACAACAAAATTTCAACATCTAAAATAAAATCTCAACAGAAAACAATAACAAAACGATGTAACCTAGCAATTTTTAAGAAACACAGAATCGAGATGAGAAAAATATACAAATGTTTCATTTTTCTCGTTTCGACTTCTTTTTTGGTACGGGTTCGGGGGTTTCTTCGACCGGAGGCGCTTCATATACCCGGTCTCGTTTTCTCTTTCGATCCGTGATATCAACGAATTCGTCAGATCGTCCGTTTGTGGGAATTTCTTCACGTGAAATCGGCAATCCATTTGATTGTTCTTCTCGTTGAGCCTTTTTTGCTTTTCTTCTCTCAGCTTTTTCGCTGTCAACAGAAAACGTTTCTACAAGTGAAGCCACCGAAACCCTTTTTGACTTTGGAGTCTCACAAACAAATTCAATCTCAGGTGACGCTTCTGAAACGATTATCGACTCTCGTTTTTGTTTCCCCTTGATCGCAGGCGTTTCTGCAATCTCAGGAATCTCGGACTCTTCTTGAAACTTAAGCGATTTTCTTGCTGGAGCTTTCACGTTTTGAAATCCAAACGAATCATCTTTGTTCGTTCTCCTAACCAGAATCTTTTTCACATGACCAACCAATGTGCACAAGCCACCTTTCACTTCAGTAGCTGTGACATGAACCAAAACCTCGTCACCCAATTCCAGATGGCAACCAAGCAATTGCACTTGTTTCTCCAAACTGATAAACGATTTCACTTGAATGGCTCCCATGTAAGTTAGAGAGACGAACTTCTTGGAAATGTGTTGAACTGTGACTCGAAGGTCCGGTGAGGTTTCTGGCTTGAAGACAATCGTGCTCACCAAGAAATCCGCATGAAATCCCGACTGTTCATCGATCGCCATCGGTCGTCCAATCAATTCGATATCACCAATCGCAAAAACAACCCCATTCAACGGTTTTCGATACTTTCCAATTGTTCGATCGCAAATGTATCGAACCCCCGCCATTCCATTGCCATTCAAAATGTGATAGGGTAGAGCCAGATGTCGACACTCTTTCACGGCAACCAATCCACACTTGGAGTTCCTTGCCATCGTGTGTATGTACTCATCATAGGTAGCAAACTTTGAGGCGTGTGAACGAGCGGAGTTGAAAGTGCGTGGATTCTCCTCGTGAGTTTTCTCCATTGGTTGAACATCTTCTGGGTTTGCTTCGACGGCGCTTTCCAACTGTGATCGTTTCCTTGCTTTTCGCTCGAGTCGTTCAGCCCTTCTCTTTGCTTCGGCTTTCTCCTCCTCTTCTATCACGTGGTTGATCGAGAAGTCGAGGGGTTCCGGCTGCTTTGCTTTGTGTTTCCCCATTTCTTGAGATGTCGCACACCTAAACAGAAATTGTACTGAAGATTTAGAAAATTGCAAAGAAAAAGCAAGTCGTAATAACAAATAGAACTTTGGAAATTCAACAAGTTCAAAGATTTAGCTAAATCCATAAAGCAGATGGTTCAAATTTGATGAATTCTTGGTTAATCGAATGTCCAGAGCTTGAATATAAAGCTAATTTTGAGCAAAAAGTGTTCTAGGACAAATATTATTGATCTTTAAAGTTGTCCAATCATATAAATTACAAAACTTTGAATAGGAAGATTTTTGTTAAACTACTAAATCTTATCCCAAATTTACAGGTAAACAGGTGAAAAACTAAAAGCTAAACTCAGATTTTTGTTTAGAATATTTTTATAATAGCATTTTTTTTAGAAAATTTAGTTGTATAACTGAATATTTTTTGAAAGCAATGAACGCAAGGGTACAAAAGACGACCGGGTCTTAAATTTGCTCGAAAATCGGCAGAACTTTTCTCTCTTTGCCATTGTGTTTTTGTTTTTGCTTTCTTCAAAAACCTTCTACTTTTCGTCAAATATAATATTTTCTTCTTTAGATAAATTTTTGGAACCGGTGTTCTGCCTGGCAAGCAAACAACAATGGCGTAAGTTTCTGTACATTTTGTTAAACAAATTTTTGTTTTGAGTACTTAAATCTTCCCTTTTAAAGCATTCAATGCTGTTGTTATATTAAAAAGTAGTATTTAATCGATTTAAATACTACTTTTTACTGAAGGTCATTTTTTCAAGCCGAAAGTATCTTGTGATTGGTGTTAAAAGCAATAGTCGTTAAAATATAGCTATAGTAAAAAGATTGTGGATTTTATGCAAAGTAAAAATGATCTGAAAGCTGTTAATGTTTCAAACTAATCAGTTATTTTAGGATGATCAAACCCCGCTCGGAGATGACTCAAGAAGAGTTGATGGAACAAGAAGAGAAGGAATTCACCGTCGGTCCGCTCTCCATTTTGACACAGGCTGTCAAAAACAACTCACAGGTTGGTAAATTTGGGATACGGTTTAGTAGTTTAACAAAAATCTACTATATTGATTTTAGTTTTTTAAAAATCAAAAATCTAGAACGCACTGGAATCTTGTAATCTTGTAATAGTTAAGCACTCTGAGACAAAATTAAGCATAAATACTTAGGTAACAATTTAAAGATTGGGTGCTGGTTAATTTGTTTAATTTACCTTATTCAGGTGTTGATCAACTGCAGAAACAACAAGAAGTTGCTTGGTCGTGTGAAGGCTTTTGACAGGTTTATCTTGGTTTTACTTGAAAATTGTTATTTCTCAATGAACGTGTAAATTTTAACTTGTATTATTTTTCATTAAACACAAAGTTCGCATATTGGTAAACATAGTGTTTTTAAAAGCTGAAATATTCAAGTATTGTAGGCACTTCAACATGGTGCTCGAGAACGTGAAGGAAATGTGGACGGAACTGCCGAAGACCGGAAAAGGAAAAAAGAAGGCCAAGCCCGTCGCTCGTGATCGTTTCATTTCTAAGATGTTTCTCCGGTTGGTTTTTTTGACGATTTAACTTGTATTTTAGTTTTAATACCAGTATAGAACACTGTTTTGATTAAAAGACTGTTGTTTGAAGAAGGGTTAGTGAGTGTTCTTTCCGGAATTATTAAGGGAACTGTACTTATTTTATTAAAATTGACGTTGCCCATTGCAAAGAAAGGCTAGAGGTAAATATGTAGAAATCGATGCAGAACATATCACACATTTTGGCACCTGAATTTTTTCATTTCAGTGGCGACTCGGTGATTCTCGTGCTGAAGAACCCGCTTGCTCAGCCAGAGTGAAGAAAATCAAACGAATCTCAACAAAAGTTGAAATTTTTACATTCTGATTGTTATGTTTACATGTCGTTATTCTGATCTTTAATTGTTCTCTTTCAGTATATTTCTATCTGGTCGTTACTTGTGTATAGATAAATTATTACACTAACACTAAAGAAAACAAAAATTGGGAAGAATAAAGTCTTTAAGTTTTACTATCGAAATCTCTAAATCTCGGGCCACATATCCAAACTAAAAGAATTGATCCCCGGGCTTTTCTGATACAAATTCCCGACAAGTTCCTAGTTGCCCCACCGTTTTGAGTGTGCCAGTCACGGCTTCCTCTCTTCTTTTTTTCACGGCGCACCAAGCACAGTTGTTCATACATTTTTTGGGAGACAAGAACAAATCCCTATTCACTGAATAGTTCCGAAACATTGAATATTATCAAATTTTATTATTTCGGAAATGTCTGCTGAGATTTCCGTTCAAGGATACGCTGTACCGGCGGCCATCGCTAACAGGTGAAATTTTTGAAGTTTAGCCGTACTTTGTGCTCTGGCAAACACATCTTCTTTGGCACACATGTCTAAACTGGTATCTTACTATAAAAACTAACAGATTTGATCGAAATTCTCACGAGAAATCGCCATTCTCTTATTCAAAGCCGACTCCAGGAGAACCGACAAGGCACACAAAGATCCCGATTCCAAGAGTGAGTTTTAAAAAGTGAAATATTCTTCTGTCTTAACTAGTTCAATGTCTGACTAACTGCGGTGAGTTCAATGTACTTACTGTAGTTAGTCAGACAGTATGAGTATTTGTAAGTTCTCTCTAGTAAATCACCCAGCGGCTCGTGTTTCAACGTCAAATACCCCCCGGCTTCTTTCACTTTTCACCCCAATCTTTCAGCCCAAAGAAACCTTGCTTTTTTTGTGTAGATTGAGGGGAAAAGGATGGCCCGTAGGCGGATCTCACTAAAGGGGGAGCTCGAGATCACCGCCCGAACAGCCTTGTGGACCCGACTGAGTTTTTCACGCCCCTCACCAACTCTCTCTTTTGGCTTTCCATTCATCCTCTCATTTTATCACAAAACAAAACATCAGTTCTCTTTTAGCTTTTAGAGAAATTGTTTGTTTTGGGAAAAACATTTGTAAAGGAAACTAGACCTTTAAAGAACTTGTTGGCAAAAGTTTTGCTTTGCAAACGTAGCTGTTTATCTTCTTCATGCAAACGTAGCTGCTTATCTTGCAAACGTAGCTGCTTATCTTCTGACGTCTTATATGGCTTTTCCAAATTCACCAGTTCTTTCTTCTTTTAATCAACTTTAACATCAATAATTCTCAACAACAAACAAGCTTCCAAACCTCACTCCAATTCTAGGTATTAAACTACGCGAGCGAAGAAGAGGACCCATATTTCCCTCCTCCGCCTTATTCAAAAAACGAACGAGCCATGCCTCAGATTGCTCATTTACAGTACAACTCGCCAGCCGATCTCTATTCCAGGTAGAATCTACACTTACCATACTTACTAACTTTCGAGTAGTTGGTTTGGGTTGATCGTGGGAAAGCGACTTAAAGTTACAGTAGATTGACTGATTGAGTTTCTCACAAGTTTACAAGCTACTCAGCTCTCAGCTGAACAGGTTATAGACACTATACTGGGCTTAAACTATTCACAAAACTACAAACAAGAGAGTTGAACTGCCAAATTAGTACGTTTCTCTCTTTAATTCGTTAATCTCTTTTCCATTTTGCTTTCTTCCTTATATAAATTTACAATAATCTAACTACCAAAATGCTTAATTGGGTTTATTTTGATTTCCCCCGTTTTTCCCCATTGAAAGTGAATTGGGTGGACTGTTTGGGGTGGTGTTTGCGGGCTCTCCTCCTATTACACAATGAGACGAGCGGCGAGAATGCGAGGGAAAATGTATGAGAAAAAGGATCAAGTAAAGAAAAAGACATTCAGCTTTTCCAAATGATGAGCCTCAAGTTTTTTACTCTAGGAGGAAAGAGAGGAGGAGATAGAATAACAAAGGCATCTTACAAAGCATTTTACACCCAATCAGATGCTTATTAAGAGAAAAACTTTATCATAAACATTTAAAACAATTCATTTTATACATCCTGAGTAAGTTTTTTCAATCAAAGTTGGCTCATTGTTGACCTTGAAAACTTTGTTGAGTGAGAGTTGGTAATTGCTGCTGTTGCTGTTGCTGCTGATTGTTCGTTTGGGGCTAAATTTACAAATCATAGTAAATCATAGTAAAATCCATTGATCTTCCACAAAAAGCAACGGAAAACCAATCGTTCAACTGTGGATCATTTTTCAAAATAGTTTTGTAGAAGGCCACGAAGGGAGTCGAACCCTCGACCCCGCAGACCCTCTCGGTTTCCAGAGACCTGCTCTATCCACTGAGCCACAGACAAATATTTGCCCGGGGGAAAAAAGGGGATTAGAACAATGGGGGAAGCAAAAAGCATAGTGTCCTCAAATCCCAGAAAACTCACCCCAAAGCCAGCGTCTCGTTTCCCATAGAGTCCATACCCATAGCCATACCCATATCCACCGTAACCATAAGGCCATCCATAACCATAATAGCTTGGCCAGCCATAACCTCCATAGCCTCCATAGCCTCCATAGCCATACCTGAAAGTTGGTATTTCTTATATAATTAAGAAAATAAGTGAGAGAAACGGATATCTATCATTGGATATCTATCAAAGCTCATTGACAAACCATTGAGCCTCAGTCTCCGAGACGAGAGTCACAGCAATGAGACAAGCGATCAATAGGACGAGTTTTGAGTTCATTTCTGGAAAATCTAAGTTGACAAGGCTTATGAGGCCTGAAAATAAAACTAGGAAGCTGTAGAACTTGAGGAAACTGAATCTTACAGTAATCAGATCTTACAGTAATCAGATCCAGATCCTAAACAGCTACCTGGATAATCAATTTTTGATTTTAAGAATGAAACAATCAAAGAAATCTAGTTATTAACTAAAAACTGGATAGGTTTACTGTATTATAAATGTTTTTAAATCAAAGATTTCTTTGGAATAATTTCTGATCAACCACCAATCTCTTTTATATCACTCAAATCTATTGACTTTATCACTTAAATAACTAGAGAAAGTGGGAAAAGTGGGAAAAGTGAGAAAATCTAAACTATTGGCAAACTTTTTGAAGGGTTTTTGCAAAAAAATCGCTTCGGTCCAATGAGCAAATAGATTAAAGATCTCAAATGATCGAAATTTTTAATGAAATTCAAAGTTTGAAAGTTTTTAGCTCCTTTTTTAAAGATAAAAGTCTAAATTTAGCTAGAAATTGAATTTTTTAGAACTCAATAACACCAAACATAGCCAACACATTGTTTATCGTTTTTATTTGGGTATTTTGCATGAATGTCCCTTTTGTGCAGGGATTGGCAGGGTGAAATTAGGCTCGTTTGGGTTGAGAGTCAATGAAATGTTGAGAGCTAGTGGTTGAGACAGGGAAATGTTTTAAAAGTATAGAAACTATAGAACTATAGAAAATTGAAATTTCTTTTCAGAGAATCGGCTCAAGAGCAATTCGTGCAACAAATCGGCGATGGAGCGATCCCATTGCCAGCTCCACTCCCCGAGAAGCATTTTGACCCGAATCGGAGTGCCACTTTGAGATATATTAAGGTAGAGGGATCTAAATCTAAAAGATCTAATATCAAGCTAAATATCTAACCTTAAAGAGCTTAGGCTAGATATTACAAGAATTTCCTGCTGCTGCTGCAAGAGCTAGATAACTTATAGTTCTTTTGTTACAATACAATAGTTGAATGATTGAATAGAGAGTAATCGATTGTAAACAGTACTTATAATACTATGAACAACGATAAGTATTAATCTAAAGATGATAAATCTCTTAATATATCTAAACATATCTAAAGATAATCTCAAAATATTTGAACTCATTTCTAGGAGGGTGATCGCAATGGTTATGGGCCAAGTTTAGAGCAAAAGATTGCCGCCGTCGAACAGGCACGAGATTACAAGTCTCCAGTAAGTAGATCTTCAACTTATATATCTTATTAATCTAGATTTTGATATTATTATCTAATTACTAGCATAATAATTCTCATTTCAGGAACCTTCGTGGGCAAACTATGCTCGAGAGAAGAGCGAACGCGCCCGCTCGATGACACCCGGCTATCATCGGTGAGAAAGTTGCATACAATGATTATAGTAATTTAAAACTATCGATCTATCGATATATCAAATCAAATTATCAAATTATTCAAATTCAGTGCTCAATCGGAGCCAAGAGACACTTGGACGTACGAGTATCAGCGCGAGTCGAGCAAGACTCCTGCAAGAGATATCGATTGGAGAGAATTTCAAGTAAGTAAAGTTACGAAATAACGAAATAAAAGATATTCTGTAAGGATACTGTCGTTTTTAAGACAATAACTAGTTAATACTCGTCTTTTTCAGTAAAACAAGCTTTCAAGAGTAAAAAGAAGTAGAAGTTTGACGTTTAAAGTTTAAATAGAAGACTCGAGCTCATCGAAAAGCCTAAGATCAATGGTTTAATGGCTAAAATTCATTTGATAAAGATAAATAAAGTCAATAAAGTCAATAAAGCTTCTTAGGAACGTACGAAGACCTATGTACATGACACAAAAGGGGGCGGTGTTCCATACTGGGCTCATGCTGAGTTCAATCAACCAAATCAAACACATCACGGGTATCGCGAGAAAACGTGAGTGAATTTGGATTGGATTAAAACAAAGTATAATAGTAGAGTAGTCTGTAATTCCTCAAGATATCTAAATCGAATTTAATACCGACTGCTGGAGTTAGAACTCTTTTGCAAAGGTTTGTGTGAATTGCGATTGAAAAAAAGACTGTTTATGACTAGATAATAGCTATATTAATATATAATACAATACTAGATTTAACTAGATTTAACTAGATCTATTAGGTTGATGCAAAAGTCTTTTTCATTTTTTTCGTACTTCTTTTGAAAAATAACAAAGTCATCAATTAACTTATGGTTTGCTCTAAATGAAAAGTGTTTATTGTTCAATTTCCCATCTTTTTAAGTCAATTTGGGTTCACTTTCAAGCAAATTCGAGAGTGAAAACGGGTTTTTCATAAAAATCTATAAAAACCTCTATAAAGAAATTGGCTGAATCAATTTCTCTGAAAATCTGAAAAAATATCTAACTTTTTGTGCTCTATCTTTTATTTATTAACATCAAGATTGGTTTCCTTAGCTAAAGCGTCTAAAATGCATCATCGAGCCGTCGCCTTTTTTGACTACCCGACTTCAGGCTCTCAAAAAAAATCTAGACATAAGACATTTTAAACTCGTTTTAATGTCATTTTGCAGAAAAATAATTGGCCTTTCGAATGCAATAAACCGTTGTTCAATTGGTGCATTTGTTACTTTTTAACGAAAGTACGAAAAAATGAAAAAGACTTTTGCATCAACCTAATAACTCTACTACTAAATATTAGCTATATATTAGTACTATATATTCGTACTATATTAGTACTAGTCATGCTTGTTTTTTTAGCCCAAAAGGCTACGAGTGCGGTGGAATCGACTATCGAGGGAATCTTCACTTTGATCCGCCTGGTCCTTACGATTATGTGTACACCAAAAAGACGAAAGAAGGTTTGGATTGAAAACTTTGAATTTACTTAGCTTTTATCTCATAGTGTTCCTTAAATTGATTTACAAATTGGATTAAATTTGATCGGCAAATCGATTTGAACCACAATAGTAAGACGAAAAGGGTTGTAAACAGGAAACTTTCGTGTTCAGTCACAAATTCGAATCTTAATTGCTTATTGAATGGCGATTCATGGTTCAAACATCATTGTACAGAGTGATCGCGAATTATAGCGACAATTTTTTTGAAAAGTAGCTGGGAAATGGCTAATCTATTTCAAAAGTAGCAAATTTTATATAGAGAATTGTAGCCCTAATTCTCGGCAACATTTATCTACCAAAAACTTCCCGATTGGACTTATACAACTCATTTAACAAGCGCTTGAATGAGCGCTAGTCGACATCCCTCCGGCGAATCTGTCATTTGGCCACTTTTCTCTATTAAAAATTGCTAAGAAAAGCTTTGAACCAGAATCACGGAAGAAAAGCTAAGGTCATAGCTTAAAAATGAAAAATATCTTAAAAGTCAAAAGTATCATATCATTCAAATCATTCAAAAACTCAACTAAACAATAATTCAGAAATTCTGGCATTCAGAAAAACAATCCCGTCCCGGCTTTGCGATCGGGGGAACAGATTTTGGAACAGGCTATGTCTCAGCTGGACCTTATCATGGTCATGGACCGGATCCACCTCGAAGAAGGTAGCAAATTAAATTATAAGTTAGAAAGAAAGTTATTGCATAAATATACAATAGCTTTATGCATAAATATACAATAGCTATAAACATGCAGATTTATTGTCGACACTTCTACATTTAGAACCAAATACACAGCCGATCCCAATGCTCCAGTGAATGTGGCTTTGGCTCCAAACATTGATGCGGTGAGTGAAGGGATTTGAGCTCTTTGAAAGCTCAGGATTTGAGCTCTTTGAAAGCTCAAGATTTTAGATTCTTTTATCTTTAGGATTTTGGAGATTTAAACATTCAATATCTAGATTTATTATCAAATTCTAGGTCGATCCACATCTCCTTGTTGGCGACACTGTTTCCAATATGAAAACTGGAAAAGAGAAGGGATCAAAAGTGAGTAGGGGAATTGTGAATTGCTTTATATAATATTCTAGATTTGTTTTCGAAATCGAAAACATTAGTTTTTATTTTAGGAAGATGGTTTGATGGGTTTATCTTATCGTGGTACTGAAGGCTTCAAGAGAGATCACCGAGTGACAGCCAGGCGCGCAGAACAGAAACAGGATAACACATTTTGCACGAATTACACAAGAAGGTCAAGGAGTGCATCAGCTCCGAGGTAAAACCAGCAAAAACTTCTAGAAGCTTTTGCTTTTAGCTTCTCTTTTAGCTTTCAGAAAAATTGATTTCATCTATTTACTCATGTTTTTTTTTGAGTAATTTGTTTTCTAAAGCTTTCGAAAAAAGACACGTTTTAGAATGGCTAAACTGGGCAAAACGGGACGCATTACAGTATGCTTTTCAGCACCATTACAGTATGCTTTTCAACATACTGTAGTGGTGTAAATTGAAATTTTAAAGTTCCTAACTATAGCAAAGTTTCAAATCATTGAAAACTTGAAAATGAGAAAAAATCCGCCTTGCTTTGAATCATAGAACTCAGGCGCAAAGGGCTGAGACTTCTTACACCCCACAAGCATAAGCCCTGATCATAAGCCTTGATCTAGCTTTTATTCAAACCAGTTTACAATAGTTTTCTTAAGCTTACACATTATAGAAAACGGTTTAATTGCTGGATAAGGAGCGACTAATGCTTTTTCTCTTCCTTCATACTTCAGGCATTTTTCTCTTCTTGCCGAAAGGTCTTTGTAGCTCAGTGGTAGAGCGCTCTCCTGAAGAGCTAGGGGGGTCGGGGGTTCGGTTCCCCTTGGTTCCCATTGTTTTGAAATTTTCATTCACAATCGAACTATTTGTTTCTTTTCATAATATTATTATTCTTTTCATAATATTTAATATTATTAAAAGCTTTTAATGAAAGTTGTTTGGATAAAGAGAAAAGGTTTTGTTTTAACAAGAAATTTCTAGATCAAGTGCTCCACCTGAGCAGCGAAACGTTTGGCGGAACCAGGAGAACTACGATCCGTACTATCATGGAGCTGATAAAACGGTGATTGATTTAAATGCTTTCCTAGCATGCTTACTCTCACCCTTTTAGGTGAATATCCATACTTTGTTGACCGATGAGGCATTGGTGCCAAGAAAACGCGAAACGACGCCGACTTGGCGCGAAAAAAGTTTAGAGAAACATTACAAATGGGAGCACAGAGAAGACCCGGCAAACGTTCGACCGATGGCATGTATTAGAAAACATTTTTATACCTATCTAATAGCTCACAAATTTTCTACCTTTTGCATGTAATATTGCATAGATTGAAGATTAGAGAAGACTTAGAACCTTTTCATTGAGATAAAGTGCTTTAATTGTATTGATTAGTGCAAGAGAACCAGGCTTTTGATAGTATTAATTAGCTAACTATGAGATAGCTTATGTTAATAATCTGTTTAGACTTGGACTCGTGAGCCAAACTGGACGAGAACGGTGGAAGAGAGGCGAGGCGCTTGGGAGAATCGAGCCTGGGACACGGAGGCCAGGTAATCTTGTAGATTATCCAACTTTAGATATCGTAATACTATCTTGTTATCTTAGTCATCTAATTGTGGCCTAATTAAATTGTAGTAGCCAGCTAACTAGGCTAAGTAGTAGCCAACTAACTAGGCTAAATAACCTAGAAGTTAATAGTGAACCTAGAACCGGGTGTAGACAGTTGACTCATCCTACAAAAACAAGCTTGCTAATCGGTTTTTGAGGAGCTTGACTCTAGAAGTTGCTACCATAACTTTCCTATTGATATCATTGTTTTTTTGCTTATTGATTCATTGATAAACTTTCAGATTGGCCCTTCCCGCTTCGGCGAAAGTTCGCTCCGAGCCACCGCCATCTTGGCACCACAACGCTCAGCAAAAGCAATCCGTTTGGCAAAGTGCCGCCAATCAACAGGTGAACATGTTTTAAATCTAAATCCTTTTTTATAAATCGAATAGTAACTTAAGTAGAAATTGAGCTGAATTAAATGAATACTTCATCTACATTCTGGGATTTAAAGCTGATTTCCGAGCTGGTTTCAAGTATCGCAGCTGAAAAAAAAACTGTAATGCCTTAATGTTTGTAAAAGATTTGATCTTGCTTCGAATTTTGATTCTTTTACTTCTTCTTCTTCTTCCAGACCGGCACCAACTCGTACACTTACTCTATTCCACCTGGTAGTCAATACAATTATCAAACGACTACAACAACCACTGGACCCCCACCGCATCAGGTTTAAAAAAAACCACAAAGAAAGAAAGAAAGAAACAAAGAAACAAAGAAAGAAAGAAAGGAAGAAACAAACAAACCAACAAACAAAGCAACAAAGAAACAAACAAAAAAACAAAGAAACAAAGCAACAAAGCAACAAAGAAACAAACAACAAAGAAACAAAGAAACAAACAAAGAAACAAAGAAACAAACAAACAAACAAAGAAACAAACCATCCATTAATCCAAATTCAATCAAAAGTGTCTGTTCAAATCTGTCTGTTTTAGTCTCAAGTCGCTGCTCAAAACTATGAGACGAGGTAAAAGCTTTTCACATTTTCAAGTCAAATTTCCTTACAGCTACTCAAGCAACTATGGTGACAACAATGCAAACTATGTGGCCAATACTGGCTTCAATAAGGCACAATATGACTATTTAGAGGTGAATAACATCAAAGATCTATCCGAATACCGTTGAATCTCTCAATTTCAGCAACGTCGTGAAAAGTATGGGCCCGGAGGTCATGGCGGAACGGGTGTTGGCTATCAACAACATCAGTACACCACAAATACGACGACAAACACGGTGGGTAAACCCCAATTCCATCTTCGTTTCATTCAGCTTTCCTTTTGGGTAATTTCAATTTCTTTCAATTTCTATCTATTTCTACAAGATCACATCCAAATGAATCTAAATCCCCAATTCTGATGCCTGTTGATTGCAGGCTTCTGCTGTCCCATCGCAGCATCGTAGCGCCTTTCACGCCTACAGTCGTGGAAACTCTCTGGATTGGCGAGAAGAGGAAAAATTAAGAAATCTAGTCAATACATTAGATGCTTGGATGTGATCTTGTTGGAATTTTTAGAATTTCTAAGAAAATAGGCTGCTTGCTATTCGCTTTGAGCTTTGTTGGGTAAATGAATAAATGTTGTTTTTGATTTTGAAGAAGTGAGACAGAACCGAAATTCATCCTGAATTGCTGTGATTTTTTACTAGATTTATAAACCTTTATAGACTCAGAATCAGCCACAAATGCAAAGCTACCAAGCGTACAATCAACAACAACAGCAGGAGCAACGAGAGACGAGAAAAACCACGACCACGACGACAAATGTAGGGATTGGCTAATATTTGGATAAAGAGCTGATTAATGCTTTTCTCTTCATCTCTATTTCCCCCTCATTTTCTTTTCCGGCCAGCAACGCTCTTGGCTCACTGGTAAACGGTTAGCCTAGGAGGCGGAGGGTCTGGCTGGGGGTCGGGGGTTCGATCCCCCTCGGTTCGATCCTTTTGTCAAATTGTTTTGAATTTTACCATTGAGAGATCATAGATCATCATCAGATCTTTCATGTGTTTCTATTTATTTGAGTACAAAGTATCGTTCTTTACTAGGAAAAGTGATTGAATACCTAGATTAAAACTAATTAATTTAAAAAAGTAGTACAATTCTAGGTTCAAAACGCGCCGGTTACCCGAACCACGACCTATTCCTACTCACAGGTTAGTTCAAATCAATTCTTGTTTAATCAAGAATACTTGCAGGATTGTGATCTTGTTGTTTGAAGTATTAAAGTATTCAAATTTCCAGCAACCAACCTCTCAACCGATCGCTCTTCAGAATGGAGCTTTCCAGACGAGTCATTCCTCAACAACTCAGACTGTTCGAGTGAGTTTAAATAGAAATAGATTTCTTTAAATATATTTCTGCAATATTTCCTTATCCTCTAAGCTAGCTTAAGATTTTGAGCTTTTTCTGTTTTTCATATAGCTCAAAATTGTTAAATCAATTTTTGTTCAATCAATCAATTGAATCAATCAATCAATTCAATCAATCAATCAATTCAATCAATCAAGGAAACCTCCCAACCGGCTCCCATTCAAAACTATCAACAACAATATCATCAAGAACGTCGTGAAAAGGTAAAACTTAATAAATGCTGATATTGATGTGATAAAATGACGGAAGAGAAAGTAAGAGATTCTAGACGACAAGCGAAGAGCGCACCACGCAACCCGTTCAACAAATTCAGCAACAATGGCAACAACAAAATCAAGAGCAGAGAACTGAAAAGGTAAGATATTGAATTAGAATTGAATTGAATGTCAATTCAATGTCAATTAAATGTCAATTGAATGTCAATTCACTGTCAATTGAATGTCAATTAAATCTCAATGCTTTTTAGAAAACGATTCGCGAGGAGCGAGTAAAGCCTGCTCAATGGTGGGAACAACAACAACAGCAGAGAAGAGAAACGGTTAGAAGAAACTGTAAATCATTAGATTTTGAGGATTTTTGATAGAACAACAGCAGAGAATCTGGAAAAATTACATGACAAAAGGATAAAAACCGAATGCAATCAAATCTTTGCAATCAAATCAATCAAATCAATTTTCAGAAAACTACTCGTGAAGAAGTGACTCGACCGCAACAAGTTCAACAACAATGGCATGAACAGCGACATCATCGAAGAGAAGAGGTTTAGAAATTGATCAGAACTGCTATTTCTTTCAATCAACTTTCAATATAAGTAACTTGAACTTTTCTATTGTTTTGTTTCAGACTAGAACCGAGAACATTCAACCACCTCAACCCGTCCTTCAACAACAATATTGGCAACAAAAAACTCATCGTGAAGAGGTTAGTTAAAATCAATCAATCTTTATTTATCCGGCTTCAAAGAGCTACTAGTTCTTTCCTTAAACTCGTCGTAAAGAGGTTAGTTAAAATTTCCATAAACCCGTCGTAAAGAGATTACTTCAAATTTCCTTGAACCTTTCAATAAACTCGTCGTAAAGAGGTTCCTTAGAATCCCCCCATTCTTTCTTTAGAACTATTTCAGAAAACGACAAATGAAACGCAACCAATTCAACCGATTGTCCAGCAACAGCACTGGCAACAATCTCGTCGTGAAGAGGTGATGCTTTTAAGTCAAAAGAGATGTCAAAAGAGATTTCAACAAGAGTCAAACTAATAAGAACTAGTAGCTCTTTGAAGTCGGATAAATAAAGATTGATTAGACGAATGAATCTAGACGAATGAATCTAGACGAATAAATCCTAGGAGAATGAATCGAATGAATCTAGACGAATGAATCCTAGGAGAATCAAGAGAAAAAGAACTCAAGTTGGATCGAATTATTCTCTTTTTAGCTATTGTTTTAGCTAATTTGAGATTTAAAGGGATCTAGAATTTTAATCAAAAATGAATCCCAAGAAATCGGGCATAATGATCTTGTTCAGAAAACAACAAAAGAAGAAACGCAACCAGTCCAACCGATCGTCCAGCAACAGTACTGGCAACAACAATCAAGAAAAGAAGAGGTAAATTGTTTTCAATTACAGTACGCTTAACAACTTTTAGAAAACCACCCAGGAGACTCATCCAGTTCAACCAGTCGTCCAGCAATGGCAATCACAGCAAAACTATCACAAGAAAACTGAGAATCGAACTGAAAACAAGTAAGCTTAAAGCTTTTAAAGCTTTTAAACAATAAATCTAGATCTTATCCACTCGTTTCTTCAAATTCTGGAACAAAGACGACTGTGGTTGGGGAAAATCTATTGTTTTGAAATGAATTTTTGATTCCAGGTCACTTCGGGTCCACCAGTTGATCGAAAGTTAGAGATGTCTGAGACGCTTCCACTTGGGACAGTTGCGAATACTCATGCAAATACTCAAGTAAATGATTATAACTGATTATAGCTGATTATAGCGGAAAATATTGATCTAAGATAAGTTTATATTTAAAGGATTAAAGGCTTTGTTTCAAAGATGGCCAGGCCAGGTCAGCTAATTTAAAAATTAAAAAATCTCAAAGAAAAAGTGAATCTAACTTGAATTTCTTGGTTGAAAATTGATTGGCGATAGTTGAAAATGGGAAAATTCTGGCTAAAGAAAACTGTGCTAAAGGCTAAATTCTAAAGCTTTCCCTTGTCCAGGCAAAATTGGAAAAATCAAAAAACTTTGCGTTCGGGGGGAATCGAACCCCCGTCGAATGCTTGGAAGGCATCCATGCTAACCATTACACCACGAACGCATATTTTGGCGGGTGAGATGGGTAGGTGAAAAGGATGGATAACCGGTTTCCGGTTCCGTTTGCAGATTGCCTCAAGCAACCTCAAGTTGACTTCTTGATCCTCTGATTCACCCCTGAAAAGTATGCGTTCGTGGTGTAATGGTTAGCATGGATGCCTTCCAAGCATTCGACGGGGGTTCGATTCCCCCCGAACGCAAATCCGTTTTGTTTTTTGAACAAACGCTACTGCATTAGAAAGGGTTATACAGGTTTGTGTAGGCACAGGTCTGTGCAGAGTTAGAAGAGTTAGAAGAGTTAGAAGAGTTAGAAGAGTTAGAAGAGTTAGAAGAGTTAGAAGAGTTAGAAGAGTTAGAAGAGTTAGAAGAGTTAGAAGAGTTAGAAGAGTTAGAAGAGTTAGAAGAGTTAGAAGAGTTAGAAGAGTTAGAAGAGTTAGAAGAGTTAGAAGAGTTAGAAGAGTTAGAAGAGCAAAAAGTACAGTAAGAACAAGTGAAGCTATACTTGATTTAGGCTATTCTTATCTTTGACTTTATTTCCATTTCCAGGGTTCCTATCACAATCCGCAAGGACACGAAATTTCATATAAAAGAGATCTCCAAACGACAGCCGATCCAGGCAGAGATGTTGCATTGTTGAAAGAAGAAGAGAGACGAGTGGTTGAGAATGAATTGGAACCAGGAGTCATTTCAAGGTAAGAAACTGGATTGAAAACGTTAGCTCTTTCAAAAACAGAACTTTTATCAGTCTCAAATAAAGAAAGAAAGTTCTTTTAATGTCTTTTTAATAAGTTTAATCAATTAATCTTTTAATCAATTCTCTTTTATCATTTCTTAAGTGTTTATAGCCAAAAGATAGCCAATTTTCTAGAGATTTAAAATTGAATTCTTTTTTAAATAACTTCATTTAGATGTTAAGTTATTACCGGTATAAGAAAATCTTTTGATTGATTAGTCTGTGAAAATTAGAACTTGATTAGGAGTATAGAAAATTGTTTGAATTGATTGTATGAATTGAATTGTTTGAATTGAATTGTTTGAATTGAATTGTTTGAATTGAACGTTTGAATTGATTGTATGAATTGATTGTATGAATTGATTGTTTGAATTGATTGTTTGAATTGATATTGTTTATCAGTTTCAAATTCAATTCAAATTCAATTCAAATTCAATCCAAATTCAATTCAAATTCATTTCAAATTCAAAATACTACAACAGCTTTCAATCAGTTTATAATATTGATAGAAAAAGCTAGAAACATTATAATATTTCTAGAAAAAGCGCGAAACTCTATTCGATTCTAGTTTCTCAAAAAGAGCGAAGAATAGGGATAACTCGAAAAATTTCAATAAATTCTTTCAAAACTTTCAATGATTGGCTATCTTTTGAATGTAAAAAAGAGGTTTTTAGAGGATTGTTAAAAAGGAGAAACCTTTTGTAAGCTTTGTCTTTGATAAGCTAAAAAGGGAGAAACCTTTGATAAGCTTGAAGCTTGTCAAAAGTAAAGTTCACTATTTCAGACATATTACAACAAAGTACTACAAAAAGAAGACGGTCACCGACACCACAACAACAAATCAGTAAATTTTTTTTTGAAATCTTTTGAAAAAGCTTGATTTTTATTTGTTTTCTTCAACTTGCCTTAAGAAAAAAAACAAGAAAATGGTGCTTTTTTTTTGTCTGAAAAACTTCTAAATGCGATTAGTTGGCTTCAATTTAAATGTAGCACTTTTTAAAGTGATTTTCCTAGTCTTCAATCCACTATTACTTTAATATTTATCTTCAAAATGAATCTTTAGAAAGAGCATTTACGAGTTTTAGTCAAGAAATTTCTTTAGCTTCTTTCTTGAGAATGAAAATCGAAATTTCCCATTAAAATAGGCATTTATTCTCAAAGTTTTTGTTTAAAAACACTTGAAAATTAGCATTTTAAGCAATTTCAAGCCATTTTTAAGCTATTTAAAGCAATTTAAAGCAATTTAAAGCCATTTTAAGCCATTTAAAGCCATTTTAAGCAATTTTAGAGCCATTTAGAGCCATTTTTAAGCCATTTAAGCCATTTAAAGCTATTTTAAAGCGATTTTAAGCCATTTAAAAGCGATTTAAAGCCATTTAAAAGCTATTTTTAAGCCATTTTTAAGCAATTTTTAAGCAATTTTAAGCCATTTTAAGCCATTTTAAAGCGATTTAGAGCCATTTAAAAGCTATTTTAAGCGATTTTCAGCTATTTTAAGCCATTCTTAAGCCATTTAAAGCCATTTTAAGTCATTTAAAGCCATTTTAAGGCATTTAAAGCGATTTAAAGCGATTTAAAGCGATTTAGAGCGATTTAAAGCGATTTAAAAGCCACTTTAAGCAATTTTAAAGCAATTTTAAGCCATTTAAAGCCACTTTAAGCTATTTTAAGCCATTTTAAAGCGATTTAGAGCCATTTGCCTAATAAAAGCCATTTAAAGCCATTTAAAGCTATTTTAAGCCATTTTAAGCCATTTAAAGCCATTTTAAGCCATTTAAAGCCATTTAAAACCATTCAAAGCCATTTTTATGCTTTTTTTCAAAGAAAATCATTAAAAAACTGTCTTTTTCTCTCAAAAACTATTAATAAGAATAATAAATATTTCATTTTTCTTTTCTCATTTTCTTTTTTGGATTGTTGTGGGAATGGTTGAGTGAAAAGCATTTGAAAGAAAGAAAAAAAAGCAAATAACACACTTCATTCACTCGAAATTTTATCTAAATTTATGTAAATTTAAGATTTTCTCATCTAATTTATACAGAGTTTAACAAGATTTAAGGGAAATTTTCCCAAAAATTGCATTTTTCCATCAGAAATACTCGAAGAGAAGGGGATTTTTTGCGGGGAAACTTTTAGAAAGCTTATAGCTTAATTAAAAGCTTAATTTTATGTATTCAAGTGAATGGAATGATTATTTTTCAAAAATGTTCGATAAGCGATAGATTAAGGTACTATGTGAGTTGTACCCCAACATCTTTTCATCTTTACACTTTTCCTTCAAAGGCAACCGATAGTCAGTCTGAATCTACTACAAGATAGAAGGGTCGCAGCGGGATTCGCGGGGTGTCCCTTGGCCAAGGGTGGGGAGGGAAAAGGGTTTTGAAGCGTTTGAAGGGCAGATGATTTAATATGCTTAATTTTATGTATTCAAGTGAATGGAATGATTGAGCTATTGAATGAATATGAATTATGAATTGTATTCATTGAATTGAATGAATTATTGAATGGATTTTCTCTATTCTCTAGAATCAAATCAAAAAACTTTAATTTTAAAGAATTTCATCAAAAAAAACCAACCATTAAATCATCTTTAAACCCTTCAAAAAGCCCTTTTCTCCCACCCCTCCCCTGATGAGCCTTTGGCCGAGTGGCTAGCATCCTTGCCTCTCACTCGATCAAACCCGGGTTCGGATCCCGCCTCGACCCTTCACGTTATCTTGTAGTCAGATTCAGACTGACTATCGGTTGCCTTTGAAGGAAAAGTGTAAAGATGAAAAGATGTTGGGGTACAAGTCACATAGTACCTTAATCTATCGCTTATCGAACAATTTTGCAAAATATGAAAATGGAAAATGTTAGAAACTTCTGGATTTCACTAATATAGATTTAGTGAAACTATTTACATTTCTAATCTTTTCCCTTCTTTGGTAACCAGTAGTAGCTTTGAGTTAATACTGGACAACAAGAAGGTTTCAGCCGGGATCGAACCCGGATCGTTTGATTGCGAAAGAAAGTAGTTAGCCGCTCGGCCAATAGGTGATAGGGAGGGGTGGTCAAATAACGAATGAAAGCTGAGAGATAAGAGAAAATTTGGATAGAAAAGGGATTTAACAAGGTTTTTCTTGTTGTCAAGACTAAAAAATGGTCATTCTAGTGTGTAAATTTTATTTAAAAATGTTTTAACTACTCTACAATGCCTCATTTCTGTAAAAATCATCAAAAAATCAAAATTTATAGCTCAACAAATGGCTATAGAACGTAGAAAGATTTAATTTTGAACTTTTAAATTTCTTTAACAATTTATAATGTCAAAATTATTCAGTGTTGTATTTATCGTATTTTCTCTGATAGTAGCTGCGAGTTGGTGACTATTTTACGGTTTCCAAGCTTTTGCAAAAGCTAAGACTCAAATCCCCCACTAGATCTCATCGCCAGCTACATTTTAAACCCTTTTAAACTGGTAAATCTTTATAGAGATCATGATCATTTACCTCTAGATTATGGAAAAGAAAGAATTTAAGCAGAAAATCACGATAGCCCGCGAAAAGAAACGCTTTATTGATGCTAGTAATGGACGCTTACCTGGTTGTGATCACGTTCAGCACTTGTTCCAGCTTCTTGTCTACATTAGAAACGATTACCGTATTTTCTCTAATAGTAGTGCACCCCGGCGAGCCGAGTTGGTGACTATTTGACGGTTTCCAAGCTTTTGCAGAAGCTCAACACTCAAATTCCCCACTAGTTCTCATCGTCAGCTACATTTTCCACCCTCACATCGATAAGTTCTGATAAGCGCTTCTCGAGATTTCGAGGAATTTAGGTGCACTACTATTAGAGAAAATATGGTACTTCTTTTTATGCTTTAAAGCTTTTTTTAAAATTTTAAACTAAATCATAAACTGATTATCTTTAAGATTTATTCGCAAAAACTCGAATTTCAGACAACCAAGCTACGAGATTTTCCAAGCAGGACGAACAATTTTGAGCCCAAATCCACAAAATCGACGTCAAATCTCGAAAAGTGCACCAAATGTTCATGAAGAGACGAATTTCGAGGACTACCAGCGCACTATTGTGAGTTTTTTTTACAAATTGCCGTACTAAGCTAGGGTATTAAGCTGGGTTTACAAAGCTTATTTAAAATCTACCCTATCTTTTCTTAAAGCTTTTCTTCTTCGTTTATTGAAATTCTTTAAGGTATACGTTCCTAGGTGTAAACGGATGTGGACTAGAATTTGGGTTATGTTAAAGAGAGTGGATCCCTTTTTGATATCCCGCCATCTCTAACACCCCGACAACCCAACTCAACTCCTCCAACGTATTAGAGGGGAGCCCCTGTGAAATGACCGACCTGTAGTTGCACTGCAGTTGCATAGACCCGGAAGATACATATCTTTATTTACAGTAATACCATAAGATGAATAGATTAGAAATGAGTGTAAGGGGAAGGAGGGACTCCTAATGAGAGTCTCATTTGTCCTCCTAGGCAATCCTAAGGACCGCCCCTTCTCGACAATAAAAGGGATAAGCCAGAGGAGAACACATTTGCAAAGATTAGACAAAGCATTCAATAATAACAATAGTGACTAAAATATCCGTTTGTCTCGGAGCTGACAAAGGTAGACTTTTCTTTTTCGAGATCTTTCTTATATAAATCGAGATACCATAAACAAAAAAAAGCCGCAGCTTTTGTAGCCATCAACTTGACCAGGAAAAGTTTTAAGGAAGAAGCCTTCCACCACCAAAGGCTTTAACTACTAGAGCACTCTTTTAAATCGCTGAACTTTCAAATTTCATAGTTTCCCTCAAATTTCAGGACTTCTTACCCCACAATTTCACCTCATTACCCCAATCGGCGCAAAACGAGTTCAACCAGTGGACCGGCAACAAATTCGCTCAGGAATTGGTGAGTAGATTCAAAGAAATTAAAGATCAAATGCAAAAAAATAGCATTATAAAAAAAAAAAAAGAAAATCACTTAGTCAAACCCAAAGAACTTCTCGAACGCATCCAACTATGCCCACAAGGAGTATGAGGTGAGTTTTCTAATTTTTGATTAAAAATAAAGGTTTTAAGACCTACAATTCATCAAATCCCGCACCAAGACTGGAAAACATTGGCTTCATGAGAAACACCCCGAGATCCATCAAAAATCATAATTATTTCCAAAGAACTTTGCAAACGATGCAATCACAATCAAGACAACAACAAGAACAAGAACAACAGCAACAAGAAGAACAAGAACAACAACATCAACAGCAGCAGCAACAGCAGCATCAACAGCAGCAACAGCGGCAACAGCAACATCAGCAGCAGCAACAACAACAACAACAGCAGCAGCAACAACAACAACAACAACAACAACAACAGTTTTTTGATCAACAGGTATCAATGGGTGACCGGATGATTGTCTGACTGACTTATCTGACTTATTTGTCTGACTTTCCGATTTATCAATTTATCTGACTATAAATAAAAAAATTGTATTAGATACTAGACTTTGATCAATCAAAATATTTATAATCCAATATTTATAGTCAGATAAATACTACCCATTTTTATCTATCCTATCCAAACCTTTTGAGAAAAAGTGTTGATAGTTTAAGTATTTAGGTTGATAGTGTTGAGAAAAAGTGTTGATAGTTTAAGTATTTAGGTTGATAGTGTGGATAAAAAGTGTTGATAGTATTTAAAGTTGAAGTATTTTAAATGTTTAGGTTATAATTTTAGAACAAAAGTAGACATAAAGTAGATAAAACATGATTATAGGTTTATTGCTTAGGGATGGGAGGTAGAATTGGATAGTAGAGATAACTTTCAGAGTCAACAACAGCAACAGCAACAACAGCAACAACAACAGCAACAGCAACAACAACAGCAACACTTCTCGGCGCCAATAATTACCTCCGAATTAGCCGCTATTGAAACCTATGCCCCTTCGCCGGTAAGTGATTTCAGTTTTAGCTTTAGTAAGGCATAACATAACAGCAATGGGATACGAGCCGTAGCTCATTGCTAACGTTTGTCCGGTAAGCGAGAAGTCGTGGATTCAAATCCTGGCGCTGACTAGGGTTCAAAATGGCGTTGACTATGTTTTATATCCCAGTCAACCCATAAAAGAACTGGCATGTCCAATTCTTGCGAACTTTTTCGAAAAAAGCTTCTCCAGCTACTATAACTTGTATTAAAACAGCTTTTCCAATAGATTGTTTTTGAAAAAGTATTTCGAAACAGTTCAAATGTGTACTTTAGATTATACTTTAGATTCATCCACAAGAATCCCTTCTGATTGAGACAAATCAAAGATTACCGTTAAATGATTATCTCTATGATTTGAATCAAGCTCAAGAATATCATGGAGAGACTGAGAAAAGGAGGACAAAGGTAGAAGAAACTGAAAAAAACTGAATTAACTTTTCAATAATGATTTTTCTAATGAATTAAAGTATCAAAGTTGAATTTAAACTTGAAAAAATGATAATTTAGAATATTTTAGAGCTCGACTCCTTCCAAACGCTCAAAATCAGAGCCCAGATCGATGAACGGATCTTTCATTGATGAGTCGACGAATAGGGAACTCGGCTCAATGGGAAAAGTGGTCAGAAAGTTTGGGATTACTGTACGAGTATTAAATAGAAATTTCAGCTTTACAGCTTTTCAGCTTTACAGCTTTACAGGCAAGCTTTTAGGTAAGCATTCCGACTCTCTTGGATGGGTCAGCATTGATGCCAAAACGCTATAAAGTCGTGCCATTTTGGTGGGATCTTATCTTTATTGTTATTGGTTGGAAAATACAAAATCAATTCAATCAATCTAGGTACGAGAAGTCGTTGAGTCGGCATAATAGTTGGAAAAACATTCGTGATCCATATGTACCGCCAAGAACGGTTTGTTTTCGCCAAGAACGGTTTTCAAGAACGGTCAAGAACGGTCAAGAATGTAAAGGAAGAAATAAAGAAACCCTGGCCAAAAAACTTTCACTAAATGCATATGATTTAAAGCAAAAAAACGAAATTTCAGGGAGCTGATAAGGAGAAACCTTTTTGGGCTGATCGAGATCATTTGAAGAAAGGTTGCTGGGAGTTGCAGATGAAAAAACACAATCAAAAGTATTGCTTTATCAGTTCGCTTTGAGCATTACCGAGATCTTCAGTGTTCTCCGCGGATTATTCTATCATTGAGCTTTGTTTAGAGTCGTTCAACTCACTGCCGATCACTATGAAGGAGATCCAGCACCGGTGCATGTTTACTCAAATAACAAGTGAGGAAAAAAAGGCTCAAGAAAAAGAGATTTCATTTGTTAATTGGTGTTTTAGATATATAGCCGTTTAGGTCGTAGCCGTTTACGAAATTCAGCCATTACCATTAGCCATTACCATTACGAATGATTCGTTAACGGCTAGCCGATTACAAATGAAATTTTTTCGCTAGCCGTGTACAATTTGTAATCGGCTTCTGCGAACATCGCTCGTTTCAAATGAGTTTTTTTGATTTTTGATCAAACGATGGGCCTCTTCTGGTCTTGTGGTAGTCACTCTGTGATCCGTATCGTCCATCTGTCGTCTGTTCTTCCGTGGTCCTTCTTCTGGTTCTTCTGGCATCTGAGTCTTTTTCTCTCAATCACTTCCACTGGATCTCTGAGTCCCGAGAGCTGGCGCATATCCGTACTTCTTAGGTCTTGGTCGAGCTGCGTCTTCCTATTGTACCCGATGAGGTTCCTTTCAAGGGCTCGATGCGTCGTTCTCAGGGCTCGTTCAGCGGTCTGTGTCGTGGCCCAGGTCTCTGTTCAAACAATTTATGCAAAACGCAAATCAGCAAACTAATCACAAGTGAAATAAAATTTATAACATGTTAACGTTTATAACAAACAAAACATCAACTAAAATGCATGCGGAACCGATTGAAGATCAATTAAGTCGACTTGGCAGCGTTCATTTTGCTCCTTCATGAAGCAAAATGAACTGATCGGCTTTGCAAAAACTCCTTTTTTTGGCGTCCCCTTTAATTCGGCTAGCCGGCTAAACGACTAGCGAAAAATTTCATTCGTTAACGGCTAGCTGTTAACGAATGATTCATTAACGGCTAGTTGTTAACGAATGATTCATTAACGGCTGAATTTTGTAAACGGCTACGACATAGAACAAATATGTTGTGTCCGATTTAGATATCCGTCCGATTTAGATTCAACTAAATCGGACGTCCGTAGATTGAACTTATCGCGGACGCCGATTTAGCTATCGGACGTCCGATAGACTCAACTAAATCGGACGTCTTATAGATTGAACAATAATATAAACATGTTTAATATATGCGGTCGTGTTTTCGCATTTTTCAAAGGTCTGTTACTGTCTTTTCTGAAAGAAAACCCAACTAAAAAACAAAGACCTTTGAAAAGCGAAAACTCGCTTACAACTGTTTATATGTTCAATCTTGCGTCCGATTTGGGTCTAATCGGCCGTATAGCTGTATCTAATGCGGAAATCTAGGCCAACATATATATATAGAATAAATAGATATCATTATAAGTTAAGATTTTTCTATATTATCTTTTTTATTTCAGATACACTTCTCATGGAATGTGGCCAACGGTTGCTAGTCATGTAGCCGCGTTTAGAAGTCAACCAAATTTACACTACGATAAACGAAAGGAAGACATTCGACATCTACAAACTATTTCAAATCAAATTGAAAACAATGAGCAAAGAAATGAGGATATTGGGGTAAATCAATGGAAACATGAGACGAAAAGGGAGAGGACGAGATCGAGAAGTTCTTCGGAGGTGAGAGGAGTTCACTGAGAAACTTCACTGTATCTGTAGCAGTTTACTTTCAGTTTAACTCTTAAAAAGAACTAGAATTCAGTGTTTTACCATAAGCAACTAGTTAGTTGGCCTCCAACTAGTTAGCCGGCCATGTTGGCCTCCAACTAGTTAGCCTTTAGCCAGTTAGCCAACTAGTTAGACTTAATTTCAATGCCAGAACTAGAAGCCAAAAGTTAAGCTTTTTTTTGATTGAAAAGATCGGTGATTACTCTAACTTATCTTGCGTCAATTTCTTCGAAATCAACAATTATCTTCTAGAAACCAATTTCCGCTGTTCAACCAATCCAGGGAAACTCGACAATGCAAAACATTGACGATACGGCGCCCCAGTCGAGATCTACCGTAATCCTTCCCCATCAAGACAGTCGAGAATCTCAAGTTACCGTAGTCGAAAACCCTCATTTCATTGCTAGCACTTCAACGATCATACAGAGTCAATTCTTATAAATTATTCTGATTTAAACTGTTTTACAGTGTACAATAATTATCGTATTCAATAATTACCGTACTCTCTATCGTATTTTCTATAGTAGTGCACCCCGGCGAGCCGAGTTGATGACTATTTGACGATTTCCAAGCTCTTGCAGAAGCTCAACACTCAAATCCACCACTAGATCTCATCGTCAGCTACATTTTCCGACCCCACATCGATAGGTTCTGATAAGCGGTTCTCGAGATTTCGAGGAATTTAGGCAACGCTCATGGTGCACTACTATTAGAGAAAAACGGTACAGTAATTAGTTCTCTTTTTTCAATCAATCAATCCGTTTTTAATTCATTTTTCAATTTCTTTTCTTGTTTTTCTTTTGAAATTTGATTTTTTTGAATAAATTTTTACAAAAAAAACAAAAAATAAATAGAAAATGGGTATTTTTAAAGTGAAAACTTTGATTTGTGAGACTTGGTGGAGAAAGTGAGTCGCCCGAAAGCCGGAAGTGCGTCAATATCGAGACAAATCTACACGTGGATGACGTCTATGACGTCTGATATTCAAATGGTAAATAGGATTCGGAAAGTGTGAAGATTTGAGGAGAGATTCAACATATGGTAACCATTTAGGAAATAAGGAATAAGCTAAAGCTAAAGCGCTGTACTTTGAGGAAAACTTTCGCTTAGAATTTCTCATTTTCTTATCTTTTTTTCTCTTTGTACTTTGTAGTACAATGTACTTTCTCATTAGATTATGCAAATTCCAGGAAAACAAGATGCTCGTTTGATGGAATGAGAGGAGAATTGAGGGGAAAGATGGAGAAAAGATGGAGAGAGGGGATTGCTTAGATGCGTCGTATCCGGCTTTGGGGAATGCCGAGTTTAGGCCTATATTTGGGGAATCTTTATTTTTCTAGACGTTCAGTTTACTGTAAAAATGCTTTTGATTTGAAATTTAATATAATGAATAACTTTTACAGCTTTTACCCTATCGTTTTCACCCTGTTTACTTGTTTTAAAGTTTTCTAAAGTTCTAGTGCTAAATCTTTTTGTGTTCTAGTGTTTTAGGGTTCTAGCTCTAGCGCTGAATCTGATCTTTTTGTTATTTTACAGTAATCAGCTTTTAAAGCAAGTCTAAAGCTATTGTAAACCGGTCAGCTATAGTAAAAGCTCCTGTAACCTGGCCAGCTTTAGCCAAAGCTCTTATAACCTGGCCAGCTATAGTACGAGCTCCTGTAACCTGGCCAGCTTTATTAAAAGCTCCTGTAGACCTGGCCAGCTATAGTAAAAGCTCCTATAACCTGGCCAGCTATAGTACGGGCTCCTGTAACCTGGCCAGCTTTAGTAAAAGCTCCTGTAACCTGGCCAGCTTTAGCCAAAGCTCCTATAACCTGGCCAGCTATAGTAAAAGCTCCTGTAACCTGGCCAGCTTTAGTAAAAGCTCCTGTGACCTGGCCAGCTATAGTAAAAGCTACCGTAACCCGGCCAGCTATAGTAAGAGCTCCTGTAACCCTCTCAGCTATAGTAAAAGCTACCGTAACCTGGTCACCTATCGAACCAGTAAGCTCTATACAATCAATTTGACAAGTACAGTAGCCCAGACACACTTTAAAGCACACGAATTCATTCTAAAACCTCATTCAGCTCTTTCAACATGTCAAACGTGATGTCCGAGGTAACGGCAAGTGTCTTCGGGATGATGAATAAAGTTTGGGGAATTAAAAAATCGCGCAAAAAGGTTTTAGGTGCTTTTTCTGGTGGCTCTTTTCATGAATTTCCTGCTTTCTTTATTCTTCTTCTCAATCATTTACCATGCTCACATCTATCGAAAACAACTACACACAGCTGTGCTCAATTCGTGTTTCGGGTTCATCGGTGAGTTCAAACAAAATACAAACATTCTTATATACTCAAAGATCTCTTTAGATCTTTAGCTTGTTCTTTAGCTTGTTCTTTAGCCTCAAAATCTTTTTTAATTCACTTGTCTAGCTGTCCTGTTTAGCTTTAACAGTAAATTGGTGCTGTAGAAATGAAAATTTGAGTAGTTTTGAAGCACAATCCCAATTCCATGTATTATTTAATTTGAATTGCTAAAGTCTATCAAAAAAACGAATTCAGAGCTCTACCTCTTCTTTTTGGAGATCGTTGTGTTGAGTGTTCTCATTAAAGTGAAACATTTTGTCTATGTGGCTTATGCTTTGTCGGTTGGTGAGAAAAGTTTCATCGACGTCTAGTCAAGATCAAATAAAAACAATTTAGTTTTAAAGTTTAGACAATCCGAGTGATTTCTGTTGTCACTACATTGATGTTGATGATCTTCGTCGATGCCACGTTTGCCGATGGGGTTGTTGTTTGGATTCAAAGTGGGTCAAGTAGAGTTTCGAGAGTTTGAAGAAGTTGGCTGTTTGATTTTAGCTACTCTAGGCACAGCTCAAGTCACAGTAATGCTACAGGACAGTACTAGCTACAGTACAGTACTCTAGCTACAGTACAGTACTCTAGCTACAGTACAGTACTCTAGCTACAGTATAATACTGAGTACAGGCTTTAGAATAGATAGATCTATCTTTAAAGCTGATAATTGTTTCAGCTCGTAAGATCATCCCCTCATTCTTCTCAATCGTTTACGTCATTCTATTCTTCGTTGAGATCTATGTCCTCCGGAAGTTTGTTTATAAAACACATTCGAAACACCTAGATACAAGTACAACATTTAGTTACTATGTGACAAGAGAAGAAACAGAAAAGATCAAGCGTTTAAAACATCAACCATCACTAAAGGCTCCACTTCAAAAGAGAGCTCAAACTACCGCCTCACCACTAACGGAAGAAGGTATTGATGGAAGAGTTTAAAGCTTACAAATTCTTTGTATCTTACTGTAGGTACTGTAGGTACTGTAGATACTGTAGATACTGTAGATACTGTAGATACTGTAGGCACTGTAGATACTGTAGGTACTGTAGGCACTATAGATACTGTAGGTATTGTAGGTACTGTAGGCACTGTAGGCACTGTAGATACTGTAGCCGTATTGTATCTTACTGTAGATACTGTAGTTTTCTTAATGAATAAACTTTCAGAAAGAGAATCTTCTCATCAAATAAATCTATCGATGTTGAATCTCCCTGAAGCGGTGACAATGAAAATGGAGCACTTTTGAGAGTTTCCTTTTCTTGAATAAAAGATTTTGAACAAATTTTATTAACTATACAATGTTACAAGCTGTTTAACAAGCATAATCTCCAATCCAATCATCCAATCCAACTCATCATCTTATTCCAATCACTTTTTTCTGTCAAAATTCGAATTTAATTTTTATTTTGTTGGCAATCTTGGCTAATTTCTTTTCAAAACATTACTTAAGACTGTTTTCAAAGGGCTTAAACGACTTTTGAATAAACAAAAGACAAAATTAGAGATAGGGGAAACATAGACAGGGTTTGTTGGACTCAACAAGCATCTTTTTCAAATCCAAATCATTAGGTACATGCGTATTTCAACATTTTCATCAATTTCCAACGATAGAAACCAGATATCGATGAATGTTTTAAACTATTTGAAAGATGTAAATCTCCTCTACAAAATAAGCTAAAAGGTGCTTCAATTGATCGAACAATTGAAGAAATTTCGAGGGCGAAAAGCGAGTGACCAAAAAAGGAATCGAATCACTTTAGGGACAAGTTTAGGGTGCTTAAAATAGCTCTCGATAGATGATAGAGAACAGCATGTGGATGTGGGCCGGGTTTTGAAGAAAACTTTTTCTTGGTAACACTATGTTTTTCTTCTATTAGGTAAATGCATAAGAAATGCGGATTTCAACATTTTCAACAATTTCCAACGATAGAAACCTTTCATAAATTTTCAACCATAGAAACCAGATATCGATGAATGTTATAAACTATTTGAAAGTTCTAAATCTCTTCTACAAAATAGGCTAAAATGTGTTTCAAATGATCGAACGAATGAAGAAATTTCCAGGCCGAAAGCGAGTGACCAAAAAAAGGAATCGAGTCACTTTAGGGACAAGTTTAGGGTGCTCAAAATAGAGTTAGCTGCCCAAAATTGAAGATTTAAAAAAAAGAAAGAATAACTATATATGAATTCATTTAAAAAAGTCTAACGGAAATGCATTTACAGAAATTTAGATAGAGCGTAAGTTCAAAACCTTTTTGTGGGGCACTTTTTTGAAAACCCCACTTTCACAAGAGTTCGGTTTTGCCTAAATAGTGGAAAATGAGCGCCCTAAAATCATTATCCTAAAAATATCATTCAAAATAATCAAGAGTTGAGATCATTTCGTGGGAAAACTTTGTTTTTACGATAATTTTTCTTTTTTTGTGAAAAAGCCGATTTTTTTGACAATTTTGAGAGTTTTGAACTTACGCTCTATCTAAATTTCTGTAAATGCATTTTGGTTAGACTTTTTTTAATGAATTCATATATAGTTATCCTTTCTTTTTTTAAAATCTTCAATTTTGGGCAGCTAACTCCATTTTGAGCACCCTAAACTTGTCCCTAAAGTGACTCGATTCCTTTTTTTGGTCACTCGCATTTCGCCCTCGAAATTTCTTCAATTTTTCGATCAATTGAAACACGTTTTAGCCTATTTTGTAGAGGAGATTTAGAACTTTCAAATAGTTTATAACAGTCATCGATATCTGGTTTTTATCGTTGGAAATTGATGATGGAAATTGATTGAATTGAAATTGATGAAAATGTTGAAATCCGCATTTCTTATGCATTTACCTGATAAATTCTTTTTTTGTGATAAGTGAAAGAGAATCAGGCATTCTTTTAAAAGCAAACCCCAGTTCTTTACGCAATGGTGCGCTGATGCTAGAGGATTGTGGTTTTGGAGCGATTTTGTCGAATGGTCGACGGGAATCCTATTGAAAACACTCAAGACTGCCCGTCCCTTTCCCTTCTCCACCTCTTCTTCAGTCCATCTCAATAGAATTTCCCCCTTCCTCTTTTCTTTTTTTGAATGCCGTGAATCTTCTTTTGATTGTTGAAGAGAGATTCAAAAGAGATTCAAAAGGGATTCAAAAGAGATTCAAAAGGATTCAAAAGAGATTCAAAAAGATTCTCTGTCTCTGCTTTTGACCAACAAAAACGTGGGGATGAAGTAGCAGATAGATATGGGAAAGATGAAAGAAAAAGATGCACAATCGGCCAGAAATTCTTTTTTTTTGCTACTTTTTATAGTTCTGATAACGGTTTCCTTTGTGATTTATCTATTTCTTGTACAGATTATCAATCATTTTTCAAGTACCTTGTGTTAGACAAGTGCCATCGGGTCGCCAAATACATTTTAATACGCAGCTTTTGTTTTCTAAAGCGTAAAATCACATTGTACGTTTTGGAAAAGAAAAGTCGTTTGCTAGAATGCATTTGGCGATCCGATGGCTCATGTCTACCGTGTGCACTGTATGGAAACTTTTTGAAGATCTTTTAAACAGCCGACAAACCAAACTTCAGCCAGGGTTAACCCATTTAATTCTAAATTTCTAAAGCTCTAATATGTTTTTGATCAATCTGTTGAACGTTTGGTTTATGATTAAAGTCTAGGGTGTCAAATTTGAGGTGCAGGCTTAGGTGCAGGCTTAGATCCAGGCTTAGATCCAGGCCCAGGTCCAGGCTTAGTTCCAGGCTTAGGTGCAGGCTTAGGTGCAGGTTTAGGTCCGGGCTTGGACCGGGGCGGGGGGGCGGGCGGGGCTCGGGGGGGGGGGGGGGGGGGGGGGGGGGGGGGGGGGGGGGGGGGAGCAGGCTCAGGTCCAGATCCAGCTTTTAAACGTTTTCAGGAGCTAGGTTCAAATTTTAACTGATAAATTCAAATCTAAGTTTCAAATAGGTCAAATAGAATAAGATCCAGGCTTTTCACTGTTTTCTTCTCTTTTCTCTTTCAAATAGTAAGCACAAATTTGAGATTAGGCTTAGATTAAGCGTTCAGATTAAGCGTTCAGGTTAAGCGTTCAGATTAAGCGTTCAGGTTAAGCGTTCAGATTAAGCGTTCAGGTTAAGCGTTCAGATTAAGCGTTCAGGTTAAGCGTTCAGGTTAAGCACTAGGTCTAGTTCCTGGTTTTGAACGCTAAACCATTTTAGGTTAAGATTTCAAACAGTAAATCTAGTTAAAAAGTTATCCAAGACTCGAACATTTAAACCAATATTCTTATCAAATAAATAACATCAAAGGCAGGTTTCTTTTGGCCTTCATTTAGAAGAGATGAACTTCAGTTGAAAGAAAGAATCGAAGTGAATTGGTGGGGAATGTCTCGAGTTACATGCGTGTTAGTTCTTCTAGTTCTTCCTCTTCTTCTTCTTCCTCTTCCTCTCCTTCCTCTCCCTCCTCTTCCCCTTCTTCTTCCCCTTCTTCTTCCTCTTCTTCTTCTTCCTCTTCCTCTTCTTCCTCTCCTTCCTCTTCTTCTTCTTCTTCTTTCTTTCTTTCTTTCTTTTCTCTTCTTTTTCATCTTTTTCTGTCAATGACTCTGGGAATGAGCACATTGTTCGAAAAGTCGGAATAACCAGCTTCAAAGTTGATATCTTTTATCTCAAATGAAATCATTTGATAAAGTAATTCTATTTCAATAAATTAGATTGTTGTTTACGTTTTGGAACAAGGCATTTCACAGAAACATATTCTTTATTCTACAATTTATTCCTCGATTTGTTGAAAATGAAGAATTTTAGTGCACATTTAACAATTTAACATTTAACATTTAACAATTTAACAACAACAACAACTTTCTGACTTAGTTGAATCCTCATTTTCCAAGAAACAAATGAGATTTTGTACTTTTGGATTCAAATGGATTGAATCTAGTGCACTGGAAAGATTGTGGATATGGATTTGAATTCAAAGTAAATAAAAAGTCTATAAGATTGTCTATAAGATTGCGTAATTTGTACAACTTGTACAATTTGTACAATTCTTTTCACAAAACAGTCCAATCAACTCAAGTTGTTCGATTCGTAGATTCGATTGTTCGATTTCATAGAATTTCTTTCTCTTTGTTCACTCAATTCAATTCTTTTTCAAAAGATAGAAAGTGGAATGGTTGGAATGGTTGGACTGGTTGGAAAAAGGTTTTCTTTTTCTTCTTAGAAAACAATAGAGTAAAAAGATTTGAAATTCTTTTCATTTACATTCATTTCTTTCATTTTTTATACAAAATTTTTAAAAATAGCCGTTTTGATTGAAATTTCTTAGGATTTTAAGATTAGATCTTTTTACTTTTAACAGTGTATGCACTTTCTGACGTAGTTGACTTCTACTAGTTGACGTAGTTGACTACTTGAATCCCCATTTTCCAATAAACAAATGAGATTTTGAACTTTTTAACTATACTTTTGCAAACTATACTTGAGGAATAGTCAAATGGATTGAATCTAGTGCACTGGAAAGAGTGTGGGTATAGATTTGAATGTAGATTTGAATGTAGATTTGAATGTAGATTTGAATGTAGATTTGAATGTAGATTTGAATGTAGATTTGAATGTGGATTTGAATGTGGATTTGAATGTGGATTTGAATGTAGATTTGAATGTAGATTTGAATGTGGATTTGAATGTGGATTTGAATGTGGATTTGAATGTAGATTTGAATGTAGATTTGAATGTAGATTTGAATTCAAAGTAAATAAAAAGTCTATAAGATTGTCTATAAGATTGCGTAATTTGTACAACTTGTACAATTTGTACAATTCTTTTCACAAAACAGTTCCAGCAACTCAAGTTGTTCAATTCGAATCTTCGATTGTTCGATTTCTTTCATAGAATTCTTTCTCTCTTTTCTTTCTCTTTGTTTCTTTCTTTCTTTCTCTTTGTTCACTCAATTCAATTCTTTTTCAAAAAAAGATAAAAAGGAAATGGTTGAAATGGTTCAAAAAAGGCTTTCTTTTTCTCTCTCAGAAAACAATAGAGTAAAAAGATTTGAAATTCTTTTCATTTACATTCATTTCTTTCATTTTTTATACAAAATTAAAAGAAATAGCTGTTTTGATTGGAATTTCTTAGGATTCTTAGGTTAGATTTAAGGATTTAAGGATTCTTAGCATTTAAGGTCAACTCTTGACCATTTCCTTTTAAAATCTTAATCTTTTAACTGAAAAGAAAGCTTTAAACTCAGTCCAAACTCACATTTTAATGTTTTCTAGAGAA